TTTAGGGGCAGGAATGGAATTACCCAGTCCCACCATTTCATTTTCCATACGAAGGAAGAGGCTGGGAAGGTTAAGTGACTCACCTAGAGTCCCCCAGGACAGCAGCAGAGGCTAGTGGAGTGGGACGAAAAGCCCAGGCCGCCCAGTTCCTCCCGCCCAGTTCCTCATCCAGTCAAACAGCTCAGTTTTCTTGAGCACTTGCTGTGTGCTGGGGGAGACAGTCCTGCCCACCCCCACCCCCCGGCATCATTTGACTTGGTCCTCTCTGCTTTTACATAGGGTAGGACTCTTATCCTTATTTTAGAAATGAGAAAATCTAAGCCCAGAGAGACAAATGACCTTGCCCAAGGTCACGCAGCTAGCATATGGTAGGACTAGAATTTGACATGTGGTTCTCAGCCCCAGAGCCTCTATTCTTTTTTTTTTTCAGATAGACCAGGAGGGAGAGAGGGAGGAAGAGAGAGAGAGAGAAACATCGATGTGAGAGAGATACATCGACTGGTTGCCACCCGCACAATCCCAACCGGGGCCGGGGACAAACTGCAACCAAGGTACGTGCCCTTAGTGGGAACCGAACCCCGGACTCTCTGGTCTGTGGGCGAACGCTCTAACCGCTGAGCCAAACTGGCCAGGGCATGGGGCCTGTATTCTTCTTCAGACCTTGTTCGTGGAGGCTCCTCCAGCTGCTGCTGTCAGTCCTCCAGGTCCTTAACTGTGGTCCCTGGACGATTTGGAAACTGTTGTGTACCTATGAGAGGTGGCTTCCAGAAACAGCGAGAGTGACAGATAAGCCCAGATAAGTGGTGACAGAGAGAGCCCAGATAAGCCTTATTTAGGAAGGGAGCTGCCAGACTTCTGAGCAGTCCATGTACAGAGAGTATACACGCTCATTCACCAAGTCTCTCGGCTAAAATAGCCAGCACCTCCCGTCCCCGTGAGTCCTCAGCAAACTCACTGCACCCTCGGAGGTGGCAGGTGCTGCTGTCACAGGAGGCCGTGAGCATCTAGTGTGTGGCCCAGGTTTGGTTCAGATGGACTGCGGGGAGGTTGGGGTGGACCTGGGTTTGAGTACTGGCCTGACCTCTGTTTATCTCTGTGAGCCTGGGCAGGCTCCTTGGCCCTACTTCTCAGATTATTCAGCAGGAAAACAGACAGGCGGTGCTCTTCATGCTGGGGGAGTAAATAAAGTCAATCGCAGAAAGGGTCTAGAACGGTGTGGCACATAGCTCAGTAAAAGCCCCTCTCAGTAACAGTTAAATACCTTCCTCCTGTCTTCTCCCTTATTTGTTACTCCCGAGTTGAAAGGTAGCCATTCTGACAGGTGTGAGGTGATATCTCATTGTGCTTTTAATTTGCATCTCTCTGATGATTAGTGAACGTTGAGTATTTTTTCATATGTCTATTGGCCATGTGCGTGTCCTCTCTGAAGAAGTGTATTCAGGTCCTTTGCCCATTTTTAATTGGATTGTTTGTCTTCCTGGTGTTGAGTTGTATAAGTTCTTTATATATTTTGGAAATTAACCTCTTATCAGATGTATCACTGGTGAGTATATTCTCCCACACAGTGGGTACTTTTTTCATTTTGTTGATGGTTTCTTTTGCTGTGCAGAAGCTTTTTAGCTTGATGTAGTCCCATTTGTTTATGTTTTCTTTTATTTCCCTCGCCCTACAAGACATGTGGGCAAAAATATTGCCATGAGAGATGTGTGAACTTTTACTGCCTATGTTTTCTTTTAGGATTTTTATGGTTTTGTGACTTACAATTAAGTCTTTTATCCATTTTGAGTTTATTCTTGTGTATGGTGTAAGTTGGTGATCTAGTTTCATTTTTTTTTGCATGTACCTGTCCAATTTTCCCAGCATCATTTATTAAAGAGACTGTATTTATTTATTTCATTGTATGTTCTTGCCTCCTTTGTCAAATATTAATTGACCATATAGGCACAGGTTGATTTCTGGGTTCTCTGTTTTATTCCATTAATCTATATGCATGTTCTTATGCCAGTACCAGGTTGTTTTGATTAAAGTGGCTTTGTAGTATAGTTTCATATCAGGTATTGTGATTCCTCAGCTTTGTTTTTCTTTCTCAAGATTGCTGAGGCTATTTGGGGTCTTTTTTGGTTCCATATCAATTTTTGGAATATTTGTTCTAGATCTGTGAATTGTGCAGTTGGCATTTTAATAGGAATTGTATTGAATCTATAGATCGCTTTGGGTAGTATGGACATTTTAATGATGTTAATTCTTCCAATCCATGAACAAAGTATATGTTTTTACTTATTTGTATATTCTTCAGTTTCTTTCTTCAATGTTCTATAGTTTTCTGAGCACAGGTCTTTTACCTCCTTGATTACATTTATTCCTAGGTACCTTATTTTTGTTGTTGTTGTTGTTGCAATAATAAATGGGATTGTTTTCTTAGTTTCTCTTTCTGATAGTTTATTATTGGTGTATAGAAATGCCACCAATTTCCGAATACTAATTTTGTATCCTGCTACTTTGCCAAATTCATTTATTAGATCTGGTAGCTTTTTGGTGGCGTTTTTAGGGTTTTCTATGTACAGTATCACGTCCTCTGCAAATAATGACAGTTTTACTTCCTTCTTTCCAATTTGGATAACTTTTATTTCTTCTTGTCTGATTGCATTGGCTAGGACTTCCAGTAGTACTATGTTGATTAAGAGTGGTGAAAGCTGACATCTGTGCCTTGTCCCTGATCTTAAGGGAAACGCTTTTACTTTTACTTTTTGCCCATTGACTGTGATGTTGGCTGTGGGTTTTTCATATACGACCTTTATTATGTTGAGGATGTTCCCTCTATTCCCATTTTGCTAAGAGATTTTATCATAAATGGGTGTTGGATTTTATCAAATGCCTTTTCTACATCTATTGGTATGATCATGTGGTTTTTATCCTTCATTTTGTTTATGTGGTGTGTCATGTTGATTGATTTGTGAATACTGTACCAACCTTGTATCCCCAGATTAAATCCCACTTAATCATGATGTATGTATGATCTTTTTAATGTATTGCTGGATTCAGTTTGCTAATATATTGTTGAAGATATTGATGAACAATATTCCTGTGTTTATCAGGGATATTGGCCTGTCATTTTCTTTCTTTGTAATGTCTTTATCTGGTTTTGGAATTAGGATCATGCCGGCCTCATAAAAAGAGCTTGGGAGTTTCCTCTCCTCTTGAATATTTTAGACTAGTTTGAGAGGGATAGATGCTAGTTCTTTGAATGTTTGGTAAACTTCACCCGTGAAGCCCTCCAGTCCAGGACTTTTATTTGTTGGGAGTCTTTTTTTTTTATTTTATTTTTATCACTGCTCAATTTCACTAGTTGTATTAAGCTGTTATTCTTGAGCTGTGCAGACTGCTGATTCTAAAGAATGTCCATAATTATGTCATTATGGTCAGGAGGTCTGCTTTCCTGACAGTTGTTTGGAAGAGTGTTGGTTTGGCCCAGTCCAAAGGTTATCTTGCCCAAGTCAAACATTCCAAAGGTTCAAGGAGCGAGACATGCAGGGCAGTTCCTCCGGGTTGGTGGCTCCGGCTCTGTTGGAAATGGCTCTGTGTATGTCATTGTTCACAAGCTCCAAGTAGTTGAAGAAACTTTGCCACCAGACAGGGTGTCAGTGGTGCTCAGCCCGCCAGAGCTCTGCTTTTTTAGAGACACTTCAGCTCCAGAGTGACGCATCTATGGGTTATTTTCTCCTCCAGGAGTCTGGGGATTTTAATCCAGAAACTCAGTGTGGCAAACCCACATTTCCACCCAGGAAGAGGGGCTGTAGGCTTTGTTGCCTTAGGGCATTGTAGGAAGTGTATTCCAGAGGTGTTTGCTGTGGCCGCATTTTTACAGCTGCAGGAAGGTAGGTGCCTAGGTTTTTACTTAAGCAGTTTACATTGTGATTGGAAGATCTTGGTGACACAGCCTCTCTAGACTCGGGAACAGATACTCTGTCCTGCCGGTCTGTGCCCTGAGGCTGGAGGGTGTGGGGAGGGCCAGGGCCTCTGTGCCCTGAGGCTGGAGGGTGTGGGGAGGGCCAGGGCCTCTGTGCCCTGAGGCTGGAGGGTGTGGGGAGGGCCAGGCCGAGCCTGACTCCCCATCCTCCACGCCTCAGCTGTGTGGCCCAGGCCAGGTTGTTTCGCCTGGTGCCTCTGATGTCCCGTTTGTGAAATGGGAGTGGCAAGGCCTTCAGTGCCCAGGTCATCAGTGCTGTCTGGGGGTAGCCGGTGTTCTAATTCTGAGAGTCAGGAACGAGGGAAGACTCAGATCAGGGGGCAGCTGGGGATTTCGCGTAGTTTGAGGAATGGTTTAATAATCAGGAAATACCAGGGGGGCTGAGCTGCCTCCAGAAGCCATGTGTGTCCTGTATCAGAGCGTCGGAGCAGTAACTGGGAGCCACGGGCTGAGAACGGGTCCCTCTGTGCCTAAGCGGGGAGGATGCTGTACTAACAGCCGTGGGCCCTCCGGCCCACGGAAGATGAGCAGTGGCCTGCTGTCCAGATGAGAAATGTAACGAAAGCTACATGGAGGGGCCCCTTTGAAAAGCTTTTAGCTTGGGTCTCTTCATGAAACCTGGTAATGGGCCCATCCGAGGGCTACGGCATCGAGGTGCTCAAATACGAGTTGAATGGGTGGTTGACGACATGTTAAGGGAGGTAGGAGCAGATGTGTGTCTGGGGTGTCAGGCATCTGGGAGTCTAAGGACAGAGGGAAGGAGGGGAGGGGGCAGTGAAGAAGAGAGAAGTTGGAGGGGTGAGACCTTACCTGTGCTGGGCAGATACCCAGGGAGTGGGGCTGGATGGAGGGCTCTGGGGCCGGGAGGGGCTCGCTTGGTCCAGAAGCAGAGGGACATGGTTTGATTCACCCCTTCTGACCCCACCGGCCCACCAGAGTGCGTCAGCCACCTCGGCCTTCGTACAGGATCAACTCTGGACTGCCTTGAACTAGTACCTTGTTAGCTAAAACCGGTTTCTTTCTTTTTTCATAGTATCCCATGGAAATCAGGAAGTATGAATATGACCCAAATTTTGCAATTCGTGGACTTCATTATGATGTGCAGCGGGTAGGTTCAATCCTCATGTTTTTCTCCTGAAACGGCATTTGGGGATAAAATGTACTCTTGGTGCTTTTCTTTGCTCAACACATGCATTGATTTTAAATTCATGTTCTTTGGGGACACAGAACTGAATTCGTCAAGACATCTTCGGGTAAAGTCTTTTCCAGGAGACTCTGGATTAGAAAGATAGAAAGTCACGGGTGCAGCCAGCAGCTGGGGAGGTACCGTTTATTTCCAGTAGTCCTAGCTGGTGTGGCGAGGAGGAGCCAGTTGTCACGGCTGTCTCTGCAGATGGGCCATTTCCTTGATGAGCTGCACACTGCCTCAGTCAGCGAGCAGCCTTTCAGAAACATACAGGTGCTTCCCGGGGGCAACTCGATGTCGATGGGCTTTATAACGCCACCTGGATTCCTCATGCAGTTTGCAAATTGTTGTGCGATACTTACCTGCTCTGTGTTTTATGTTTTTGAAGGCAGTATTGATGAAGATTGACGCTTTTCATTACATCCAGTTGGGAACTGTCTACAGGTAAGAGTAAGCTCCCTGGCTCAGACTCTTATCCCTTCTCTCCTGGGCTCTTACAGTTTTCTGCAGAGTAGTCCCCGCTGGACATTGTTGCTAGACTGATGTACCTAATGCACTTTCCTCACCCCCCCCTCTTCTCAAGTCCAGGATGGCTCCCCACTGTCTAGAGACTAGAGCCCACACCATTTAGGTTTTCTGTCAACTTCCAAACCCTTAGCTTCCTCTTTTTGCACGGACAGCTCCTTCACTCACTGGATTGGTTAAGACTCTTAGTTGCGTGACCGAAACCCAATGCAAACTGGCTGAAATGAACACAGTATTGGCTCACTAATTGTATAGAGCAGGGACAGTTCCAGCTGCAGGTGTGGCTGGATCCAGGGGCCACAATGATGTCAGAATTCTTTCCATCTCTTGGCTCTCATGCTCTGTGGGTAAGCTCTGCCTTGGGCAGGACCCCGCCCCCTTTTGGTGACCCTGGAATTACCAGACTTTCATCTCCTCCAGCTCTAGGTGGAGAGGAGAAGGGGAGTTTCTGTGGGGACCCGCGGTCTCCGCATCAGGCTGAATTTTATGTAGTGGGCGTGGAAGTGAGTGCCACTGGGCGGGGGAGGCGGCAGACTGCCCTCCACTGCGGTCCCATTTTGTACCCATGATTTCATTTCTTAATTGGAACCGTTGTGAAAAGCTAGGGTTGTTCCCATCACAGCCCCCCCACGCTTATCATATACCAGTTATTGTCTATATGCAGTAACTCGTTTAGTCTTCTCGGTGACACTGGGAGGTGGGTACTATTATTGTTCCCAGTTTAAGTGACACTGAGCCCAGCTTGGCTCAGCAGTTAGAGCATGCGCCTGTGGACCGACTGGTCATGGGTTTGATTCCCTGTCAAGGGCATGTACCTGGGTTGCAGCTTCAATCTCAGGCCTCGGTCAGGGTCATGTGGGAGGCAACCAGTTGATGTGTCTCTTTCACATCGGTGTTTTCTTTTCTCTCTCTCTCCCTTCCACTCTATCTAAAAATCAATGGAAAAACATCCTTGGGTGAGGATTAATAAATAATAAAAAATAAATAAAATAAAATAAAAATGACACTGAACCTAGAGTTAAATTCCTTGCCCAGGTACTACCACTAGTAATTAATTAAGGGAGCTGGGATTTGAACCCCAGGCAGACCTGTTCAGATCTGTGCTCCTAACCTTTGTATTTCTCATAATCACACAGGGCCGTGGAAAGTAGTTTTCAACGCCAGTGTAGGCTGCGTTCAGCTGTGGGACAGTCACCTGAGCCTGTCACAGTTGTGGGCGGAACTCAGCTGGCTGTAGCAGACTGATTTCTCGGCTGCTTTTGAGCTGACATTTGGTTACTTGGGCCTTAAGGGTGCAGCTTGTGTGGCCAGGCTGTGTCTGCTTAGAGGTGGCGGTGGCTTCCCAAGGACAGGGTCGAGCCCAGCGGGAGGCAGAGAGGTCACCCCGCAGAATTCCTTCCCTCTATTTTCTTTCCAAGTGTTTAACCCTTACGGGTACGCACACCTGACCGTGGCTGCCTTGGCGAGAGCTGTTCTCCAAGGTCACTGCCTGGAGTGATCTGGTTTAGTACCAGTGTCTGTCTGATTCTGCAGGAAGTACATTGCCTCTTTTGTTTTCAAAGGGTGGTAGTTGTAACAAGTTAATCAAGATCAGAGGCAGAATTTTCTGGGTTGACTCAAGTAAATCAGGCTGACAGAAACCAATAGGAAGGTAGAGAGTGGCTTGTCTGCTCTGGACTCTTCCTCTGATAAACTTACTACGTTCGTTGGAAACCACTTTTCTCAGCCCTTTACCTGAGGAGATTTTTTTTTACCTCCTCTTTTAATAATCATTAGCTCATTCTTTATATCTATGGATCTATTTGTTTTTCATTGTTTATTTATTTGTTTGTTTTTTTAGATTCCAAATAAAAGTGAAATCATATGGTAAAAAAAAAAAAGATCAGAGGCAAAATATTAATGAATTCACTCAGATATTTTTAGAAGTAATATGAGGGTGGAGAATGGAGGAAAGAGGCTGATATGAAATTTTCATTAAAGTTACATATCAAACGTAAAATATTTTTTGTATGTATTTTATATTGGCCAAGTGATTTTGTATTTTAAGCAACCTCTTTGTATCAGTAGCTGAAATGCCTATTGCATAATTTATATACCTGTTTCAGCCCGGTGCGGTGTACCCACCATTTATTCTGTGGTCCCTCATCCTGGTGTCTGTTTCTCAAGCACCTTCTCTTCTAGAGCAGGGGATAGAGGAGCAGACATTTCCCTGATTACACTCTGGAGTGGGAGATTCCAGGTGAGGAAATCTGAGACCACTGAGCCCTGGGAAAAGCATCTGCTCACAGCGCCGGTGGCAGAGTTAGGGCTGAAATCCAGCCGCTCTGACCCCAGATTAATTTTTTCCTGTGTGCAGAGGAGCTGGGTTCATTTGCAGATTCCCCTGCAGCTCCAGAGGCAGGTGGTGGGTGTTTCCTTGGCTTGTGCAGATGAGGAAACTGGCCTTCGCTGTCACATAGCATTGGGGTCACCTCCCTTGGAGGCGGTGCCCAGGCCGCCTGCCTGTGTCATGGGGTTTAGTCCACCCGCGCCTCGGGCATGAGTTTTTCCATCTCGGCACTGACCTTAGGGTAGAGTGTCAGAGGGCACAAAGATGATGGAGACAGAACCAGCCTTCCTCTCCCTGATGTATTAGAACAACAACGGTAACAACAGCATCCCCCCTCAGAGTAAGGCATTGGCAGGCCTTGTACCTCGTTGAGTGTGACCTAGTGCTTGGGGAACCACAGAGCCTGGGGCCCAGTCCTGACCCACCACTTGATGCCTCGGGGACCTTGGGGAAGGTACATGACCTTTTTGTGCCTCAGTTGCCTCTGCTGGAAAAAGGCTGGAATGACAGTGCCTTTCTCCTTGGATTGCTGAGACCTAAGGGAAGGGCTGCGTGGGATGCACATCTGGAACATAGGAGGTGCCGTGTCACACTGGCTGTTACTTTCCGGCTGTATTATGGATAGCGTGGCAGCGATAGTAACAGTAGTAGCATTTTCCGCCTGTCGTTTGTAGCAGTTACTGGCAGCAGCATCTCACACGGCTTACACCTGGCTTGCAAAGCCCAGCAGATGCCAGGGGTGTGACCGCCCTTCTCTCACGGTCTGGCTCTTACCTGCGCTGCCTGTCGTTTCCCAGAGGCCTCAGTGTTGTCCCTGACGAGGAAGTCATTGAAATGTACGAGGGGTCCCACGTGCCCTTGGAACAGATGAGCGACTTTTATGGAAAGGTAATGCGAAATGCTGTATTTTTTTCCCTCTCGAAACATGGCCTGGGCCATTTGGGAGCTAGGATTCCTGACCCTATGGCTGCTCACAGGGAATCGACAGGGACATTGGGGATTGTGGTTTTTTTTTTTTTTAATTTTTAATTTTTTTTTGTTACAAATGTTTCTCCTTTTTTACCCCATTGACACCCCCCTCCCCACCCCACCCCCCCGTCCCCGGCTTTGCTGTCTGGGGTTGTGTTTTGAGAGACCCAGAGTTTGAGAGAGATTCGTATGTTAGAGGCTCCATAGGCTCGTTCATGATTCTCCTTTCTTAGCTCTTTCCTCCTTCCCCGACGGAGTCTCTTCACCCCTTATTGCACCTGCCCCTGTTTGCCACCACCTCCCTGAGGTGTCCCCGCGTTCTGGGTTGAGTCACTGGGGGCTATCGGTGCAGTGACTGTCGCCTCCCGAGATGGAGACTAGCAAGGAAACCTTTTCTAACTTTGGGGGCTGTTGCAGCTTGCCCTGTTAGGTGCGCTGTCTTCCCTGCGTCGTCGCCACGGCAGGTGTGCGGTCAGCCGGGCAGCTAGTGAATTCACAGCCGTTCAGAGAAAGGCCTTTTCCCAGCTCACACGGAGGCCTGCAAGGTGCTCGAACTCAGGAGCGCTAAGTGGCTTTTACTGCCATTCCAAGGGCGGTACCCTCCACGAGGGTGAGCTGGGAGTTGGACGGAGCACAAGGGGCGTGGAAAGGGGGGCTGTTAACTTCTGCGGGGAAATCAGGGCGTTTCCTTGTGCCAGTTACGCTGAGAGTGAGACGTCAGCTCTGCCGTGGACGATACGGACAAGGAGAGCATCTTTAGTTTGCGTTGCTAGAATTCTCCTTGCCTCGTGGACAGGGATCCCGAGGTTGAGCAGAATCCCCGAGAGGCGCGGTGTGGCTCTGCTGGGGTGCGGCCTCCATCTGACGTGTGCTCCCCGCCCGCAGAGTTCCCACGGGAACACCATGAAGCAGTTCATGGACATCTTCTCCCTGCCGGAGATGAGCCTGCTGTCCTGCGTGAACGAATACTTCCTGAAGAACAACATCGACTACGAGCCTGTGCACCTGTACAAGGATGTCAAGGTCCGGCAGACAGTGCGAGGTCCCAGCTCCACACCCCTGCCAGCTGTTCGCGGGACGAGCAGAACGCGGAGGCTCCTTTATGCCTAGAAGTGCTTGTATTTGTGGTTTGTCCCGGAACATCGTAAGACGTTTGTTAGGAAGACTGGGAAGCAGTCAGATTTGTTGTTAGAAGAAGAGGGGGCTCATATTGTTACCTGGATTTCTTAATTCTTTCTGACCAAAGGCCACGGCCAGGGCATTGGCCAGAGGGGTGCATGGTGGCCTAGGTCCAGCCTGTCCCCAGCTCATGCCCGAGCAGAGCATGGCCGCCGGCTGGGGTGACTACACAAAGACATGGCATTTGTGTTTCGGGCTGTGGCCCAGAGACTGCAGTTGCCCACAGGAGGTGCCACTGTCTCCGGCACACAGAGGGCCCACGCAGGCTTTTGGAGGCCCTGCGGAAGCTTTGGAGGGGGAGACAGAGCAATATACATATTTACATGCATATGTACACACCTCATTTCTATAACTTTGCATTTATCTATTTTAATTCACAGTCACGTGTTTATATATTCCTTAAACCAAACTTTTTTCAGTACTTAGAAATGTTTGTATATTATTTATTTAATGTGTATTATATATTCCTAAACATGTGTTACAAATTTTTATTTATATAAAATGTATTACTTATATATAATACATATTTATTTAAATATATGTATTTTTTATTTATTTTATCCTCACCCGAGGACATTTTTCCATTTTTTGTTCAGATAGAGTGGGAGGGAGAGAGAGGAAGAGAGAGAGAAACATCGATGTGAAAGGGACACATCGAGTGGCTGCCACCCACACGTTGACATGAAAGGGACACATCGAGTGGCTGCCTCCTGCACGACCCAACCAGGGCCGGGGACAAACTGCAACCGAGGTACGTGCCCTTAATGGGAACCAAACCCCGGTCTCTCTGGACCGCAGGCCGATGCTCTAACTGCTGAGCCAAACTCGCCAGGGCTAAATATGTGTATTTTTAAAAGATCCATATTCATCCTACAGTATTTTTAATTATATGTTTATGACTAAAAATTTTGACTGCCCTGAGTTATGGGTTTTAGGCAGATAAAAGGTGGATTATAGTTTCTTGACATCAGTCTGGTGTTCTGTGAGCTGAATTTAAATATTTAGTTTCTAGTCTCCTTTTTGTGCACACAAACACTTCATTTGTAGAACCTCTAAGAATCACTGCTATGTAACCCTGTGTACTCGGGGGGAGAGATGTTTATTTAAAAGTTCAATTTTTACTCTTAGTAGGACAACCACCAATAGTGAACACATATGCCGAGTTTTCTGTGTTCCAGGCACTGTTTCTCTGAGTGCTTTATGCATGTTAACTAAGAAAATCCTCACAGTAATGCCTTGATGTAGATACTGTTATCACCACCCTCATTTTGTAGATAAATCGAGGCACAGAGAGGTTGAGTAACTTGCCAGTGGTCACACAGCTAGTGTAAATAGAGCCTAGATTTCAAACCAGGAAGTTTGGCTCCGGCTTGCTCTTAACCATTGCCTTCTGCTGCCGGTGTGACCTTGAAACAAGCCTGTGCCGGAAGGGGACCGAGGTTGAGTTTACAGTCCAGGGTGCTCACGCTGGACAGAAATCTCCTACCAATTTTATGAGGTTTATGGTCCAGTTTGTCCGCAGCCCAGTCCCCTGCCACAGGTCTGAATGTTTCCGGGGGCCTCCAGGAGCGCCACCTAGTTAAAGGACGACCTGCTCAGTGCCGCTCAAGAGTGGCTGTGCTCTGACCCCTGCCAAGCATCAGGCTGCCGCGCCCCTGGGCCTGCCAAAGGGTTAGCTGCTTCCTCCTCCTCGTGTCCGCCGCCGGACCACATCTCTGCCCCAGCCACTACCCACGGCAGTTCTCGCCTCCTTGGTAGCACTGAACAGAGGCGGGTCCCCCCTCGCGTGGGTCTCCACCTCTTTTTCTAGGCGACTGAACCTGCCGTTGGGATAGCGGGAAGGGTGCAAAGATGAAAAGAACAGTAATGCCCTTTGCCCCAGATGACCTGGAATCTTTTGTTCATGATGCTGCATATAAATTATGGTTTATTATGTGGGCTTTTTCCAGAAGTATCCACAGAGATTACCTCCTCCCAGTGACCCTTTTGAAAATTGCATCAAAAACTGCCACTGTCACCATGGAAACTCAAGTTTTCCCCACAGGGGCCACCTCTGATAGATGGGCCAGAATTTAGATTTCATTTAGTGCTTGGATTGCAGGCTCCTAATGGCAGACGTCACGGGTGCCTTTCCACTGGTACTGTCACTCAGGCTAATATGCTCACTGATGAAAAACGTGTCTTTTGACAGGACTCGATTCGAGACGTGCACATCAAAGGAATCATGTACCGAGCCATCGAAGCAGATATTGGTACGTACTCAGCACTGCCACGGAGCTGGTTCCCGCTGCTGTTCCCCACGGCGCCTTTTACTTTCATTGCAGGTGCGGAGCAGAGGCGGTCGCTGTGCCAGGACCCCGCGTCCTCCGCCTCAGCCATCCCCTTCCCTTTGCCTTGGACAAAACCCTGCTCGGAGAGGTGCTGGCAGTGCAGCCCCTCAGTTTCTTCCCCCAGACCGAGCAGGCAGGGTCTTGGCTGCTGATGTATCGGACACTGATAGGCCCTGATCCCGCTTCCTTAGACTTCTTTCTCTTCCCCCACGTGCCCTGGACCGCGCCGGGCCCGTGGGCCCCACTCAGCAACTGCTTGCAGATCGAGGGGGCCTCACGCTGAATGTGTGTGCGAATTTTTCTCTTGCTCGTAGATAAGTACATCTGCTACGCTGAGCAGACCCGCGCAGTGTTGGCCAAACTGGCTGATCACGGCAAGAAGATGTTCCTCATCACCAACAGCCCCAGTAGCTTCGTGTAAGTCCTGTGTTTCGCTTCGGACTCGCTTCTTGTAGGGCGTTTAACAGTTGTAAATTTGCAAGAAAAAGTTGCAAGAACAGTTCATCGGTCCAGAGTTAGACTAACCTGGCTGACGTGTTGTTTAGGGACAAAGGGATGAGGTATATCGTCGGAAAAGACTGGCGGGACCTGTTTGATGTGGTCATCGTCCAGGCCGAGAAGCCACACTTCTTCAATGATAAACGGAGGTGAGTGTCTGCCTTTCCAGGGGACTAGATTCTACTCTTTGCTGCTGTGAAGCCTTCAGATCCAGCGTCTTGGTGAAATCCAGCTGGAAATCATGCGCATCCGATATGAAAGCTTTTGATTTTCAAGTCATCTAGCAAGGACTTGCGAGGAGGGCGAGGTTAGCGCGTGGCGGACACTGCGTGTGTTGCATGGTTCTCAGCTCAGATTGGGCTGCTTCGGTCCTGTTGGTCAGGCTTTAAGAAATTGATTGATAACCATGAGAAAACGCAAACTTATTCTCACATAGTATATTTGGTCTCTCTTTAAAAAAATTTTTTTTTTCTTTATTGATTTTAGAGAGAGAGGAAGGCAGAGGGAGAGAGAGATAGAACATTGATGAGAGAAAACATTGATCAGCTGCCTCCTGCATGCCCCCCACTGGGGAATTGGCCCACAACCTAGGCATGTGCCCTGACCAGAAATCGAACTCGTGACCTCTTGGTGCATGGGCCAATGCTCAACTGTTGAGCCATACTGGCCAGGCGGGTCTCTTTTTTTTAAAATACGTTTTTTTTTTTCTAGAGAGAGAGAAAGGGAGAGGGAGAGAGAGATAGAAACATCGATGAGAGAGAACATTGACCGGCTGCCTCCCGCACGTCCCCCACTGTGGATCGAGCCTGCAACCTGGCATGTGCCTGATCAGGAATCGAACCGGGACCTGGGTGTCCCTGGGCCGACGCTCAGTCCACTGCGCCACGCCAGCGATGCAGATGCATTGTAAAGCATAATGGCGGCAACAAACCACCTGGTGGGTAGCTCTTTAGGTAGAGCTCTAAGTGGTGCCTTTAAAATTACAGTTGGATTTTGCAAAACTTTTCTGCCGCACAGGTTTTGCATCAGGTGGAGTAAATTTCTATCAAGACTTACAGACTGTCTTTCTGCCCCAGTAGCCTTGGGAAGTAGGGGAGCCAGGAAGTGTGGGGTGGTGGTGACTGCAGTGTACCGTAGGGTTTACTGGGTGGGGCTCAGGGGTCCCAGAATGTCTGTTAGCTTGTGGGTCAGACATGTTCACCAGGAGTTGTTCCCCACAAATGTCAGTAGTGTTGAGAGGTACTGCACTAGGTTTATAAAAATAACTCTTACTGGTAGAATAATGACCTATTTTTGAAACCCCGTAATCTGTTCTGCAGTTGGTAACCAGGAAGGCTTCCTCTCTGCTAGGTGATATGAAGTGTCAGAATTGGCGCCCTGTCGATCGTGTTGAGTGGATTAAATTCCTCTGGCGGTGCCAAGTTCCAGTTTTCTAAGTGTCACAGTGACTCCTGGAAGAGGCAGACAAACCCAGGAAGCATGTGCAGAGACTGAGCATTCAGGAGAAAGATGGAAAAACCAGCTATGAACACTGACTTGCTGCTTTGTTGTTGATAAAATGTCCCCCCACCCCCATTTTTATATTAATTCTGGGGTGCGGCCAGGAGAGGGGCCTCATCTCTCCTTTCAGCACGGGCTGCCTCACCTTTGTCATGTTTACACACAGCAGCAAAACAGATAGTGTCTCAGACTGTTTTGGGGGGGTTGGGGGAGTGTGTGTGTGTGTGTGTGGGGGGGGGCAGCACAGTGCTCCCCTCTCTGAGCCTTTATTTTGCCTTTGTTCTGGGGGCCTGGAATACGAGCTGAGTAATCCTCCACCCGTATTCATCCTTGTGTTAGTTTATGATGATGAAGGTCAGCAACCCCCTAAAGGGACATCCACATGAGGGGATATTATGCAGCCATCAAATGATGTATTTAGAAAAAAAACATCGACTGTGCATTATGACCGTGAAACATGATGGATGAAGAATAAGTAATCGCATGGGAGATTTCTCACAACAGGAGAGAGAAAAACATATAACCAGCGTACTCAAGTGATCCTCTTTTTACGTTCATTACAAAAGAGAAAGATAGCACGTAAAAAGACCAAGAGACAACTGAAATGCTGTGTTTATACCTAGGTACTGGAATTATGGGCGATTTTCTTTTTCTCCATTGTATTGCATTTTCCAGTGAGTTTATAATTTTATAGTCAGAAAAACAATTAAAATAAGTGTTACCTTTAAAAACTAAAGGCAAACAAACCCCTTGTCCTTTGGACTAGCACCACCCCGTGGTTCTGGTTCTTTCTCCACTCCGTACCTTTGGAGGGGTGGGGCTGCGGTTTGGGAGACCTTGCCCCGGGCTGGGGTGTGCTGGAGATGTCCCCAGGGCTTTCTCGGTCCTGCAGCTCCCTCTGCTCCCGGCGGGGAGCCCTGCAGCGGTCCCTGCAGCTCCCTCTGCTCCCGGCGGGGAGCCCTGCAGCGGTCCTGCAGCTCCCTCTGCTCCCGGCGGGGAGCCCTGCAGCGGTCCCTGCAGCTCCCTCTGCTCCCGGCGGGGAGCCCTGCAGCGGTCCCTGCAGCCCCCTCTGCTCCCGGCGGGGGCCCTGCAGCGGTCCCTGCAGCCCCCTCTGCTCCCGGCGGGGAGCCCTGCAGCGGTCCTGCAGCTCCCTCTGCTCCCGGCGGGGAGCCCTGCAGCGGTCCCTGCAGCTCCCTCTGCTCCCGGCGGGAGCCCTGCAGCGGTCCTGCAGCTCCCTCTGCTCCCGGCGGGGAGCCCTGCAGCGGTCCCTGCAGCTCCCTCTGCTCCCGGCGGGGAGCCCTGCAGCGGTCCCTGCAGCCCCCTCTGCTCCCGGCGGGGGCCCTGCAGCGGTCCTGCAGCTCCCTCTGCTCCCGGCGGGGAGCCCTGCAGCGGTCCCTGCAGCTCCCTCTGCTCCCGGCGGGGAGCCCTGCAGCGGTCCCTGCAGCCCCCTCTGCTCCCGGCGGGGAGCCCTGCAGCGGTCCTGCAGCCCCCTCTGCTCCCGGCGGGGAGCCCTGCAGCGGTCCCTGCAGCTCCCTCTGCTCCCGGCGGGGAGCCCTGCAGCGGTCCCTGCAGCTCCCTCTGCTCCCGGCGGGGAGCCCTGCAGCGGTCCCTGCAGCCCCCTCTGCTCCGGCGGGGAGCCCTGCAGCTCCCTCTGCTCCCGGCGGGGAGCCCTGCAGCGGTCCCTGCAGCTCCCTCTGCTCCCGGCGGGGAGCCCTGCAGCGGTCCCTGCAGCTCCCTCTGCTCCCGGCGGGGAGCCCTGCAGCGGTCCCTGCAGCTCCCTCTGCTCCCGGCGGGGAGCCCTGCAGCTCCCTCTGCTCCCGGCGGGGGCCCTGTTCACACAGCAGACAGCCGGCGTGGCCACCGCACTCATAACGCTTCCTGTTTCTGTCCTTAGACCTTTCCGAAAGGTGAACGAGAAGGGGGTCTTACTCTGGGATAAGATCCACAAGTTGCAGAAGGGCCAGATTTACAAGCAGGTATCTCACGACAGTTGATCCTTTTGGTGATTTGCTTTGTGGGGTCAGTAATGATAATTCACTGAGGCTCACTCCGGGCTGGGGCGATTCCGAGTACTGCTCCAATGGCCTGCTAAGTCGATGTCTAAATTAACTCAGAAAGGAACAGTTTCTTAAAATTTAAAGTCCTACTTTACATAGTATATAACATTTATTATACCAGTAGTAAAGCTTGGAAGTTTGTCTTTAAGAAGCATTTAATTACTTGGCATGTAACTTACCCAAATTATTTTCTGACAAGCTGTTTTATCTACAGTTTTAACATATTTTGGCGGTATGTGAAGCTTACAAATGTTTGAATAAATGATTGAATTGCTGACTATTGTGTTACTGAAGTTGGTTTTTTTTTTTTTCTTTTTACATATTGATACATTCCTGGTGGGTTTCTAACAACCTGCTAGATTTGACATTGAATATATTTTCTAGACCTTGAAAAATGAGCTTTGATAGAGTCATTACACTTCTAGGAAGTTAGCCTAAGAAAATGATTAAGATGTAGCCAAGTCCTGTATGAGAAGGATGTTACTTACAAATAGGTAGCAAAGTAAATGTCCAACAGAAGGGGATTGGTAAAGTGAATCGTGGTACTTCCCGGAGTGTAATGACAGGGCAGGTTCATATTTGCCCTGGAAGGACAGTCATAGCATGTTAAGTGCGAACAGACCGACCCAAAGGGGTATGTACATACAAATCCTTTTTGAAAAGTACCTTTGACTTAGAAGAAAGGCCTGAAAGGTTTCATACTAAGGGCTTTTATCTTTGTATTTTGTTATTTAAAATAAATGATAAAAGCAAAATAATTTTTTTAGAAGTTAAAAAAAAAAAAATGTATTTTGAGCCATGGGTTAAACACAGGCTATGATATCGATATTTTCCTCATTGCAGGGCAATTTATATGAATTTCTGAAGCTCACCGGATGGAGAGGGTCCAAAGTGTTATATTTTGGTGACCACATATACAGTGACCTGGCGGTGAGGAGGACGCTTTTTTCCTATCTCTTCACTGGGGGGCAGACGTGTCAGTCCCACTTAATAAGGCATTTCTCCTTTGCTTTCATAAAAATGAAGAGTAGGCCACGTTTTTCTTTTTATGTCTCATATTTTAAACAACAGGATGGATCAGTCATGAAAAAGATAAATTTTGGGGGAGATGATGGAAGTTAGCAGTTGACTCAAGAGTTTATCAGGAAAGTCTTTCCATTTGGGTAATGGTAAGAAATGATGCCAGTGTTCCTTCCTTTTCCTTTACCACCGCGTCGGAAGCACACACTGCAACATGAAAGCTCAGGACATCCGTCAGGGCTTCTGCCGCCCTGTTGCTTCGGAGGGGTCAGAACCCACCTCTGCAGGAAACAGCTGCTCTGTGAAAACGAGGCTGTCACGCCTCTCGGAGTGACTAGAGGAGTGTCGTGGGACTGGCACTGTGGTTGAAGCTGTAATTGGGACAACTTATAATTGGAGGTGGAGGGGGTCGGTTCCAGCACCTTTGTGTAGTGACACTCTTCCCAGGTGATTCCTCCACACACCTGTGTGAGCCCGTCTGTCTGTTGGGTGGAAGTCTAGTGGAAGGAATCATGGGCTCTGAATTAGAAGGTGAGGTTTTTACCCCAGCTCCAGCGTTTATTATCTATGTGACCTTGAACACTTCCTTCAAGCCCTGATGTCCTCATTTGTAAAAAGTGAAAAAAGGCAAATTATATAAAGTGCTTAGTAAACTAGAAATATAAAGTGCTGCTGTCAGGATGTCAGCACTCCCAGAATGCCAAGCCAAGCCACATGGCGTCATGGGCATTTGTCCCTTGTTAGGTGGGGTCTTTGGGCCCTGTTGAGATACTGTGTGCTACCCTTACGTCATGCGGGTTCGTGGCCCTGTGAGGTCACACACACACATAGAGGTCTTAGCATTAGGAGAGGTACCCACAAAGAAGTAGTTCTTCATGTGTGGTCCTGTGGCGTGAGCAGCACCTGGGACCTTGTTAGAAGTGCAAATTCTCAGGCCTCACCCCAGACCTACTGAGTCAGCAACTTTGGATGTGGGGCCCGACTGTCTGTGTTTTAACCAGCTTTCCACACTGAAATATGGTATCAGGGTAGGTTGGCCTCAGAATGAAGTGTTTGAGAGGGATTGATGGTAATTCATCTCTAAATGTTTGGTAGAATTCACCAGTGAAGCCGTCTGGTTCTGGGCTTTTCCTGGTTGGAAGTTTTTTGGTTACTCATGTAATCTTTAGAGGTCTACTCAGATTTCCTATTTCTTCAAGATGCAGTCTTAGCAAATTGTGTGTTTCTAGGAATTTGTGCAGTCGTCCGGTTATCCAAAAGTTGTTGGCATACAGTAGCTCGTAGTAGTACTCTCTTATTTCTGTGGAATTGGTGGTCATGGCACCACTTATATGTATAATTTTACGAAATTGAGTTTCCTTTCTTTTTCTTTGTCAAGCTAAAAGTTTGTCACTTTTGTTGATATTTTTGAATAAAACCAACTCTTGGCTTTATTTATTTTTTATTATTCTCTCTCTGATCTAATCTTTTCTTTGATCTATTCTTTATTTTTTCTTTCTTCTGCTAACTCTCAGTTTAGTTTTTCTAGTTCCCTAAGGTATAAAGTTAGGTTATTTGACACCTTTTTTAACATCAGTGTTTTAGCTATAAATCTCATTCTCAGCACTGCTTTTGCAGTATCCCGAAAGTCTGGGGGTGTTTTGTTTGCATTTAGAGTTTTCTCAAGTATTTTCTAATTTGCCTTGTGATCTCTTCTTGATTAGAGTGTTGTTAAATTCCCACGTATTTGTGAATTTTTGTTTTTCCTTCTGCTGTTGGATTGTAGTTTCATTCCTTGTGAACAGAAAAGATACTTTGTATGATTTCAATCTTTTGAAATTTATTAAGACCACTTGACATTGTGTATTTACTTCTTATTTATTTGTATTTCCCACAAGGGCAGGGATGTGTCAGTTTTTGTTCATTGTTTTATCCTCAGTGCCCAGGAAATAGTACTTGACAAATATTTGCCAAATGAGAAAATGAATGACCTTTTAGTACAGTGATTGTACATCTTAGATTTTCCAGGACATGATTGGCATCAGATAGTCTGGCCTGTTGTGAAATCATGGGGTTATAATAGTTGAATGAAAAATGTGATCATGTGTGTTTATGTGTTTTTGTTGTACGATCGTTCTAAGTCTCATATTCCACGGTTTCCATAACCCGCGAGGCCTGGTGCACAGGGAGTGCTCCCCAGCCGTCTGCGGGTGATTGAAGACCTTCGGTAGCATCTCGGTCCAGCCTCTCTCTGCCCCGACCTAATTGTTAGTTCACAGGCCATGGTTCATGATTCCAGACCCTGTGTTTCTGCATTGGCCGTGACTCACAGCAGTTATTTCTGGAACAGAAATTTTCTTGGGGCGAAATGATCAAAGCCTTGGGTTAACCTGTTTTTAATGAAATGTAATTCATTGAATTTGGCATGGTTAATAACTAACCATTACAATTAAGTAATTCAATGAGTGCCTGTTGTGTCTGGGAAAGGTAATGCAATGACTGAAACTCTGTTGAGGTTCATGTTGACTTTCTGTGGTCTTTGCGATCAGGATTTGACCCTGAAGCATGGCTGGCGGACTGGTGCCATCATCCCAGAGTTACGGTCTGAGCTCAGAATCATGAACACGGAACAGTACATTCAGACCATGACCTGGCTGCAGACCCTGACTGGGCTACTGGAGCAAATGCAGGTTTGCGATTTCTTTCTCTCTTACTTTTTCTTTAAGCCTGAAGTTAGTCCATTGGTTACAGTTACTTTAGATAATTTCTGTTTAATTACGGTTATAAAGTATGAGGCATAAATCATCCTGCAGAATAACTACTGGGATTATTTTGCCCCTAAGAGTTTTGCCAATTTCCCTGAAGAAACCTTTAAAAATGCTGTTTGGAGAAAGACCTTTGTTTACATTCCTGAGTCTGGATTCCCAGCATCCTCACCTTCCGACCGCAGCCCCTCTGGGAGATGTCCTGTGGGTGGTGGGACTCGAGAACCTCTGCCACCGGGGGTCTAGTCCTGCTTCTGCCTTTAGCCTGCAGCTGCTTCCTCCGTTCTGGGCCTCAGTTTCCCCTTCTGTAAAATGAAGAGTCCTGCGGAATGAACAGTTGAGGCTAGGCACCACGGCTTACTGGAAAGCCTCAAAGCAAGAGTCAAGGTCCCTGTGGTCTGCATTTGCTTCTGAAAATAATAAGCTACAATTTGCTGGCTCCTGTAAGTCGCGTAGCCAGTTTTGAACAGTTAGTGCTGGTTTTTTAAAAAAATTAATTAATTAATTAATTTTTGTTACAGATGTTTCTCCTTTTTCCCCTACTGATACCCCTCTTCTTCTCCCTCCCCGCCCTGTCCCCAGCTTTGTTGTCCATGTCCACTGTTCATGCACACATGCATATAAGTTCTGTGGTTTATCCCCCCCCACCCCCTCTTCTGGGGATTGTCAGTCTGTACCCCACTTCCACGTCTCTGGGACTACTCCATTCCTCAGACTGTTATGTTCATTATATTCCACAAATAAGTGAGATCATGTAATATTTGTCTTTCTCTGCTTGGCTTGTTTCGCTTAGGATAATACCCTCCAGGTCCCTCCATGTCGTCTCAAAGGATAAGAGACCTTTCTTACAGCTGCATAGTACTGCATTGTGCATATGTACCACACAGTTAGTGCTGTTTTTATCGGTGATTTCCCAGCCCGTGAAGATGCCCCCTGCGGCAGCTGTGACCTCCTCTTCAATGTCGTGAGGCACCTTGCTGCTTGTTTGGTTCAGCTGGCCGAGCCTGCGGCCATCTCAGCTGACTTTCAGGATGGGGCACGGATGCCTGCCCTCTTGGCTAGCGCACCGCAGCCTCTGCCCACGCGTGCTAGCCCACTTTGGAAATGGCCAAGGAGCTGCCTTGCCTGGCCCAGCTGGCAGCCCGTGCGGAGTGGCTGGCAGTGAGCTCAGGCAGAGCTGGGAGGGGTGGCCGGCCAGGTCCTCCCTCCAGGGCACTCACATGGCAGAGCACGGGGCCACCCCCGGTCTTGCTTCCATGTGCTCTGGCTCCATTGGTTCTCGGCTTTTCTCGGACAGGGACTCATTCTGTTTCCTTACTGTGCTCGTCTGTGAGATGACTTTCTAAAAATAAACATCGATTCCGGGTGCGTGTAGCCTCGTGTCTGCGCTCGGGCATACAGTGATGAGAGGCCTCACAGGCCAGCGCCGCGCTGTGTGCTCGCTCTCCCGCGGTGTCCGAGCACCTGTCCCAGCCGTGCCCAGGTGGGAGGTGCAGCGTTTCCGGGGTGCTGGAGAGGTTAGGGTACACGGCTGAGGTCATGAGATGGCAGAGGGGGAGCTTGAACCTAGGCTCGTGTGATGCCGAGGTCTCAGGTGTGGACTCCTCACCTGTCTCCCTGTGACGGTGGCATCTGGCCAGACACGCACACACAGGCTGCACGTAGGCGGTGCCAGTACATCCGACCTTCCAGGGCAGCTGCGCGGTTCTCCTCTCTCCGACCTACATAAGAAAACTTGTGAGGGGCACGCGTTTAGAGAAGGGAGGTGCTGGCAGTATTTCTGTGGTTTGATGGGGTTGATATGCAAGGTGTAAGGTCAGGGAAGAGGGACATTTATGTTGCCTGGCTGTTTCACAGGAGAAGAAACTGGGGCAGAATCACGCTGTTTAGGACTGAGAACTTTGTGTCCCACACGCTAAGGGCTCTGTTGTCTGTTCATTCTCACAACAGCTCTTTGCAGTAGGTGCACCATCATCCCCATTTTACAGATGAAGGACCTGAAGCCCAGAGGAGAAAATAACTCACTTAAGGAAGGGGTGGTGCTGGGGTCTGGAGCCTTCCCCTCGGTGCTGTCGCCTCAGGTTTTTTTTTTTTTTTTTATCCTCACCTGAAGACATTTTTCCATTTTTTGTTCAGATAGAGTGGGAGAGAGAGGAAGAGAGAGAGAGAGAGAGAGAGAGAGAGAGAGAGAGAAACATCGACGTGAAAGGGACACATTGAGTGGCTGCCACCTGCACGACCAACCAGGGCCGGAGACAAACTGCAACCGAGGTACATGCCCTTAGCGGGAACCGAACCCGGGTCTCTCCGGACCGCAGGCCGACGCTCTAACTGCTGAGCCAAACCGGCCAGGGCTCGCCTCAGGTTTTGACGCCGCAGCATTCTGTCTGGTTGGAGTCATTGGGAGATAGAGGATAATTTAAAAAATATCCAAATGAATGCAATTTCTCACTGCCCTCCCTGTTCCCTTTCCACTGAAAAGCTACAATTTTTTTCCAGTGATTCTTGTCATGTTTCTAGAACCCCGGGTAGGGTTATTTTCAAAGCACACAGCCATTATTTAGACTGTTTTCTGAGGAAACGTGTCCTCTCAGGTCGGGTTTGGTTGTTTTGGGAGCCGACAGAGTGTCATTTAGAGTCAAATCTGATGAATTAAATACAAGTATATAATTTGTGGTTTTAAGAAAGTAGCTATAAAGAATACAGATAATTTAGTTCACTGGCCTGGAAGTCCACTCCCCAGTGCGGGGGCTAATCCGGTGGAGTCTTCCCAGGTCACCACGTCAGAGCTTGGTGGCCCAGGGGTTGGCAGACTCTGGGGCCGGACAGTCCACGTGTTAGGCTGTGGCCGCCTGGTCTGGTCGCAGATCCTTAGCCACCTCTGCTTGTAGCACAAAGCAGCCTTAGCCAGTATGCGAGCGGCTTGTCCTGTACCTTTATTGGTGGGCACTAAATTGGAACTGCATTTCATTTTCATGTGTCATGAAATTATTATTCTTCTGACCCCCCCCCCCCCAAACAAAAACCATTCTCAAGCTTACGGACTGACAGGACAGTGGGCGGTGGGCTGGACGTGGCCTCCCCCGTGCAGACTGTCGTGCTGCTGGCTCGATTGTAATAATCCGCTCACGGGGGCGGGGGGCACGGGTGGTACATGACGCCCATCTGCATGTTTGCTCGTGGAGCGTGGAGTGTGGGAATTCACGACTGGCGCTAAAGATGGCTGAGGGTCTGTGGGATCAGCCTCTGGAGTGGGCTTCTGGCTGGTCTTTTCCGATGCTGACTCCCACCGTGGAGTGCATGCTTTCACTTAAAGGTTCATTATAACTAATTAAGACAGGCTTTGAAATGTTTTGAGGTAGATTGCAGACACGTGAGCCTGTTGTGTTCTGCAGGTGCCCTGGTGGGGGGAACAGAGCTGGAGAAAGGGGTGGCTGAAGGAAAACGGTCGTTTTTAACGTGAGAGACTTTAGCATGTTGAAATGCTGATGGGATGGATCCAGGCGAGGAACTTGATCCTGCGGGAGAGAGAAGTATGGAGGAAGGTTCTTGGGAGGGGAGGCGGGGGGGAGCTTTCAGAGGGAGGGCCGGGGGGAGGCTGGGTTAAGGCGCACACAGGGCTCAGATGACCCTCCTCTGGGGTGGTCCCCTGGCCTCAGATCGCTGGGGCTTTCTTCCTTTGCATGTCCCTTCACAGCCTTGAGCTCTGTAGGAGATGCCCGTCGCCCTGGGCTGCCTTCCATTCTAGGAAGCTGGCCTGGATAACCTGCCTGGAAAATGGAGACTTAAGTGGCTTTTTATGTCTGCCTTGGGTTGGGGGGTCTGCCCGGGGCAGGAGTGGAGGGGAGTATTCACAGGGCCTGTGGCCACTAATTCAAAAAGGAGAGAGTAAGCAGATTAATTTTGGAAATCCTTATTCGGGTCACCAGTCAGAATTCTCTCCTTCCAAGGACAGGGTGGAGTAAGGGACTAGAAGCTTCTTCATACTGGACACAGGTGTGTAGTTTGTGAGCTTAAAAAGGTGTGTAGGCAGAGGTGGGAGGGGGATACCCTCCCATGACTGACACCCCATTCTCTGCGGTATCACATTGTGTTGTTGTGGTTCCTTACCTGGGCACACCCCCCGCAAAGGCCTGCATCCTGTCCGCTCTTGTATCTCCAGTATCTAGCACAGTGCTCAGCACATAGTAGGTGCTGAACGTGTGTATATTTGTGTGTGGATATGTGTGTATGTATATGTATACATAAATTACTTGTGATGCCCTACAGATTTTTGATCCAGTCACATACTCTGTAGAGTTTAAATTCAATTTGTTGATTAAAATGTCAAAGCTAATCAAAACTACACTCACAAAACCATCCATACCCCCAGCAGGGCCAGGCCAGTCTTCGATGCTCCGGTAACACAGGGCAGAGGTCATTCCGTGTGGCTGCTTCCTGGCGGTGTAGGCGGTGGTGTTGGCAAGAAACCCAGATTGCAAGCTCAGGGTTTTGCTGAGCGGCAGAGGCCCTGAGCCGGTACCTATTAGCCAAGCTCGTGAGCTGGGTAGACGTGGTAAACAGAAGGGCCTTGGCTCCCACGTCAGAGCAGATGGTGCATTTGTTTGGACTTTTCCTCTGGGTCCTAAGGCTGCCCCGTGACTGAGTTGCAGGAGCCACCTGTCCCTGCCATCACTGCCTCTGGCTGGCCCAGTGTTTCTGTTCAGCCACAGGAGCCCTGTGGAGAGACGTGCGAGATGCCATCATTAGGTTCTGGGCAGTTGCCATTTCTTGGTGCCTTTTGCTCATATTTCAGCCCATCCAGAGAATTCTCTGCTTTTCCATCTGGCTGATATGCTCTGCTTCTTTGCCTTTTACAAAATTTTTTTTTCCCTTAAACATTTTGTATATTTTTATTGATATTTTTGAGAGCGAGGAAGGAAGAGATAGAAACATCGATTGGCTGCCTCCTGCATGCCTCCCACTGGGGGGCTGAGCCTGCACCCTGGGCATGTGCCCTGACTGGAATTGAACCAGGACCTCTCCATCCATGGGCTGACACTCAGTCCACTGAGTCACACCTGCTGGGCTTTCCTTAAACATTTTAAAGATAATGCAATATTAAGGAAGATACTTTTAAACAAATTATAATTCTATCCTTGCACAAATTAAAGAAAAATTTCCATGTTAATTTCTTAATATATGCACATATATTTACATGCTTTCAACTAGCGGATGTACCTGTTATTTCCACTTGTCTGCCGTTTTTATGGTGCTGCATATAACGTGTTATAGGTAGTATGTATCAAGTATATGTTTAGGTAATATGTGTGTAATGGGTACATTGCACACATATACAGTATACACATGTAGTTTATATGGATACATATGCGTTATGTTCATACATAGCCTTGAACGATACTTTACCATCTCTAGTTTAATAGGGGCCTTGTTTAATGCCTTCATAATAGCCAGTTTAGTTTGTTGAACCGAATTTCTGTTGGACATTTTGATGAAGAAGGGAGGATCGCAGCTGGGAAGACTGAAAACGTACTATTTCCTGTAAGTGCCCCCCTCTCAGACGTGAATAAAGTTTCTCCAAGGAGAGCTGCCCATGAACAGATTCTTACTACCTGATGAGTGTGTGTGCGCAGAGCCTTCCCAGTGACCCGCCTGTGTCCGCAGGTTCACAGAGACGCGGAGTCCCAGCTGGTGTTGCGGGAGTGGAAAAAGGAGAGGAAGGAGATGAGGTAAGAGCAGCTGTTTCGACGGCAGGGCGCCGCCACCCTGTCTGCGAGCTCTGTCCACACACCTGCCCCCCGCAAACTTTCACGTGCCCTGCTGTGGCTCCCAGGCGTGACTGTGACCCCGGTGTCCAGACCCACCGTCTGCTGCCCGGGAGAGCTGACGACACCTCCCACGCCTCCTGCCCTGGCATCGTTTCCTTGGAGGAGAGCAAACACACGTCCTCTTACTTCTCTCAGCCACACAGACGCACACGTCTCGATTCCACATTCCCGCCAGGCCCCCTGATGTGAGGCCTCCAGAGAAGGAGCCTTCCTTCCCCCTGCATGCTCGGCTTCCCGTCCGGGCAGCCGGGGGCCCGCGTGTTGGGGAGGTGGGCCCTGCAGCCCCCATGCGTGTTTGTACCCACGGCCGTTTCCGGAATGTGCCCGCACTCAGTGCGTCACGTCGACTGGTAAATGCCCACCTGCTGCCGGGAAGGTTGGTGGGTCTGCAGGAGCCGTGGATGTACTGACTCAGGTCTCCTTCCCTCTCAGAGTCTTGGCTGTTGAGGGCTTATTCTAACTTGATTGTCACTCTAACATTGATATAAAAATGATGGGCATATACTGTGCTTTGACTCTGGGCCCCTTGCCCCCGAAGGCCATAGCTGGGTCCTACACTCCAGGGACCTCAGATGACTAGAGAAAGGAATCATTTCACCCACCGGAGACTTTTGTTTTGATTACGAGCTTCTAACACCTTCACATCTCATCATATCCCAGTGCGATTTTCTTTTTTATCCTCACCCGAGGACATTTTTCCATTTTTTGTTCAGATAGAGTGGGAGAGAGAGGAAGAGAGAGAGAGAGAGAGAGAGAAACATCGACGTGAAGGGACACATCGAGTGGCTGCCACCCACATGACCCAACCAGGGCCGGGGACAAACTGCAACCGAGGTACATGCCCTTAGCGGGAACTGAACCCGGGTCTCTGGACTGCAGGCCGACGCTCTAACTGCTGAGCCAAACCGGCCAGGGCCCCAGTGAGATTTTTTAAGTAAATGTTTAAATACCATTTATGTCGCTCCACCCACAGACCTAATTGAGTTCTTTTAATTTTCTGCTTTTGGGTTGTCAACATCTGCTGTCAGGGTATGACAACAGAGAACTGCTACCAATTGTGTAAATGAGTATATTTTTGCTGTGTCTGCAGCTGATCAACGGTGAAATGGTGTTTAGCCATTTTGCTGGAACAGTCTGTGTCCGGGGATCCTAGCCATGGGATGGTGTCCGTATTCTGTGTACTGTGATGGGGTGTTGATTGACACACGGACGCACACACCTGCAGAGGCTTAGAGCCTGGGGTGGGGTGAACAGCCTTGCAAAATGTTTATAACCTAGGCTTCCAGGAGGCAGGGAGGTGTTTGACGCTGAGTAGTGGATGGTGGAGGTTTATTTACATCACTATAAAAGACCCTTAACGTCTCAGCTATCTAAGAACTTTAGAGTTTACAGTATGCTTTTATTTTTCTTACCTTACTCAATTTTCAGTATAAGCTTATAAAAGGGGGGGGGTTGTCTTTTTTTTTTTTTTACTTTTATCCTCACTTGAGAACATTTTTCAGATTTTGTTCAGATAGAGTGGGAGGGAGCAAGACGAAGAGAGAGAAGGAGAGAGAGAGAGAAACATGGATGTGATAGAGCCACATCGAGTGGTTGCCTCCCCAACAGCCCCAATCAGGGCCGGGGACGAATTGCAACCGAGGTACGTGCCCTTGACTGGAATTGAACCCGCGACTCTCTGGTCCTCGGGCCGACGCTCTAACTGCTGAGCCAAACTGGCCAGGGCAGAAAGGGGGGTCTTGATCCCCTTCTGTAGGTGAGGGAAGCTCGGAGGCCCTGGGGACATTGTCCATCTCTGTCCCATCAGAGGCAGCTCGTGCTCGTCTGCCTGCGGGTGCAGACTGGCCCCGGCTGCTCTCAGGCCCGTGGGTCAGCCCGTCAGTCACTGGGATGGATGGACAGACTTTTCCTGATTGGAAGTTGGGGCTGCTTCTAGGCTAATTTTCCTCCCAAACGAGTCCTATGCAAATGAAAAAGTGATTTTGATTTCAGGAACTTCGAACAGACTTTTTTGAATCATTCTCTGCCGCGCCCCTCTTTTCTTGCTTCTTCAGAGAAATGACCAAAAGCTTCTTCAACCCCCAGTTTGGAAGCTTGTTTCGCACAGACCAGAACCCGACCTACTTCCTGAGGCGCCTGTCGCGATTTGCCGACATCTACATGGCGTCTCTGAGCTGCCTGCTGCACTACGATGTCAACCACACCTTCTACCCCAGGAGGACTCCGCTGCAGCACGAGCTTCCCGCCTGGTCCGACGGGCCCCCCCGCAGGCTGCCCCTCCTGCAGCAGGCCCAGGCCGAGTGACCCGGTGCTCCCCCGGGGACACGGCCAGACACGGCTCCGGCCCCAGCTTGGGCAGACACCGCGGGGTTGACTGTGTGTGGATATGAGTGTTGCTTTCGGGAAAGGCACAGATACGCCTTTTGATATTTATTTCGTACCTTCCGGAGAACCCTCCCCAGGGGGTGAGGCCAGAAGCCAGCAGCACACTGGTCCCCCCTTCCTGCACACACTGGCTGCATGGCAGGCTTCCGTGGAAACTGATCAGTCTTGTCCACCGAGGTACTGTGACTGTCAGTTTTCCCGGGACAGGTGAGACTTCCTGATGCGCACTCTGTATTCCAGCAGGTGGTCTTGAAACTCCCTGACTTCCCGGGGAAACGTCCTGAACAGTCACGGCGGTGCACTGGCGGGCACAGGGGTGTGCGGCCGCGATTGCTTACGGACAGCGGGTGATTCATGAGCTCTGTGGCAGCAGGACGCGGCAGCAAGTAGCAAAGGGGACCCCCAGGCAGCAGCTGGCGCCTCCGCATCTGGTACCAGGGCTCTGGCGTTCTGCTGCATCGGTTGGCAGGAAAGAGAACAAGAGAAGGTGCAGCTCCTTAGCCCTGGGCTGTCCTGTGTCCCACCCCATCCTGGGAAAGGACAGCCGGAGCCACAAGGGGCGAGGGAGGAGCTCCTGGGTACCTGTCCAGCTGGCAGAACCGACTTTGTGGAATAGGACTGTGAGCAACAAGCCGGCCAGAGCCAACGCTTGGTGGTGGGTCCCCTGAAAATGCCCCCCGAGTGTTGGTTGGATGTGCTCATTGGAGGACAGAAAATGAAACAAAAAACAAGCCTTGTAATGAAATGCCACGACTCTCACTGGGTTGTGCTGCTATCTTGCTAAAACGTAGGTGTTACCAGAAACCATCCTTTCTGGAGAGGGACAGACAGGCCCGCCTTGCTCACGAGTTCTCAGGGGAGGCCTGGGCTTGCCTTGGGGTGGGGGTGGGGGGCGCCCCAGCGTGCAGCCATCTCCCACCCTGGCTCCCCTTAGCCTTCTTTCCTGCCACGTTTGTGCGCTGTTTTGGGAGTCTGCGGGTTTCCCTCAGGTGTCTGTTTTTAAGCTGGGAGAGGGCAAAGGGCACTGGCGCTCAGAGAAGGGGTTAGGAGTGACTTAGCTGAAGCTTTCCCGTGGCTGTCTGCCAGCAGTGCCAGTGCCAGTGCCTGAGCCGAGTGCGTGGCAGGTGCAGGAAGGGGCTTGTGGAGAGCGCCGGCTAATTGAGCATCGTTATTGCAATAAACGTATGGAGCCAGCTATTGGCAAAGTGCTAGCTTGGCATTCGGTAGGCGGCCTGTCAGAATGCAGCGATGAAGCGGGTTCTGGGACGTGCTTCGTACTGCCGCTTGTGGTGGTGGCGCTGTACTTGGGGCGCTTGTGTGTAACTAGCATAGTGGAGGTGACCCTTCAGACGGTAGGCACAGTCAGTTCGAGCCCTTTGTCCTGCTAAGTTGTATTATGAACATAGCAGTCTGTTCCTTCTTTGGAATGGGAAAGGCCTTGTTTACTGTTTGCTGGCTTCCAGGCGTCGTAGGCCTCAGAGCCGATTGGAGACTGGCCTCGAAGGGGAGCGGGCGGAGGCCCAGAGCTGCTTGGTGCTTTGGCTTCTGCATTCGGGAGGCTGCATGAGGAAGTAGTTGTTATTATTTTTTTAAATTTCTTAGTTTTTATCTAATCAGGTATTCATTGGATGTCTCCTGGGTGCCAGTTACAGGGTGTTTTGTTTACTTAGGAATGAAGGCGATTGTGGAGATCCTGCTTTCTTGGGTTCTAGGTTGGGTGAGTCGAGCCTCGGGGGAGAAATACATTTTCTGTGTCTGAATAATGAATTTCACAATTTATTCCCAATTAAGGTTTGGTCTCTGGGCCATTGAACATGGCAGTGTTGAATCTGCCACATGGCAGAAGCTTGGCATCTGTCTCGGCAGGGGCTCCCCTGAGCATGTGCCCGGCGGATGGCAGACGTGTTCCTGGGCCAGCAGCCTGGGGCAGGACAGCTGTCTCTTCAGAGGACAGAGGCGTCCTCCTCCTCGCTCAGTCGTGGTCACGACTCCGCTGGGATTGGGCACACGCCCCGGGCATTCGTTCTTTCCAGGTGGTTCTCTGGTGTGCACGCTGCTGAAAGCCTGTTTGTTGGTCCAGGGAAGAGAGTCTGTTTTCCACCCGTCACGATAGCAATTTGGGAAGCGAACAGAATACTATTAGTTTGTATGTTTAAAAATGGTTTCCATAGTTAGCATTGGTTAGGCTGATTGTCTTAAGAATTATGTGAACAAAAATTCGTAGTCCAAGGGCAGTCCATGCCAGCTGAACGCAGGGTGCATGTACCCGTGGCAGGTCGCCCGGGGAGGGACCTGCACAGTTGATTTTCCCAGGGCTGCTTCTGTCAGGGAAACCTGGCTGGTAACATATTTCAGGAGTTTGGGTTAGAGCTCCTATTTCCCTCTCTCTGCCTGATACTCTTTAGCTTCATTTCCTGCTATTGTGCCCATAACATAAACCACCTGTTACTGACTCAAGCTTGTCTCAGACTAAATTACTAGTTGCTTTGAATGCATTGGCCCTCTTCATTATTGCAGAGGAGGAATGGAAAGTAATCTTTCCTCCCAGCTAATTTAGCTTTGGATGAACCGAGTGGCGTTTCTCTCGTCCTCCCAGAGCCCTTGAAGCGGTGGGTCGCACGTGAATTCCACTGTGCCGAACGTTCACTTGCCAAAGGCCCGCTTGGGGGCCCTTGTCTGGAGTGCTCTGGGCCTGAATTTGGCCAGAGGCAGGGTTCCTTGATTGCTCCATTCAAATACTAGGGAGCCTATGTTTTGCTCTCATTATCAATTTCTTTTTGCACTGATTTTATTTTATTTTTTCCCCTCTTTTATTTGCCTTAGCGTTTGGGAGCTTAGCTCCACAGTCGGCTAACCCCCGACACCCAGGTGGGTGAAGGAAAGGAGAGGGAGTGAAGTTTATGTAATCCAGGGCAGCAGACTTTCCTGTGAAGGGCCAGAGAGTAGATATTTCAGCGTTGCAGCCATTTCCCGGGGCCGCTCATGCTCTAGGAACGGACGCAGCTCTGTTCCATTACCACTTGATTTACAAAGACAGGCTGCGGGCTGCGGGCTGCACTTGGCCTGCGGGCTGTAGTTTGCCACCCTTGCTCTGTGCGGAGGAACGGCCTGGCGGGATGGACAGCAGGAAGGAGGTCTGTAGGTAAGTGCACCATATCCCCCTAGGACCTGGCATCTTATGTGGCCAGTGAGGAAATACTGTGTTTCCAGCACACGGCATTGTCCTGTGTCATTGAGCTGCTGGGCTCGGGCACTAGTTGAATATACCTCTTATTGTCGTCGTTTGTGACTGTGCTGCTTGTGGGTGATAGGCTTGGCTGCCCAGATAGCCCTTCAGGACCGAAGGACTTCGTCTGCCAACTGCTGGGTGTTCCAGTGGCTGTGGACCCCTGCTAGGAGTCGTCGTGTCCCCCCCCCCCGCCCCCCCGAAAAGCCCCGCCTCGGATGTCACACCCCCTCCTCTGAGCAGCTCCCTTCCCTTCACCCCCCCTTCCCTTCCCAGGTGTGGACCCAAGGGCACACCTGTAAACTTTCTGCACGCGAATCTCCATCTCAGCGCAGCTGCTTTTTGGGGGACCTGCCCGGCAACAGTCCGTCTGGACTTCTCTAGTGCTGCCGGCGTGCACTCTGACCTAGGGAGCTGTTTTCTAATTTTTCAGAATGACTGACTGTGCCTGCAGGACAGCAGGCATCGTACGTGCAGACTAGGTGGACCTACTATTTATTCTGAATGTGAATGTGCTATTTATTCTAATGTTGATTTCATGCTGCCTGATACTGAATTTATTGCCAAATAAAAGAGAATTGTATCATCCAGTTTATTGTCAGTCATTGGTTTTTGTGTGCTTAAGTTAGTGGAAAAGCCATAACAAATTCCAGTATAACCAAGAAAGAGCATCCCCGTGAGAGGGACGGGTGGCCGCTTTAGGGTTCACTTCTCACTCTCGTCCCATCACGGCCAGCAAAGCACACTTGCTTGTTTTCAGAGCTTGAAGACTGAGCAGTTGAGCCACAGACGGAAAATCGGTGCGAGCTTAGCCGCAGGTGGGCAGCAGGCAACCCACCTGGACCGTCCCTGCTCCCACACTCGGCCCCTCCTGGAGAACAGGGAGGGGGTGGCGACCCCGGGTTTATCTGCCATCTGACCACCGGGCAGCTGGAGATCGGAAGCAGTGTTTTCAGGGAAGAAGATACTGAATAATACTGAGTTAGGAGTGAGTGCTGTGAAGTCAGATCACTGCTGGGTTTTGGATGAATGGATATTTTAAAGAGCGTTTTTTTTTTTTTTCTTTTAACTGTTCAAGCACGTGAACTCAGGTGCGTGTGTGTCTCTTGAAACACCTTGATATCCGTGGCCTCTCATTGTGCCCGCACCTTAATCTCATCCCCCGTCCCCATGGAGAGCCTGCTGTTTTCCTTCCGGTCACCTCCCTTTCGGCACCTGTGATGGTGGGACCGGGGGGGGGGGGGGTGGGGGGGTGGGGGCCCACGAGCAGATCTGTCCCGCGCTCTGTCCGGCACGATCCGGAACCTGGCGTTCCTCCCGCCGGGGCATGTCATCTGGAAGACACGGTGAGCTGTTCCTGTGCCTGGAACTGGGACTTCCTCCCTTTCCTGGGGTCGTGAACAGCTTGTAAGACGCGCGGGGGCTTCTAGAACTTCGGACTTGACGCAGCCAAACCCTGATGGTCGGGGACAAAGTTATGTGGGCTGTGAGGGCAGCAGAGGGGAGTCAGATCTAATCAGCCCAGCCTTTCGTTTCGCTGTCCCCGAAGAGCTTCCCACGCTGCGCCAGTGCTACCCCCAGGGACAGTACGGAAACGTGCTGGGTGGGCTGGAGGGTGTTTGGTTGTCACAGTCATGGGGCCACTCCTGGCATTGTGAGGGCGGGGCCTGGTGTGGACACTGTGCTGTGTGGAGGGTCCTGCACATCACCACTAAAATTCCAGGACACGTTCACCACTGAAAAAAAACCCCACACCTTTTAGCAGTTAATCCCATTCTCCCCTTCCCTAGTCCCCGGTAGCCACTAATTAGCTTGCTTTCTGGCCTAGCCCGGCTGGTGTGGCTCAGTGTTTGAGCATCGACCCATGCACCAAGAGGTCGCCAGTTCGATTCCCAGTCAGGGCACATGCCTAGGTTGTGGGCCCGATCCCTAGTGGGGAGCATGCAGGAGGCGGCCAGTCAATGTTCTCTCATTGATGTTTCTCTTCCTCCCTCTCTCTCCCTCCCTCTCTCTCAAATAAATAAAGAAAAAAAGAAAATAACCTGCTTTCTGTCTCTGAATTTGCCTGTTCTGGAAACGTCATGCACATGGTATGTAGTCTTTTGTGTCTGGCTTGTTTCACAGAACATAATGTGTTCAAGGTCCATCCACGTGGTTGCATGTTCAGTGCGTAGGTCCCTTTTAGGTGAAGTGACGTTTCATTCTATGGATGTGTCACCATTTGGTTCTCCGTTCATAAGCTGATGGGCATTTGGGTCGCTTCCATTTTTGGGCTATTAACGAATAATGCTTCTCCGAACATACGTAGGTGAGTTTTTGTGTGGACATGTTTTCATCTTTCTTGGTAGATACCTTGGAGTGAAGTTTATGGTTCACGTGGTAACTCTGTCTTTAACTTATCGGGGAACTGCCAAGCTTTTTCCCAGTGGCTGCACCGTTTTACAATCCCACCAGCAACGCATGAGGGCGCCAATCCCTCCGCCCCCTCGCCAGCACTTGTTACTGTCTGTCTGTAGCCTCCTAGTGATTGGGAAGTGTGTCTCACTGTGATCATCATGTCTTAATATTCGCACACAAACAAAACTGAATTAAGAAATACGTCATAGGCAGATGTTGGCTACCGAAAAGACCCCAGTTAGGTTTAATAAGTGGATTTTCTCTTCAAAGCATGGCCCCTTCTGTGGCGAGCAGTATTTTTGGTTCCCAAAACACGAGATTTGTTGCACTGACTTTATTTCTGTCCCGTACACGTTTACCGAGCCCATTCCATGTGCCAGGCGCTGTGCTAAGTGCTGCTGCTAGACGGAGGGGCGAGTCCCTGCCTTCGGGGCTTACAGTCTAAGAATAAGACAAGGTCACAGTTACTAGCGGGTTGGGTCGCCTGGAGTAAGTGCCGTCTGAAGGTCCAGGAAGGACAGCCAGAGGTGACAGGAGGGAGAAGTCCCCTAGCTGGTGGGTGGCTGTAACATGGTCCCTCACCCACAGAAACAAGAGAACCCCCCAGATTAACCAAGGAGCTGAGGTACGGCCTGAGTGCTTCCTACTTCACAAAGGTCAGGACTTTCGTTCCCCAGAGCCACTGGGGCTGAGGATTCACAGTTGGCAGGCTTTGTGAGGAGGCTCGGTGGCCCAGGTGGCTGTGGGGACGGCTGGCTGCAGCGGGGCTAGGGCCTCACAGCGCCCCCAGGGGGTCACTGCTCTCCAGCGGCGGCTGGTCTTCAGAGTCCTGCAAAGAGAGGTGTGTGAGGACGCGGAGGGGGCTTGACCGCTGGTCGGACCTCTCCAGGTTCCAGGTTGAGCATTTCTTTTAAAAAAAAAAAAATTAAAAAATTTCTTTATTGATTTTAGAGAGAGAGGAAGTGGGGGAGAGAGAGGAAATGAGGGGGAGAGAGAGAGAAACATCAACAAGAGAGAACATTGATTGGCCGCCTCCTGTGTGCCCCCCATTGGGGATCAGGCCCACACCCTGGGCATGTGCCCTGACTGGGAATCGAACCGGCGACCCCTTGGTGCATGGGTCGATGCTCCACCACTGAGTCACACCGGCCGGGCAGGTTGAGCATTTCTTTTGGCTGCTGGTCTGAGGCCTAGGTGGGGTTGAGAACATACTACCCCAAAATATGACACTTTGGTCTATTAAATATCTTAACCTGAAGGAATTAAAAAATAAAAACAAAAAAACAGCCCTGGCTGGTTTGGCTCAGCGGTTAGAGCATCAACCTGAGGACCAAAGGGTTTTGGGTTCTATTCCTGGTCAAGGGCATGCACCTAGATTGCAGGTTCGATCCCCGGCCTTGGTTGGGGTCGTGTGGGAGGCAACCAATCAATGTGTCTCTCTCACATCGATGTTTCTCTCTCCCTCCTTTCCACTCTATCTAAAAATCAATGGAAAACATCTTTGGATGATTAACAACAAAAAAATGGCAGAAGCAGGAAGGGCACTCTGACCTCCTCCCCCCTCCTCCATCTTCCCTGAAGCAGGTCATAAAACTCCCATGTGAAAGTCCCCTCCTTGGAGCCGGAGGAAGGAAAACACATCACCAGAGACGAGGAATTGGAGGCCAGGAAACCTGTGCAAACAAACCTTGTTAAACTGACCTTATCTTCCCTGCTATTTCCTCACCATTTACTGCCCAGCCCAGCCCTGTGTTTCACTCCACGCATGTGTCGTTTCTATGTCCACAAGGTATTAAAGCTCCCTGCTGGCCATTGCTTCTGTCTGCATTCTCTTGTGAAGCCTGCACTGACAGGTACACATCTGATACATTGTACGTGCTTTCCTCGCGTGAATCCCCCTTTGTTGGTGTACTTGGCAGACCCAGCAGGAGCCCTGAGAGCTTGGGGAAAACTGCCCTCCCCTGCAGCTCCCACACGGCCCTCCCCACATGCCCTGGGACCACACATGGTGGGAACATTCCTGCTCGTGGTGCCTCCTGGCCTGCGTTGGGAGGCAGGATGGTGTGCTGGTTAGGGCCCCGTTCTGGGGACAGCCGCCACTGTTTGAAGCTTGTGTGCCCTGGACAAATCATTTACGTTCTGCGGTACTTCCCTCATCTATAGAGTCCTAATAGGTGTGAGGATTCCTGTTACTGGGACAGTTTTGCCACCCGGCCTGATGAGAAGGTTTAGCTGAATCCTGCTTCTAGGGTGCTCTCTACCTGCCCCAGGTGCGTCTCATGCGGCTGAGGCCCTTAGCTGAGGAGGCACGGAGCACACAGAGTGGGATCGATAACTTTCTCCTCGCTTGTTGAATGAGGTTGATTTCAATGTAGTGCTTGCAGAAATAAAATATTAATGAATGCAGTCTAGCTGAATTTACCCTTGCAATTTGGACCAGAAATGCTTACATGGGTTTGATTGAAAAACAAAATAGAATTTAGGGTCTGGTTATTTTTCAGTCTGTCCCCATGATAGGGCATCTGTGCTCGGAACAGGTGCTCGGAACCATGGGGTACTTATGTTCGGCTCACTGCTGAAAAAGAACATCTGTTGCACTACACAAGTTAAAATGGTGCAATAAAATACTTTTCTCATGTTTCAGTGCAACAACAAAAATTCAACAACCATAATCTAGTCTTGGGGGGAGAGACGGTGTATGTCCAGGCGAGAACAGCTGGCTTTGACGACAGCTGGCTTTGGTTACTGTTGCAGGAGGTCTAGACCCACACAAGCCAAGCGTCAAGTATTTCCCTGGACCCACGTAAGGCTGTCAGCTCAGGAGCATGTTGGTGTTTCTTATCTTTGTATAAAAGGAAGAATTAAGTTTTATCCTAGCTTCTGAGTCCCGACCTGGGAGTACAGGCGGGTGTCCCTCCCACCTTCAGTGTGAAAGGGGTACCCGGTCACGGGGTCCCTCTGGGTTGAAGTCTTTGGAGGCCTGTCTAAGCTCAAGGAACACCAACTCTGGAAACGAAAGGTCCTGTCCTGGAAACCCGAGCGGAGCACCCTGCCCTGGATGGAAAGGACCTCAGCCAGGGGACGGAGCTTCACAAGCAAGGAGCAGCTCTGACAGCAGGCAGAGCAATCGAGGGAGCGTAAATGCAAGTTTAAAGCATAACCAGAGGAAACGGACACGCAGTGGTTCTCAACCTTCCCAATGCCGCGACCCTTTCATACAGTTCCTCATGTTGTGGCCCCAGCCATAAAATCATTTTCATTGCTACTTCATAACTGTAATTTTGTTTTCCGATGGTCTCAGGCGACCCCTGTGAAAGGGTTGTTTGACCCCCAAAGGGGTTGCGACCCACAGGTTGAGAACCGCTGTAAGGGGCTGTATGTCTTATTTTGCAGCAGCAACCTCAGAAATACTTGTGGCAGAATTTAGCCCATTTCTTGTACCTGGTCATAACACTTGCGTGGGGGCAACCTCTGGTTCTCCCCTACTTCTAACTGTCAGTGCTTTTGCCACCCACCCAAAGGAACCCCCAAAACTCTGAGCAACCTCGTGGCTTCTCTCTGCTCGCGACACTGGCTCTCAGGATCACCGCCCAGACACGTGCCGGAAGGGAGCTTTTCCTGGAGCAAAGCTTTCCCCTGAGATTTGCCGAAAGACGACATTCCCCTGCACCCCCGTAGAACCGATTCCGATTCCGAGATGAATAATGCAAACTCACCTCGAAGGGGTCGTAGGAAGGTTCTGGGGGAGCCGAGGTTGCACTCTCGTACACGGGGTTCGAAATATTCTCAGGTGGCGGATTGCCAAGAGCTGCGACGTCAATGTCCTCTTCAGACTGTTTGGAAAGAGCAGCCCCAGGGCTGAGAGCCAGGATGTCCCCAGGAGGGGAGCATCTCCTGCCAAGCCCCGCCCTACCTCCACCTCAGACCCCCCCCCCCACTTTTAATAGTACTTTAATAGACATCTGATTTACATACAGTAACGTGCACCACTCATAAGTGTTCAGCCCAGTGACTTCTTAGCATGTCCACCCAGGTGGAACCACCACCCAAATCAGCATATGGGGCATTGCCATCCCTCCAGACAGTGCCCCAGTACCAGTCCACCCAGCATAACGGCTGCTCTGACTTCCAGCACCCTGGAGTGCTTTTGCCTGCTCTTGACCTGAATTTAAAAGGATTCGTGCAGCATGTGCACTTGTGCTAGAAATGATGTTTCTGAGCTTTGCCCCTGGAGCTCATACAGCAGGAAGGAAGTGAACGGCACTGGGTGAGGGGTGGGCGCTCAGTCTTTATGGGGCGTGTTGGAGGAGGCAGTGGGAGGGGAGGACAGGCCAGGGAGGGGTAGGAGCTCAGAAGGGAGGGTGCTCGGCGCCTGCGCTGCTACTGAACCAGGTCCCCAGGCTCACGTCACAGTCAGCCAAGACCCGCTGACCTCGATGTGGCTCAGCAGTTCAGCTAGGGTGAAATGTATTCACTGGCTGCAGAAAGAGGCCCCGCTGTGCAGCTCCCAGCCCTGCCCCCACCTCAGACTCAGCCTTGAAGCCCAAGCCAATCATGGGTGCTTGTCTCGTGAATCCTGCAAGAGGAGTGTCCCCCTGGGCCCCGGGTGAATTTGCTTCCAAACCGGACCCCTGGCATAGAGGCTTGAAGGGTCTGTGCTATCGGCAGCCTGTTACCCTCCTCACCAAACCGGCCTCAGCCAGGGAGGGGGGCTCAAAGGTGCCCTGCCGCTGCTGCTGGGGGCAGGAGTGTGTGCCAAGCACCCATCTGCTGGGCGAGCTCGCGGAAGCAGCCAGTCAGCTGGTCTCCCAGAGCCAGGGGCTGGACTGCAGGGGGACCCCCAGCACCATGTTCCCGTTTTTCTCATTCTTACCTCAAACCGCTGGAAGCTGATTGCCCTTCGGTTTATTCGGAAATAAGAGTATGCGACCAAAGCAAGGGCTCCAGTGACCAGGAGGACGGCGAAGACTACCCCTGTCCCCAAGCCCGTGTGGACTGAAGCCTGAACACAGAAAGGGGGGGTCAGTATTAAATCTGGAGTCGCCCTGGGGCTGGCTTTCCGGGGGCCATCCCGTTCCTGCTGCACCGCGCGTCCTGGAGCAAGTCGGCGTGAAATTACCGATAAAGTAGGTAACACGTACCTGCCCCTCCTACTGCCAGAGCCTGTTCTAAGCCCCTTCCATGAAGTAATCCATTTACATTCCTAGTAGCCCGGAGAAATAGGGACAGCCATTCTTGTTTCCATTTTTAGATAGGGGAACCGAGGCACAGAGAGGTTAGGCACTTGACCAATATCACACAGCCAGTGAGTGGTAGTGTTATCATCGTAATTAGCTAGTTAATAGAGGAAAGAGAGCAAAGGGAAGTCGGACATTGGAAGCATGGTCACCTGGGAAGCTTCACCAGGAAGCTACAGCGTCACTCAGCATTGTCCCTCCAAGGGAATTAACCCCTGCCTTCCCCATCCGGCACTGGTGGCGAAGGGGAGTTGCTTGCCCATCAGTCTAACCTGGGGGGTGTGGGCCCCATCAGAAGCGCTGGAAATCTTGGAAAGTTAATTGGTTAGTTTGAAGAAACTGCTGGTTAAAATCCCCAGACAGAGTTCCCTGCCTCTGTTCTCTCTGGCTCCCTGACCCGCCCTCTCTCCATAGCCACGTGGTCTTTACAGCCACATGGCCCATGGTGGTGCCGATGCCACACGCAGGATGCTGAACGGGACTGCACTTTATTTTATTTTTATTTATTTTTAATCTCTAGATAGAATGGGGGGCAGGGGGAGAGAGAGAGAGAGAGAAACATCAACATGAGAGAGATACATTGACTGGTTACCTCCTGCATGACCCTGATCAGGGCTGCAGATCCAACTGCAACCAAGGTACGTGCCCTTGACTGGAATCAAACCTGCAACTCTTTGGTCCACAGGCCGACACTCTAACCGCTGAGCCAAACCAGCCAGGGCTGGACTGCACTTTAATATGGAGCAGAAACTAGGCAGTGGCCTTAATTCTGGCCCTGCTGAAGACGAGGTTGGATTTCTCCATGGTGAGGCAGAAAGAGATGGGACCTTGGAGGGGAACCCCTTTAATTTTACATCATTAATAAAGTTTTCCAGGAAACCCCGCCCTCCTGTGGGGGCCTCAGGAAATTCATTTCCTTGAAGCACCCCAAGAACTCCACTTCCATTTCCAGTAGAGCTGGGCTTTGAAACCAGCTGGGCTTTGGAGGTCACACACTCAACTGCTCTGCTGTGGAACTCCCCAGCATGCAGCCGTGCTCACCCTCCCTCACACTTTTGAACCAAGTTAGGATACTAACAACATCAAACACCCAACTCTTATATAGCATGTACTATGTCCAGGGACTGTCTTAATAGTTTGTATTAACTCATCGTCCTCCCAAGAATCCAGGGAGGACGGCGTTATGACCCTCACTTTGCAGGTAAGAAAAGTAGGGCTCAGAGATGTCCTGGGACTTGTCCAAGGTCACACGGCTATGAGGTGGAGGGGTTCAGGATTTCACTCTCCTTCCAGTGGTCTCTCCATTGGCCCATCCTGTCCCTTTCACTCAACAAATATTCATGGTGACAGATGTTGAGTTGCTAATGCACAGGAGTGGGGGTGGGATGGACCAGGCCAGGCATTCCCATGGCCAGCTGCCATGAATGGGGGAGGCCCCCCAGTCTCCCGGGAGGGGTTGGACAGGGCTTCCAGCAATAGTTTGCCTCTTGAAGAGTGGACACTGGGCTCCTCCTGGCCCCTCCCCAGGAATCTTGGATACTCACCCGCGGGGCAGAAGGTGCTTTTAAAGGCCTGGAAATGACATGAATGATCCCGTTGGAGGCAAAGATGTCCCACTGCAGAATGGCTCTTCCATCCACAAACCTGGTCTCCTGGGGAAATGAGAAGACAGCTGATGGAGATCGGTGGCCATGTGTCTCTTTCTCCCCACGTGGTGGCCCTTCTGTGGAAGTAGGTTGTTTGTTTTGACCAGGATCTCAGAGCCTGGGTTTCAGTAGGCGGCACAGGACTCCGCTCACCCAGAGCACATTAGTTGCCCTGCGCAAACAACTTGATCTAAGAGCTTCAGAGAACCTAAGGGGTCATCTGCCCAGACCACTTGTCTAAAAGGTGAGGGTTCAGAGGAAAATGGTTTGCCCAAGATCACCCAGGTAGTAAGTGGCAAACTCCACGCCCATGGTCTCCAGATCCATTGCTCTGAACATCCCACCACATTGTAGAAGAAAAGTTTTTAAGTGATCTAATCCCTCGCTGATCAAAGTGGGATCCCTGGCTGTGGTGTGGGCAGTCACCTGACAGTTCACTGGAAATGCAGAACCTGAGTCCCACACTCTACCTGCTGAGTTACAACCTGCATTTTAACAAACCCGCAGGTGATCTAAATGTCTGTTAAACCACTGATCTTCAATAATGGAAATCTTTTATTAGGTCAAAATAAAAAAAAATCATACTTAACATTTGCTACATGTCAGGCACTATTCTCACTCATTACAAACCCTGAATCACTGGATCCCCACTAAAGCCTGTGATTTGACATCATCATTGTCCATCACCACCACCACTTCCAGTATCAGGACCACCACCATCACCATCACCATCATCAACATCAATACCATCACCTCAACACCATCATTTTGATCACCATTGACAAAATAATATCACTGTCACCACCACCATCATCAACATCATCAAGACATCCCATCATCCCCATTTTTCAGATGAGGAGATTGGGACACAGAGAAGTTGGATGACTTGTCTAAGTTCCTATAGCTAGCAAGGGGCAGAAGAAGTTGTCTAGTAGGGTCATTTGATTTCAAGGCTCACATGTTAATGCCTGGGTAGGCTAACAGTCTGATAGAAATGAAGGTGGTGAATCAAATAGCTCTAAGGTGGTCTCATTTATAGTTCCCCATTCCCGGCCACTGAGGCTGGTGGTCGCCAGTGGCTCATTTCCCACAGTCAGTGTGGTGTGCAGCTAATCCCCTCCCCTCACTGCAGGGTCAGGGTGTACTTTCACATTAGAATAGTGGCCGTCTATTAAGCACCTACTGAATGCTAGGAACTTTGCATGTGTCATCTCCAGTTCCAATAAGCCCAGAAGACTTTTCATACCAGTTGGCTCTGGTCCTGGCTGGAGGTGATGAGCAGCTGGCTTCCCAGCCTTGTTCGCAGGGTGGTTCCATTGACAAGGTCATTGTAAAATAAGATGCTGACATTGGCAAAGTGGTGCTCGATGTCCCGCCCGGACAGCGTCTGAGAGGAAAGGAGAAACTCAAGAATGGTCTTGAAAGGCCAAGCAGTATTTTTTCTTTTTAGTGATAATGATGACACAGAAAAAAAATATCACTTCTCATGGCCTTGGCTTTTCTGTCTCACGTGGTGATCAGGAAATGTGAAGTTTTTCTCAGGCTTTTGGTTGTCTGGTCTCTGCCAGAGGTCCCCCCCCAGCCAGGATGTGGCATTGAGAGTCACCCTTATGATCTAAGCCAGCGGTTCTCAACCTGTGGGTCGCGACCTTTGGGGGTTGAACGACCCTTACACAGGGGTCGCCTGAGATGTAACAGTAGCAAAATTACAGTTATGAAGTAGCAACAAAAATAATTTTATGGCTGGGGGTCACCACAACACGAGGAACTGTATTGAAGGGTCGCGGCGTTAGGAGGGTTGAGAACCACTGACAGAGCTTCCCAGTGGTGTCCTGAGATGAGCGGGTCTTGCGTGGGTAACAAGTGGGCAGAGGTTGCTCTGCTCAGCCCTGGGGGGTGGGGCTGGGAAGGGCCTGGGCTGTCAGGGCCTACGGGCCAGCCATCAATGGGAGGGCTGGATGAACACTGCCAATCCTGCTGTGTGCCATGCATGATGACATCTGGGTGGCGGAGTGGTTGTATCGATGGTCCTTGCTCTTTGCCATGCAACTCTGAGGGCCTCCCACTCTGACTTCGGGCTCAGTGGTGGGACTTCATTGGGCTCGTGGCACGTTAGCAAGGATGACCAGACAAGGGCTCAAAAAGTGCTAGCAGGACTGAGCTTGCTCTCACCACCTCCTGCTATCGCCATGAGAACCCCCCGGGCTACCCGCTGGAGGGCGCGCCCCGAGGAGCAGAGCCCCAGACCGCGGGCCCGCTCAGCGGGAGCCGGCCCAGACCGAGCAGGCCTGGCCAGGACCAGGACTGCCAGCGCCTGAGGCGACATGAGTGCGTAGCTACTGAGTTTCGGGGTGATTTGCACCAGGCATTGTCGTGCTGGCGGACAACTGACACTGTCTAGAAGACTTAGTCTACAGCACAGACCCCGGGGACCCAACTCACCTCATTTCCCGCCAGCCCGCTGTTCTGTGGCACGAAGAGGGTGCCACGGATGGACAGGTCAGTCAGGTGTTTCAGAAACGCCTGGCCCCTGGCGGAGCTGTTGGAGTAGGCCAGCACTTCCTGGGGAGGGCAAGGAGGTGGTCAGATGGAGGCGATCCCATCACCCATCTGGGAAAATGCCTGCTGTTAGCCCCGACGCGGGCTGCTGCTCGTCTGCTGTTTCTTCTGCCTGCACCCTGGCAGAGTTTCCGGAGCCCTTTTCGTTCCTTCAGTGAAGCCCATGGTCCTAAATCACAACTACATCACAGGCCATTCTCAGCACGGCAGCCTGCACAGTCCTTTGAAGCGTTCAGTCTTAGTCTCCTGTTGTGAAAATCCTGCAAGGACCCCTGTGCACTCAGAGGAAAAGTTAAAGTCCTTACAATGACCCACGAGGCCCAAACTGGACACAGTAGCTGCTCTGACCCCCTACCCAGCTGTCCTTGCGCCCACTCTGCTCCAGCCACACTGGCTTCCCTGCTCGTTGGTACACTCCTGCCTTTCATCCTGTGCCTGGCTGACCCTTCTTCCTGGAACGTTCTGCCCCCAAATCTGCACGTCTCATATGCCACCCTCTCACTAAGGCCCTCCCTCAGGTCTCTGTGCAAAATGGAAGCTCTGTGGTGCCCTCTCCACCCCACCTCGCTGCTCCACTTTTCTCCCCATAGCACCTTCTGGCATGCAGTATTTCCTTGTTTATTTTGTTTGTGCATTTTGTTCACTGATACAGCCCAAGCACATAGTAAGTGCTCAATAAATACTCACTGAACAAATGATGAGAAATCAGACTACCTAGTTCAACTTAGCCCGTGTGTAGACAGGACTACTAATGACCAGAGAAGTTAATGAATTTGCTGAAGGGCACATAGCCTGCACGTTTTATTCTGACAGTGTCTTTTCTCTGAAATGATGTCATGAGCCAAGATCCCACGTAGCAGAAACATTGGTTTAGGCAATTATCTTCAGAGTATTTCTGGTAATCCTGATTTTCGGACCAGTTAGATGGATACTTTTGTTTGTGGACAAAGACTCACCACTTTGGGGTCCTTGGTCTAATTTCTGCCCTGATCCTGCAAGCCCTATATTTATGCCTCGTCCACTCTCTTTGGCTGTGTCCATGACTTTGCTAAGCCTCAGTTTCTTTATCTACAAAATGGGAATAGAAGCAGAAGTGACCTCTTAAAGTTGCATGAAGATTTATTCCTTCTGGCAAGGATTTATTGAGCACCTACTTCATGCAAGCCACAAGGCAGAGAAAATCCTTCCTCTTACAGAGCTTACATTCTGGATTGAGTGAAAAGTGGTCTGAAAGGGCTCAGTGCAAAGTGAATGCTCAGGAAATATTAGCTTTCTTGTTATCACTGTTACTATTATTATAAGTCAACCTAAAATCCATCTCCAGTGAGGGCTTTCTCTTCATTGGCCATAACTTGTAGACTTTGAAAGTGACTTTAAGTGCAGAGCAAAATACAAGTTGACACCATGTTGATAGTTTGGCTCACTGGGTGATCACCAGGCAGGCTTAGCTCCCTGTGTCCCACCCTGTCCACGAAGACAAAAGAACAACTCATCCCTGCAGACCAGACTCTCAAAATGCTCTAGATGCAAAGAGAGAGAGAGTAATATTATCTATCACTAATATAACATTTTCCACGTGCTGACCTCCGGTCTAAGTGCTTTGCAAATATTAACCCATTTAATTATCACAACGACCCTATGAGACTGGTGTTATCATTCTCTCCTTTTTACAGGTGAGAAAACTGAGGCCCAGAGAAGAAGATGACTTTACGGTGATGCAACGAGTGGCAAAGCCACGCCCCAGCAAGGTGGCCCATGCCCTTACACATGACCGTGGGCCTCTGCCTTCCTTCAAGGGCGCACTTCTCAGATACCTGCTTCGAGGCAACGCCTCCTTTCCGCATGAAAACATGCAGACGTGGTACGCACCGTCAGGAAGTTTGTGAGCGAGGGGAAGGACATCAGGACCTGCAGCAGATTCCCGCTGCACGAGAAGCCGTCTCCCACGTAGCCCACCTTGCAGGTGCAGTTCACATCTGGAAGGCAGGAGCACACAGGGTCCCACTCCGTGAGGCAGGGGCCTCGGGGGCCCGCCTCGCCCACGAAGACCGGCTGGCCGGGCCGAGGATGGCTCACCAGCAGTGTGGCCTGGGATCTGAAGTGCCGCTGGGAGACTTACCTTTCATCCGGTAGCAGAAGACATCCCACATTTCACTCTTGTTTCTTGGTCCATAGTTTACTATCCCAACAAAGCCAGAGCCACAGTTTGGGGAGGAGTAGGCTGTGGGGTAGGCAACCCACCCGCTCTCAAGCCAGCCTGCCGAACAGAGGTGGTAGTTGGCCTGTAGGGACACAGATGTGGCCACGGTCACTGGCAACTTTAGATCTGTTGTGGAGTCCTTTGGTTAATGTCTGGTTCCCCTTCAGCCTGTACACTCTATGGACTCAGGGGTCTGTGGCTCATTTTGCCTGTTGTACCCCTCTGCCTATAACATAGCAGGTGCTCATTAAGTTTTTGTTGACTGAGCCATTGGCTAAATGAAAGCGGCGCCCTCTCTTTCTTGAAGGTGCCCGAGTCCTTCACACTCATTTCTCTTCTCTCTGTTCTTGAGAAAAGATTTACTCCCAGCCATTTACCCCTGGGTACAAATTCTTCTGCTTATGGATTGGCAGAACTCTAACTGATCATCACCATCATCATCCTTTCCATGATTACTATCATTATCACTACCATCAACATCACCATTGTCACCTTAATCGTCACCGTAATTACCATTAACATCACCGTCATCATCACCACCATCAATCACCATCACTATTATCATCATCATTATCAAACACAGAGAGCTTATTCTGAGCCAGGCTCTGTTGCAAGGGCTTTTCATGCGTCAACACCACCTTTAACCCTCACATCAACCCTCTGGGATAGGAACTTTAAAACACTCCCTATCACGTAAGGGAGAAAATGGAGGTAAAGAGGAGCAAAGGAACTTGCCCCAAGTCATGCAGCCAGCAAGTAGCAGAGCTGAGATTCAAACCCAGCAGTCTCCTCCATACGGAGTTCCTGCTGCGTGCCAGCCACTGTGCCATATTACCGTCAGTCCTTGTACAAACGTGCCAAGTGGGACAGAGGTGTCAATGGCTCCATCAAGGCCACATCACCGGCAAGCAGGAGAGTGGGAATTCACTCTCCAAGATGCTGGGTTCTGGCATCAAAGGCTTTGTTCCTTGATAAAGAAACACCATGTCTGGGGAAAGGCAGAGAGGTTTGGCAGTGATGGAGGTTGCAGGCAGAGTCCTACGATGGTGCCGTGTAGCAGTCGCGTGCTGCGCTCCGCTGAGCAGCCACTAGTAACTCCAGATGCGCAGGGCTTCTGGTTTTTGAGGCCGAGAGAGTAGCTCTGGCCAGAGCTCCACTTCCTCTCTGGCTATAGCTGAGAGGTGGGGCCACCTCCATTTACTCCCTCCTCAGCACCCCAGACACAGGGGAGTCCAGCTGATCCAGACAAACTCAACTGTCTTGTGGGTTCGGGGAGATCCCAGGCTCTGTGGTCATTGATCTCTTTCTGGTCTCCAGTATGAGGTGCGCACCCCTAGTCCGTGCCTCCGCTTGGCATTTAAATGTCATGGTTGAGAACAGACATTTGGACTCAGGGCTACCGTTGAATTCTGGATCTGCCACCTCTTGGCTAGCTGACATTAGACACATCACTTAGCCTTTCAGAGCCCCAGTGCCCTATCTGTACCTCCAGGGATGTCGTAAGGATAGACAGTAAGGTCAGCAAACCCCTCCCAAAGCCTGACACATAGTAGACACCCCATGGCTGTGACAAATTGTTATTGTAGCTCTAGGAGCTTCCCACACCCCCCTCCAAGAAGGCAACAGCTCGAGTGTCCCGTGTGTAGCTCCTCCCCAGCAGTTGCATGGTGCCCACTAACTGTGGACCCACCTTCTGAGCATAGGAGAGCTGGTTGTAGGTTGCCATGGCTGCAGCTTCATTGGCACAGGCCTCTTTGGCTTTGTCAAAGGTCAGCTTATACTGGCCCAGGGGGGAGCGGAGATGGAACACTCCAATGGTGGTGTCTAGATAGGGAAGCAGAGGAACCGCCCAGGTCAGTACTTTTTGCCAAGAGCTTTGGACAACTTTCAAAGCAGAAGGCCAGCTACCAGGTCTCTGTGGGGAATCACTCATTTGGCCTTTTGTGCCTGGCTTATTTCATGTAGCACAATGTTTTCAAGGTCCATTCATGTTGTAGCACGTGCTAGAATTTTATTTCTTTTCCAAGCTGAATAATAAACATCCCATTGTATGGAGGGACCACATTTTGGTTATCCATTCATTTGTTGATGGACATTTGGGTTGTTTCCACCCTCTGGCTATTGTGAATAGTGCTGCTGTGAACATGGGTGGACAGATACCTGTTCGAGTCTCTGGTTTCAATTTTTCTCTATTCTCTCTCAATTGCACCGTCATCATGAGAGAAATTGCTGTCTTCAGTCTTATTAGTTTATATTCCTGTTCTTATGAAGTTAAACAATTTCCTCAACTATTTTGGGAATATCCTTGTAGGTAGACACTGTCATTATCCTGTGTATTCCCCTGCTTATATACACCCTCTATCTCATCCCCAAAAGAAATTCGAGGTGTCTTAGGACTTAATATATGTTATAGACTGAATGTTTGTGTCCCCCTCAAGTTCATATGTTGAAATCCTAACCTTCAATGTGATGATGTTAGAAGGTGGGCCCTTTGGGAGTCATTAGGTCATGGGGTGAAGCCCTCATGAATGGGCAGAACCCTTTTTAAAGGGACCCTGGGGTCTTCATCATCCTTTCTGCCTTGTCAGAACACAGAGAGAAGCTGGCAGCCTGCAGCCCAGAAGAGGGCCCGTACTAGGACTTACCACGCTGGCCCCCTGATAGTGGATGTCCAGCCTCCAGAACCATGAGAAATAAATTTCTGTTGTTCATAAGCCGCCCAGGCTATGGTACTTCGCTATAGCAGCTCGAGTGGACTAAGACGCTCCATAACCGTATTAAGTCTACAGTCATGATGGAGATGCGAGAAAACTGCCTCCCTGAAGCCAACCCAGCCCAGGCGGAGACCTCCCAGCGGCCATAACATGCAGGGCCCGGATCGCTTTCCAAACCCCGGTTCAGAACTAGTTTGTGGGTCCTTTATGGCTTTCCTCCATTAGGTTTCAAGATGCCCCATCTGCTGTACCTCAGTACTTCTTAGTTTTATTACACCTGTGAGTTTATTATATGCCATTCAACTCATCCTTGGAAGTGGGTGGGGTCTATGCCAATCAATGTGCTACTATCCAAACGCTGCTAAGAAATTCCTTCTGCACAGGCGGCCACTTCCTCTGTGTTGTGTAAACCGTCAACTATGCTCCTTAGATTCAAATCCAATTAGGAGTTGCAGGGATTGCTAAGCAACTTGAGGAGAGCAAGTATCAGGACAACTCATGATAGAGGACCTCTGAGCTTCCTTCTCATTCTCACGCTCAGCGTCCGGTTCTGAGCTTACTCGCCCTCCACTCAGAAGCCACTGCCCGCGGCACACCGCGTCCTGGGCTATGCATGGGCTGTTTGACCTCCAAGTTTTTTATTTTATTTTTTAAATTAATTTGTTTTTGTTACAGATGTTTCTCCTTTCTCCCCCATTGACACCCTCCTCCTCCTCCTCCCTGCCCCATCCCCAGCTTTGTTGTCCATGTGCATTGGTCATGCACACATGCATACAAGTTCTGTGGTTTATCTCCCCCCAAGCCCCCCTGAGGTTTGTCAGTCTGCACCCCACCTCTATGTCTCTGCGTCAATTTTGTTCATCAGTTTTTTTAGTTCATTATATTCCACAAATAAGTGAGATCATGTGATATTTGTCTTTCTCTGCTTGGTTTGTTTCGCTTAGCATAATACTCTCCAGGTCCCTCCATGTCATCTCAAAGGATAAGAAGGACCTCCAAGTTTTTTATTTTTTAAAAAATTAATTATGTTGTAAAATGTAATGAAATTAAAATTGTATTAAAATTTTTTTCCTTTATTGATTTTATAGAGAGAGGAAGTGAGAGGGAGAGATAGAAACATAGATGAGAGAGAACATCCATCGGCTGCCTCCTGCATGCCCCCCACTGGGGATCGGGCCCACAACCTGGGCACGTGCCCTGACCGGGAATTGAACCGGTGACCTCTTGGTGCATGGGTCGATGCTCAACCACTGAGCCACAGCCGGACTAAAATTGTATTTTTTAAGGTTAAATTTTTTCTTTTTTTTTTTTAATTTTTTTTTTATCCTCACCCGAGGACATTTTTCCATTTTTTGTTCAGATAGAGCGGGAGGGAGAGAGGAAGAGAGAGAGAGAGAAACATCGATGTGAAGGGACACATCGAGTGGCTGCCACCCGCACGACCAACCAGGGCCGGGGACAAAGTGCAACCGAGGTACATGCCCTTAGCGGGAACTGAACCCGGGTCTCTCTGGACCGCAGGCCGACGCTCTAACCGCTGAGCCAAACCGGCCAGGGCTAAGGTTAAATTTTTTCTTTTGCTCTCGCACAGATCCCTGCCCCAAGCCTGAGACCAGGTGTTTTGGACCCGCAGCCTCTCGCACACTGACCTTGGAAGTGGAGGTCAGCACAGGTGGCATCGGCGTGGCACTGCCCGTTGTCCTGCAGGCAGCGGTCGAGGGGCAGCTGCTCTGGCTCGCAGCTCACTCCGTCTCCTATGTAATGACTTTTGCATTCACACTTGTGCTTGCCCTGTGGAGAGAATGGAAAGGGTGAAAAAGCCCCTTGCCTAGGACCCAGGCCCCCAAGGGCTCTGTGGGCCCCCATCCAGCATAGATGTTCAGAAAGACCAAGAATGTGCGCCTCCCCTGTGCAGTGGAATGAAGTGGCTGCCGTGTGGTGCGTTTGTCCAGGATCGTGATGAAACGCCGTCCTTTACATGTCAGCTCAGATGTCACCTGCCCCTAAGTAAGGTAGCTCTCCAGTCCCTTCCACCGCATGGCCGGTTGAGGTTCTCTCTGAAGGGACCCTGCTCATTTCTTTCTGCACTGAGCACCGCCCCTCCCTCTGCTCATATACAAGCATTTATTGCGACATCCCTGACACTGCAAATGCACATAGTAGGTGCTTGATGACCATTTGTTGAATCAATAAATGATCTCATTTGATCCCCGCAACAATCCTAGGAGAGCTGCATTATTTGTTATTAGACACACTTTGCCGATGAAACTGAGGCTCAGAGAGATTAAGTAGCCAGCCTCAGGCCACACAGCATGTAAGTCCAGGAGCTAAGACTCAAAGGCTGTCTGACTCAAAGTTCACGTTTACAACCACAGCGGACGTGATCTCCCATCATCTTCTCTTCCCATCAGCTGAACAGGGCCCCAGGGTGCTGGTTCCACTCTAAAAAGCCTTGAGGGAGTGCCCAAACCTATACTGTTCCTGCCGCCTCTTACCAACTCTTCTTGTTTTAATACCATTTTTAGTTTGAGTTAGTTTAGATTTGTAGAAAAGTTGCAAAGATAGCAGAGAGTTCCTCCCATACACTGTCCACCCAGAAACTGATCTCAGATTTCCCTGGGGAGGCAGACTCACCGGGCCGGTCATTTTGCAGGTGGCATGCTCATGGCACCCACCGTTGAGGCCGTCCGCACAGGGGTCTATCTCTGAGCAACTGCGACCGTCCCCCTTGTAGCCCTTCTGGCAGCTGCAGGAGACCTTTGTGCCCTTCTGGGAGCACTTGGCGACCTTCGCACAGCCCCCGTTGTTCTGTTTGCAGAAATCCACCACTATAAGAATAGGGTGGAGAGGGCTTCATGAGCCACTGTCTGTGTAACTGGAACCTCAGAATGGGCTATGGGTCACCCCAGGACCAGTGGCACTGGGGGGAGTAAATGGGCCCCAGCACGTTGACACCTCCTCTCCCCATGCCCTGGTCTGTGTGCTAGCCTTTGCAAATGCTAATATCATGTGGCAAATCCCCGATGATATCTGCTGGCCTCTGTCCCTTTGTCATATACTTCTAGCCTCTACTCAGGTAGCACTTTCCTGCATGAGTTTGGGTTTTGGTAGCACATTGATTGGCATTGTTAGGACAGTATGCGTGTATATATGTGTGTGGAGTTAGCAAACTATGGAGCACTTGTGAGATAGGTATTGTACCCATTCTACAGATGAACATACTGAAACTCACTGACCCGATAAAGGTAAAAGGGCTAGAATGGGGCGGGGCTGGGATTTAAACCCAGGTCGGTTTGACTACGAAGCCCATGCTGTCCCCACTGTGTTGTGCTGCCTCTTAGCACCTTTGTTTTCACCATCCCCCAAATTTCAACCCAGTGGATTAGCTCTAGCCTCGGGAGTAGCTGAAAAGCCATCTGATTTCTGTTGCCTGTCTTTTTATGGGCCACTTGAGACCCTGAGAGAATGGATATTAGGACAAAAGGCCCTACCCTAAGGATGGCAGGGTCAAAAGACAGACCTGGGACTTTGCTGCCACTGTCTGGTGCTGCCTCACTTCTGGACTGCCTTGTGGCACAAAACAACAGGTATAGCAAGATCTCATTTTTGTAAAGAAAATCTATTATCTCTGTGAATAATTATTTGTGAAAAAAGGTACTTGTGGCCAAGATTGGTAGCTTTCCCCTAGTATTTACTGTGCCCTTTATCTATTATAATAGATTTTTAGCTGGGCTCATGATTGCCCTATGAAAGACTACATTTCCCAGCTTCCTTGCTGCTAGATGTGGCAGAAAATGAGGATCCAACCAATGGAATAGGAGCACACAGGATTTTAGCAACTACTAGGTGTGTCCTTAAATCTCCTTCCTGTCCATCCTGCTGCCTGGGATGTGTTCATGGTGGTGGCCATCTCAGGTTAGGCAACTGAATGATGGCAGAGCAACAAGACAGAAGGAGTCTGGGCTCCCAGATGACCTTTCAGAGTGATACCCTTAGTTAGCCCTGGATGCCTCCATCCAAACTGTTATATGAGATAAAAATAAATATCTAAACATTAGCCTTATTTATGCCACTGTTCCTTCGGGTCTCTGTGTGGCTGAACCCATATCCTAATACTAAAGACAGACATTGCAGTGCTCAGAGTGGTTCTCACTGAATGATGAAAGTATGCGTAGGTCTAACTGTTGTTTTTACTACTATAGTGTATCTTCTGAGTTTTTTGAAGTAAGACTAGATTACTCATAGAGTTATAAAAACACTATAAATTAAACTGCTTCATGGTTTGCAAAGCAGTTTCAAACCATGACCTGGAAGGTGGGCAGGTCAGGCATAAGCAAACCCATTAAGGAAACTGAGTCACAGAGAGGGTGGGTATTGCCCAGTGGCCCAGGCAGGAGGTAGAAGGGCCAGGATGGAGTCCAGGCACTGACTGAGTCCTGCTCCACTTCTGTCCCCGCTGCTGTTTCACACCCGCACACTCGGCCCCTACCTGTGCACGTTATCCCGTCGCCTTCATAGTTCAGGTGACACTCACACGTGTTGTTCTCCCTACAGGTAGCATGAGCCGAACAAGGAGGTGTGCACACTGGGGGCAAAACTGCAAAGAAAAAGATCACCATTCCTCTTGCATCATGGTGAGAAGAGTTGGGACCCACCCACGGCATCTCCCCAAACTCGCTCTCTGGCCCGCCACTGTGCTTCAAAACTATCCCCTCACAGCGGCAGGATGGGTGACTGGCTAAGGTCCCTCCTAGCCTGGAGATTCTGGATTTACTCCTTTATATTAAGACATGATCTCTGTAATGTTAATCAGATTAAAATGCAAATATGTTACCTTTGGGGGCAACCAATTACACTTTATACTTCAACATTTGCTAACAGAGATGAACGTGGTGGATTAGCTCTCTGGTCCTCAGGGCATGGGGTTCTGGATGGAGACAGTTAAATTCCAGGCCCTTCTGAGGGAGCTTTGGTGGCTGGATGGTGCTGCAGGAAGCCACGGGGCAGCCGGAGCTCAGGGGAGCAGGACGTGGGGAAGGAGGAACTGAGGTTAAGGGTACTGTTGGAGTTCTGGAACTTCAGGTTGTCAAGCCCAGTGAAGATCTCAGTCCTGCCCTCCCTTTGGGTCCCAGAGAGGATGAAACGACAGTGATTCACATCAGATAATTCAACCTTTATATCTCAGACCTTCTGCCAGCAACAGGGCTTTGGGCATGAGGGAGGCCTCAGAACACTGACAGCTCAGTAAGGATCAAGAAAATGGCAGCCCTGGCCAGTTTGGCTCAGCGGTCAGAGCATCAGCCTGCGGACCAAAGAGTCGCGGGTTTGATTCTGGTCAAAGGCACGTACCGGGTTGCAGGTTCTATTCCTGGCCCTGGCCGGGGTCTTGTCGGAGGCAACCAATCGATGTCTCTCTCTCTCTCTCTCTCTCTCTCTCTCCCCATCGATGTTTCTCTCTTTCTCTCCCCCTCCCACTCTATCTGAAGATAAATGGAAAAATATCCTCTGGTGATGATTTAAAAAAAAAAATGATGACATGATAACGATGACGTGATTACGATGACATGATTACGATGGCATGATAATGGCAGCTACTGTTTTTAGGGTCCCGCGTACACTGGGCATTTCAAAACCACCATCTCTGGCCCTCACAACCACCTTTGCCCTAACACACTTCTTTTTAAGGACGAGCGTGTGGAGGCTCAGAGCGGGTGGGTTTTCTGAAGCCGTTCATCTCATAAGTAGCAGACTCGGGTCAGATTCGAGATTCCCAACTGCACTTTCTATGAAACCACCCAGCCTCCGGGCCCAGGACCACGGACCCGAGGCATCATTGCCGCCCAATCCTGTATTCTTTGCATGCGGTGGGGCCTTCCATGATTGCACAGGACTGCACGGTGGTTTCACGGGTTTGAATCAAATATTTTCATCTATTTTTCCTACTTTGCCACAATGCCTGAGGCTTGGGGCCACATATCCACGTCAGCTTTTCCACGTGGAAAAGGGAACACCTGCTGTGTTGTCTTTCTTTTTTTTCAGGTGTTGCCCCACCCCACCTCACTTGGTTTCTTGGGCAGGGTCCACGGCAGCGTGGTGCTGCCAGCATCTGCCCACGCCCACGACTGACCTGCCTGCGTGTCACAGAAGCGGCCGGTCCACCCTGCTTCACAGAGGCACTGCCCGGAGCCCGTGATCCCCTCGTCACACTGTCCGTGGTCTGAGCAGACACAGGCTGTAAGACAAATTGGGGTGTGATGAGTACTAGGTGATCAGGAATTGAAATCCATCCAACCAGCTCACTTGCCACCTGTTGGCTATATAGACAGTGTGGGAGGCACCCTGCTCATGCCATAGTCATTCATTCACCCACCCAGACATTCAAAAACTAACCTGTGCAGTGGCTGTCATGGGGCAGATGCTACTAGGCAATGAGGCTACGCTGGAAAACCTAAGACACAAGCTCCCTGTTCTCATGGAGCTTACAGTCTAGGAGTAATGGGCTATCGAACACGTAATTATAAATATGGTGAATGTCATAAACACAGAAGTAGAGAATGTGATGGGGTATATAACAGGATAGAAGGTGGAGAGGACCTTATCTGGGCTTCCTAATAGAGAAACCTGTTCAATAGTAAAATCTTCAGGATTCGTGCCAGTTCTACTTCGTGCCACCCCAGTGCTACCACTGCAGCCCAAGGCAGCACCAGCTCTCACCTCGACTGTGGCGTTAGCTTCCCTAAAGGTGGCCCTGCTTCTGCGCTTCTCTCCTGCTGTGTATTCTCCACAGCGCGGCTGAGCGACCCTTTCTAACCTGCTTATGACAGTCCTCCAGTCATAACCGTCCACTCAGGGTAGATGCCATATATCTTTATATATCTTTCTCTGGCCGAGAAGCTTCCATGTGATCTGGCCCCTGGTGACCTTTAGATTTTATTCCTTCCTTCCTTCTTTGCTTACTCTGCTCAGCCACCCTGGCCTCTTTGCTGTTTGTTTCATGCCAAGCCCACTCCTGCCTCAGGGCCTTTGCACTTGCTCATCACTCTTCCACCATTCCCTTTACCTGCTTCTTTTTATTTATACCTTTATAACTATTTTTGTTTCTGCAGTTTTTATCTGTTTTTTTTCCTTTCGAATACCCACTTTTTGAGAACTGGGATTTTGCCTCCTCCTACACCACTGTATCCTTACAACTTAGAACAAGTCCTAGCTTTTGAGAAAGTCACGGAGCCTCTTTGTGCCTCAGTTTCCTCATCTTCTAAGTGGGAACAACAACAGTATCTACCCCAAAGGGTTGTTGTGAGGATTAAGTGGTAAAACATATCTGCCTGGCACTTGGTAGGCACTCCACAAACTATTAGCTGTCAGTATTTGTAAGGACTGATAATACATGTTGGTCGAATAAGCGAATGAATGAATGTTCAGGCACAGCTTGCCGGCGCTACAGGCGATGTGAGTTTCATGTTTAGAGATGAAGATCATGCAGTGGATGGAAACTGGGAATACATGCAAGGAGGGAAAGCATGTAAGGGCAGGCAGATGGGGGTGGATGGCTGGGAGGGAGGGAAGAAGATGCTCCTAGGTCAGGAGACTAGTGTGGATTAGGACAGTGAGCACACAGCTGAATCACAGGCTGCACATAGGGGAGTGGGTGCCACGTACGCTGACAGTCAGGCCCGAACCTCCCTGGCCCACACAGCTCGCACGCTGTCCCGTTGAAGCCAGTGTTGCATTTACACTCTCCTGTGGCCGAATAGTGATCAAGGCAGACACCTCGGTGATTACATGGTGCATCCGGTCCTCCAGGGCAGGCTGGAAGAGATGAAATAGCAGGGACTCAACAGTCTCCCTAGCATTTGCAAATGTGCTGCTAACTCATCCTAAGCTGTGGGTTCCAACCTCCATTAGCCTAGAGGGACTGTGGTTCTGAGGACACACCCACATAGTGTCTTGATGTTTAGGGCAAGCCACTGGTCTATGGGACATGAAGTTAAATGTATCTTATGGGGTTCTGTCTTGGCAGGGTGATACACTGAACTGTGTACTGTTTTTGGGGGTCAGGAGACCTGGCTTGAGTAGATCTGGGCTGAATATTGAACTTTCTTTGAGTTTTAGTTCTCTTAGCTCTGGATGATGTTGGTGATGGTGATGATGGTGATGATGATGGTGATGATGGTGGTGATGGTGATGATGGTGATGATGGTTATGATGGTGATAATGATGATGATGGTGATAATGATGATGGTGATGATGGTAGTGATGGTGATGGTGATGATGGTGGTGATGGTGGTGATGGTGATGATGGTTATGATGATGATAATGATGGTGATGGCGATGATGATGATGATGGTGATGATGGTGATGATGGTGATGATAATGATGATGATGATGGTGGTGATGGTGATGATGGTGATGAAGGTGATGATGATGGTGATGGCGATGATGATGATGGTGGTGATGATGGTGGTGGTGATGACGATGATGATGATGGTGATGGTGATGATGATGATGATGGTGATGATGGTGATGATGGTGATGATAATGATGATGATGATGTTGGTGATGGTGATGATGGTGGTGGTGATGATGGTGATAGTGGTGATGGCGATGATGATGGTGGTGATGATGATGGTGATGGCGATGATGATGATGATGATGGCGATGATGATGATGGTGGTGATGATGGTGGTGGTGATGACGATGATGATGATGGTGATGGTGATGATGATGATGATGGTGATGATGGTGATGATGGTGATGATAATGATGATGATGATGGTGGTGATGGTGATGATGGTGATGAAGGTGATGATGATGGTGATGATGATGGTAATGATGGTGATAGTGATATAATGCCCTATACCACATTGTGGCATAAGGATCAAATGAGGTTCTTTTCTCAGTTTAAAACTGAGAACATTTAAAACATATAAAGTACTAAGCAAATATAAGGGGTGGCAGTGATTTTGTGAATGGTCCACATTCTGGCGATACAGAGTGGAGGCTGGGTGACTGCGTGGACTCCCAGCCCAGAATTTCTCAACTGAACCAGAATAAATGGAGTATGTCTGGTAGTTAAAATCATGGCTTCTAGAAACACACCATGGGACCTTGGGCTTGCTTCTTACCCTCTCTGTGCCTCCATTTTCTTATCTGTATAAATGGGGATAGCAACATAATCTACTACTTAGGGGTTGTTTTGAGGTTTGCATATAATTATATATGGGAAGCAGCACCCACGCATGGCTGATGGGAAGTGCCATGGCATCTGCTACGCTGCTGCTGTTGCTGTGTTATTGGCTAGAAGCTGTATCTAGACACAGGGGTTTCAGGATGCACCTAAGGAGCCCTCTCCTGGTGAAGAAAGGGAGGACGATATTACATACTCAATAACAGAGGGTTTTTGGTTAGAAATGGCCCAAACATATCATGTTAGTCTAGCACCCTGCCAGGGTAGACTTCTATTATATGCCTTTAAACTCATGTGCTTATCAGTATCATGGACTACAGTAAAAAGTGAAATACAGTGTTTCGAGCGCCATGGGAAATGTCTTATAGTATAATGGTAAGCAAAAGAGCATGATCCACAATCACAGTCCATGCACTAGACTCTCAACTCTGGCAAAAACAAAACAGGACAAAAGAAAAAGCCAAAGGAAAGCTACACAGCTCTTCAGAATGATTGCTTTTGGATCTTTTCTTAGCAGACTCATTAGGAGGATGCACCCCCTGCTTCCACCCACACACACACTTTATAATGTCAGTACTTTCAAAACTTTCAGTACTCTGCAAAGTGATTGTGCAACCTGTCTGGACTCTCAAGGCGAGAAGAGGCACCCTCACCCTGACAGTCTCTCCCGAAGTAGCCCTTGCAGCACCTGGGGAGCGGGATCACCAGGGCACACAGCTGCCGGCAGCCTTCCAGGTTCTTCCTGAAGGACAGGTTGTACAGACACTTCTGCTTCACGCCCTGAAGGAAGAGAGTGAACATGCATCCCTCTGCCTTCTGCCAATGAGCTTGGGCTTTGGTCTCTAGCGTGCGCCCACTGGGGGATCCGGGTGTTGACGAAGTCGAAAATGTGACTCAATGTCTTTACAGGGAATTCTTGTCTTAGGGCAAATGAATGGGGGAGGGTGCAGAGCTACAGAGATTTCTCCCCAGTCTTAAGACCCTTGGAGTGTTTGCAAAGGGTGTGGTTGCCTGGTGAGAGCGCAGGGGAGAGGTAGCTTTCTATCACGGGAGGGGCCCCCAAACATCAGAAGGGAAGGTCTGAGTTACACTGTGTTTTGTAGGAGTGTTTCTGTTAGAGGTTTTCTTAGTTGAACAGAAAGAACTTGGCTTTGGAATAAGTAATAGCACCGATATTTGATGAACACTTACTAAGTGATAGGCTCTGTACATACATTTTAAAACTTAGAGAGGCAAAAATGTATAGATGATGTAATTTGCCAAAGACTGCTCACTGAAATTCGACCCCATAATCTATGAACTCCAAATTTCATTGGTTTAACCAATACTTTCACGTTGCTTTCTGGGCCCTACTCCTAGCTTTGCTCCTGACTAGCTGTGTGACCTTGGCTGATTGCTTACCCTCTGACACTCATATATATACTTTTAAATATGTTTTTATTAATTTTATAGAGAGAGAACGAGAGAGATAGAAACATCAATGTGAGAGAGAAACATCGATTGGCTGCCTCCTGCACGCCCCCTACTGGGGATGGAGCCTGAAATCTGGGCACGTGCCCTGACGGGGAATCAAACTGGGACCTCTCAGTCCATGGGATGATGCTCAGTCCACTGAGCCACACCGGCTGGGCAACACTCATATTTTTCATAAGCGGAGGTAATAGCTTCTTATGAGTGTTATAATCAGGAATAGGGATACTGTCTAAGTAAAGAGTCCAGCATAGCCCCAGAGACATGAACAATAGTCAACAAAATCCAGCTATTATTTTTATCATTATAATAATCTTTGAAGTTCCTTCTAGGTCTACAATCCCATGACTTTTCTATACAGTTCCTAGAAAACGGGTTGTGGGTTGAGGTTGCCTGGGTGAAGAATGTTCAACTCTCACCCCATTTGCCTAGTTGTGGAAAGAAAGGCATAAATTACAGTTATGCAGCACACCCACTGATGCACACCTACTCATGCCTACTGGAAGATGGGGCTCTGATAATGAAACAAACCTATTGTTCTCTCGGTGTTACCAGGGCATTCATAATTACCTTTGCTTTCGTCCACCTGGGGCAGCTAGGAGTGTAGGTACAGCTCCCACAATTGCCCTAGTAGTCAAGAAAAGAAACACTTAAAAATCAAGAATATTGGGAAACACAAGGAAACACCCATGGTGAATTCTTGATGAGTTGACTAAGAATTTAATTTTGATTTTAAGATTCTGGCCATGATCAAGAATCTAAAAGCAAACACACTGCAACTTTGCCCTGGAGAATTCGGAAGGTCTGTCTTGGAGCTTGGCTCCTTAGTTTTGTCCTTGGTGATGACAAGCTCCTTGTTACACAGAGGTGGACCATGGCTGCGGCATGCAGCCACGTGGGATACCGGTGGGAAACGTGGACCATACGTGAGCTGGGATACTTTTAGCCAATCACATTCTTTAATCCTTCATTTTCTGATCTATAAAATAGGGATAATAATTCTTGATACTATTTGATCTTCAGGGACTTGGTAAGGAAAAATGATTAACTGGAAAAAAAAAATGTGTGTGAATCTACTTTGGAAGTTAAGAAGGCCACCATCTCAAGAGCAGACAGGATAACTGGGTTTTCATCTCCTACTTTGGCTGACTGGTATCCTGATAATTTGGGGGTAATTACTGAATGCCTACAAGTTGGCAGATACCAAAATCAACTGGTGAAAGACTGCCATGTAAGTCATTTCACCTCTTTGACACCCCATTTCCAAGTCTTTATAGTAGAGTTGATGATAACTACTTCTATTATTGGGTTCTTGTAGGGATACGGTGAGTATCGAGTCAAACTCAAGAAATGGAACTGGGTGGATGATACGTGTGACTGTGAAAATACCCGCGCAGGGCAGGGCCTAGGATAGAAGTTTGACCAGTGTTGTTAATCCCTGAGCAAATGGATGGAGGTGGGGGCGGCATAAATAGTATGTGAAATTGCTGTGTTTGTCTTCACAGCCTGTTGGATATGGCGTTTCTTATGGTTTAATAGAGCAGAAGCTCAGAAATGCTTTTGAATGAATGAATGAGCAACTGGATGGATGGGTGGGTTTGAAAATGACTGGCAGGGCACATGGTTGGTGCCCAACAACTGTTTCTTTAATGGTGAGGGAATAAATAGATGGGCGGGTGGGTGGATAAATGAAAATTTGCAAGGCCTGTGCGGGTGCAGGTAGATGCTTGTTGATTGTGAATCTGAAGAACACGGTCATTCGGCCTCTGATCTCTTGGGTCCCGGACTCGGAGGACCAGCCCTCAGTAGTTTCACAGCAGAGCCCATGCCGGGTCATGAGGGCTGTTCTTTGCCTCAAGGTTCTCTTACCACAGGAAGAGGAGTGTTTTCTAGGACTGACCGAGACATTGAATGTAGTGAAAGTGTCACAGCGGCCCCCTAGGGTGGGGTCAATCAGTAGACAGTCAATGCCATAGGCCACACCCAGGTCAAATAAGATCTCCCGTTGTATAATTCTGCACGGTTGGTCATTCAGGAAAAGTTTGCCCTGAGAGAGAAAGAGAGAAGAAGGGAGGGAAGGGGAGAGGGAGAGAGAGAGAGAGAGAGAGAGAGAGAGAGAGAGAGAGAGAGAGATATCAACAATCCTTCTTAGACTTCTTTTCTTCCTGGGTTGCAACAATCCTAGCACTTTTCTGCTGAGGTCCACCTAGCAAAGTTCATGGATACATTTCTGCCCATCCCAGGAAGTAAAATGTTTTCAGAAGTTTCTATGAAAAGACAAAAAGATAAATCTCAGCACCTATGGTGTGATGGACACAATGTGATTCATTGGAAAGAACACCACAGGAGAACTATGGTTAAATCCCCCCACTTCTGTTTACACGCTGTGTGACTGGGCAAATCAATGGACTTCTCTGAGATTCAATTTTCCTCACCGGATAAGTAGGATTAATGATTCCATTGCATAGGGTTGTTATAGACATTAAACTAAATAATACATTTCAAAATTCTCTCAAAGCTGTATTAGAATGATCAGTGGGTGTTCCTGTTTTATTTCTTTGATAGGTGTCCAGTTTGGTCTATGAAGATAGTACAGCTGATCTAGAGTGTAAGTATATGGGGGTAACTTTCCAGAATTTGGATTGTAAAGATGCTAACATTCCTCATATTTAGTTATAAATTCAATGCAATTCCAATCCAAACACCAAAGAGATTCTGGGTGGTCATCAGTTGTAAACAGAAAGTTGTATGGGACTTCTCAGAAGGCTTCTTGAAGAGAATCAACTCATCTGAGAGCTGTATCCCTTTTGCTATTTCTCTTTCCTACTGTCTGGAAAGTGGACGTGGTGGCCGGAGCTCCAGCAGCCATGTTGGACCGTGAGGTAACTTTGAGCTGGAAACACATGCTGAAGAGCAGAAAGACAGAAGGAGCTCCCCCACTGAGCCATCATACTAGCTTTGGATGAGCCACCTTCTGATTTCTTTTATAAGAGAAATGAACTCTTATATATTTAAGTCACTGTCACTTTGGGTTTTCCTTGATGTGCAGGATATAGGGTGTAGCTACTATCATCCTATCATATCCATTCATCTTATGGAGTTACAGGAACGTAAAATTGTTCAGGAAATAGCCAGGGAAGGGAAAATTGCAAACTTTCTCTCTGTTGGCTCATTTAAGAAGCTATAGCCCAGAGCTGGTTCTGGTCGCCAAGAGAGGCCTGGAGACCAGGACACAGTGGGGCTAGAGAGGAAGGAAAAGGAACGACAGTGTACTTTCCTGCTTCAGGGAAGTGTCTCAAATGGAAAACAAATGCTCCACAACTAACTGACTAACTAACTAACTAACTAACTAACTAACCAACCAACCAACCTAAAAGCTGCTCTCCACATGTGTAAGAGGAAGGGGGCTCCTTGACACCTGCTATCAGGGCTTAGGTGGGTCGGGATTGATCAGGTTTTTCATATCTGCTTTCTTACTGTCAGGGGAAATCCCTCCCAAGGCAGTGAGGGAAAAGAGCGGGCTGTCAGTGATGGGAAAAAATGAACATCTTGAAAGGGCAGTGGTGGGGGAAAGCTGATAATGTGTGCCCAACCCCCACCTGCGCGACAGTACTCACGATGTCACTGTCGGTTCCACACTGCACACTCAGCTCGGAGCCTTGCAGGGTCTTCCAGGCAGCAGACCTGGGGAGATCCACTGCTAACACCTGTAGGAGCCAGGATGCCGCATTAATACCCCACATTTGGGCGGAGGAAGGACCCAAAGGAGCTTTGCCAACAAACCAAATTCAGGCACACGTTTTCCCAAGAGTTCTAATAATTCCAGTTTTAAAACGACAGTAGGTATAATCAAAAGGAATAGTAAGTACAGGCCCTCTGGGAGCTTGGAAATTCTTTCTGTAGGGAACGTGTCTGGCAGCCACCCTTGTCACCCTTCCGTCTCCCGTGTACGTGTGGGAGTCCACTGGAGAGGCTTTCTTGGTGCGTGAAGCCCATGGCAGGACGAATGGGTTCGGGGAATGGCACAGGGCGCTGTTACCGGTTGAATTATGTCCCCTCCCCCCACATCAGAGTCCTGCCCCCCATTACTTTAGAACGTGATATTACTTAGAAATAAGATCATTGCAGATGTAATCAGCTAAGAGGAAGTCACACTGGAGGAGAGCGGGCCTCTAAGCCTATTGGCTGGTGTCCTTGTAAGAAGAAAGGAGGGAAGTAAGAAGAAAGACAGAAACGCTCAGGGAGAAGGCAGCTTTGTGACAACAGAGGCAGAGACGGCAGGGATGCGTCTGCAAGCCAAGGCATGCCAAGGACGCCGGGGGATGCAGGGAACAGATGCTCCCTTAGAGCCTCAGGGAGGAACAACCTTGTCAGCACCTGGATTCCAACCTCCAGCCTCCAGAACTTGGAGACAACACATTTCTGTTGTTTCAAGCCACCCAGTTTTGGTCATTTGTGATGGCAGCCCAGGAAACTAATACAGATCCTATGAGTTAACCAGAGTTCGGACAGCTGCCTTTTTTGGGACTGGACAGATTCATTCCTGGAGAGAAACATGTGTTGAGGGTTTTAGCAAGATCTGCCCAGTTCCCTCATTCAGATCTCGAGTCCCCGAGCACAGAAGGCCAGTTCAGGAATGAAAAACTGCCGCTGAACGAACCAGTCCTCTGCCTAGAAATTTTGGAATTGGGAGAGAAAGCGTCCATCTGGAGAAACTTGGGGACTGCTGTCAGCAGCCACTTCACCAGGAGAACGACAGGGGTGAGCAAGCTGATCTGCTCTTCAAGACGGGGACGCTGCCATCGGGTATCGGTGAACGAGAGAAAGTAAAGGCAGGTTGGAGAAACGGGACGAGTGTGGTTCACTGCAGGGGCCAGTTCGTGACGGCCAGTCGGACAGTGGGACAAGGGCTGCTCACGATTCCTGGACTGCGTCACCCCTCGGCCTCCCTGCACTCGTGTCTGCGTGAAAACCACATACCTTGGCATCTCGGATCACATGGAACTTGATGTACTCCTTCAGCTTGTCCTTGTTGTCTTGACTGAACAGGAAGTCCTGTTGCTCAGCAGGTAGGGCTTGGAGGGCTTGGTCCGTGGGCCAGAAGAGAGTGACCGGGGTGTGGATAGGATCAGTGATGACGCTCAGCAAACCAGAGTCCTGAAACACAGGGTGGGTCGCATGCTCAGCCAAACCCAGCAGTGAGGACCGAAGGCAGCTGGAGGTCCCCTCTGTGCCGACCGGGCGACACGGCCAGAAACCAGAGGCTCATGACACTCCAGCCATTCGGACCCTCATTTTCTTAGAAAGCAAAACAGGAAGTCAAATTCTGGGCCTTTGTTAACAGGAAAATTCATCTTAAATATATATACATTGTTTACTACTCCTGCCCAATATTCTAATTTCTGGAAGACCCATTTAGCACTTTTCTCACATTTCATTTAAAAAGTAAAACCTATCCAATACTAAGATACTTCTGTGTGTTTATACGGTTTCTAGATCACATAGATCCAAAAAAGAAATGGCCAGATGAATGGGAGGGATCATTTCGAGAGCCTTCTATAACCTGGGTGCATCATGTACATGTTTTCTTGTAAATTTCCCAACAACCCTGTGAAGTAGGCTTTGTCATTCCCATTCATTAAGCCCCAGAGAGGTTTCCTAACTTGCTATGAGAGCCTGTGTTCAACCAGACCCAAAGCCCAGGTGTGTGTGGGGGGGACCATAAGGTTTTGGGCAAAGATTACTTGTCTGTAACATCCCTGGAGATTTGCATTTTGAACACCTTGAAATCTCCACTTCTTCAAAGCTGCCCCTCTGGAGAGTCTCGGCCCCAGACCATTTTGACGACTGTGGGTCGACACAGAGGTTTGTGGACTGTGCAGGGGGCGGGGCAGGGAGCCTGGGTTCCTAGAGCCCTCCTGGGGCTGCTTGGAGCAGGAGGCCAGGCAGCCTCGAGAACCCGGATCCTTCCTGCTGCTCCTCTGCAGTATTTCAACGCGAAGTTTTCCTACTCAGTTTGTAGGAACAGCCTCTGAAGCCAGAAGGCTATAGTTTGACGTGCAGTTTCTACCTGTCTGTGTCATGGGCGGTTCCCACTGCTCGGATGGGGGTGATCGCAGCAGCTGGCACACCCTCACGCCCTTCCCTCGCTCCAGCCTCATCCTCCCATTTCTAACTCGGTCAGTGCACACTACACAGCTGAACAAGCCGTACGGCATTTGGGGGACGGAGGGGCAGAGAATGACTTGGCCCTCGAGAGAGCTAGGACTTCCCCACACAGATCCCAGGACGGCAGGCTAGTGCCCCAAACAAACAAAACCACAAACACCCAAACCAGCGGCAAAGAACAAAGCAAAACCCCTCCCCAAACCAAACCTCTTCAGTCAAGTGATCCCCTGGGGTGACTTTTCGCCTAGGTTTTTACCTGTATTAAGTTGCTAAATTTGATGTAGCCGTGGTTCATTGCCGCTGTCGTAAGATTTTGCTGCAAAGATAATAAGAGTGAGAATGAAACCCTTCCTCACGCAGTTCACAACGCCCCTTAACAACAACTCAGCTGGATGCAATGAGGGCGAGAAAGGCGGCAGGTGCCGAGGACGCTCCCTGGCACCACCCCAGCTCTGGCCTACCCTCGCCTTTCTGCATTACGGGGGCTGGAAGGGTAGGCACTGCGTTCCCCACACTGCCTTGCAGCTAGAGCCCAGGTGAGATGGGTCCTCCAGGAGAAGCGTGTGCCACATTGGTGGACAGAACAACAGGAGGTGGCGGTGGCTGCCGGCAGGGAGCTGGGATCTTCGGACGAACACATGGGGAAGGCATCTGGTGACCGGACACCCGAGTCCTAGGTGGTGAGGCTGGAGGCAGGGGAGGCAGGGGTCCCCCTCTGCAGGTGTCCGGGGCTGCTTTGTGCCCAGCTGTGCAGCGTCTGATTTAGGCTCCCTGGCTTTCCAGAGATTTTTGGATGTCCATAGCTTAAGAAACTCATTTTATTTAATCCTCACCCGAGGATATGTTTATTGATTTGAGGAGAGAGAAAGAGAGAGAGAGAGAGATTGATTGGTTGCCTCCTGTATGCTCCCTCAGCCAGAATCAACCCCAAAAGCTTTTGGTGTATGGGACGACGCTCCAACCAACTGAGCTACCTGGCCAGGGCAAGAAACTCCTTTTTAAGTTAGATATAGTGGATTCTGTTGCCTACAATGAATTAATAACAACATTAAAACAGTCTTTTCTGTCAACTGAGAAGGAGTTTTACTCCAGGTCTAGTTTTTTTTTTTTAACCCTCACCTGAGGATATTTTTCTATTTATCTTTAGATAGAATGGGAGGGGGAGAGAGAGAGAGAGAGAGAGAGAGAGAGAGAGAGAGAGAGAGAGAGAGAGAGAAACATCAATGTGAGAGAGGCACATCGATTGGTTGCCTCCTGCACAACCCTGACCAGGGCTGGGTACTGAACTGCAACCGAGGTACGTGCCCTTGACTGGAATTGAACCCGTGACTTTTTGGTCTGTGGGCCGACGCTCAAACCGCTGAGCCAAACCAGCCAGGGACAGGTCTAGTTTTAGTGACATCTATCCATTCATCCATCATCCATCTAAGTAATTTTCCATCTTCCATATACACAAGACCACCTGCTCTGGTGGACACTAAAGAGCACTGATAAAATGCATGTATCTCCTTAAAATAGACTCACTTATTTGCTTCTTACTAAGACTAATATTTACTAGGCATTTAATAGTTGCTTGAGATTGAAGCAGCAAAATTCAAACGTCTCAAAACGATGCCTCAAAGTCAGAATTGAGGTAAGTTATTAGGACTATGAGTCACTCTGAGCTGAGTGTGACAGTGAGTTCACCCACCAGAATCCTTCCAGAGGCATCTCTAGGGGTGATAAGCAAGTTTTGGGGAGACAGCAATCTGTCTATGATGTGGATGACTCCGTTAGTAGTGATGATGTCACCGGATACGATCCTAGCTTTATTATTTATATATACCGTGTCCTGAAATGAACCAAAAAAAAAAAAGAAGAAAAAGTGAGCACAAATAGAAATAGACTCAAAATTACTTCTTTCTGAATGCTCACCAACATGTTAAATTGTCATAAAAGTGAATGTTTAAGCAGATCTCAAGGCAAAATCTGAAGATCCAAGTTTAGCACATTTAAAAATTACGATTATAAAGAGGAAACAGAAGACAAGAATGTCATTTTCACCTGGAGAAGTTAATAATAAATAACCCAGTCATGTCACTGTGATTCTCAAATATGAACTAACAAGCAGATCAAAATTGGCTTCTAGGTCACATGTGCTCTGGATATCACCAGCCCTCCCCTTCTGCCCACCACACTGCCCCCTTTGCAGTGAATCTGACAGCACTATTTGTGGGGAGGGAGTGGATCAGCACGGCCAAGTGGCTTTGGTCAGAAGCTTTCATCCCTCTCCACCTTCTGATCAATGCTGCCAAAAGCAGTTCTGTGAACCACCCTTGTCTCTGAGTGTGAATTCTGGCTCTACTATTTACTTACTGTGTGACCTTGGACAAGTTACTTAACTTCTCTGAGCTCAGCTGAGGAAAATACTAGTATCTATATATTCTGGAATTATTTTGAGGATTCAGTGAGTTTGTACACATCAAGCATGTAGTGCCTGGCATATAGAAATCACTCAACATGTGTTTATTATTATTATTATTCCTGCTATTACCCTAAGGAAGAGGAGAAGAAAGAAGGCCCAAGGAAAATGGGTACCTTCTGGAGGTGGCTTCTCTTACCTGTGAGACAGAGATGACAACTGGTTCTCCTTGGAGAGAAGTAGCATTTGGGGTCAGCTTCAGGTTTTCCAAGAGCAGCTGGTGGCAGGCGATCACATGATACCGAAGAACCTGGGGCATCAGGCCCTGTCTGTCCCAGTCTTTAATCTGTAATGAAGGTCAGGGTTCCTGCCAGAGCCGGGAACCTTGGCCCACTTTTCTGTCGCTGTCCTATACTCCATGCGCTCCCCCACCTCCCTCTCCCACCTGGGCTCTGGGAGGGCGGAGTCGGGTTGGCCGTGGTCAGGTTAGAGACTGTTCAGGAAGAGGGTGACAGTGCCCTGGTGGCCGTCCTGCCTCCATTTAGCATCTCAGAGGGGAAGGGAACTTGGACTTCCTTTGGTCCAGCATTTCCCAACCCATGTGGCAAGGACCCCAAGTCCTGTGAGATGCTACTTAGAAAAGAGAGTTTTATTGTGAAAAGTACGGAAACATTGCATTTGTTCCCCCGGGGCCAGAATTAAACCCTTAGAATGGGAGAGATCACGATGCTTCTCAATTTGTGAATCAAAATGCACACAAAATTAACCTTAACGTAGGTGTAATACAAAGCCCACATGGCTCTCACTGTTTTGTGATGATCCCTTTGATGCTTTAAAAAGAACTATTAAATGTCAAAGTTTTCTGAAAATTATTTTTGTGTCCCTGCTTTACTAGCATCCAAAATATATGCACAGAGCTGCAGTGTGTGGGGCTGGTTAAGAATGCAGACTCTGGGGGCATGTTGGGGTCCTTGTGCCACCATTGTCTGCGTAGTCGGGTGACCTTGGGGAAGTCACTCCTCTCAGTGTCCTCGACTGTAAAAAGGGGGTAACAGCACCCAGCTCACAGGCTGTCACGCACACTAAATGAGTTAATCTAGATCAGGCAATAGACACAGTGTCTGGTACACTCAATAAATGTTTGCCTCATTATAACATATTAATGGGCAACCCAGCACGAAGATCCTAGTGACTGTCAGGACATTAAAGGCTCTGATAAATCCTGAAAAACAAACAAACAAAAAAACCCACCAACCTATTTAAATCCCTTTAATCTAAATTCCTTTGTTGTTGTTTTTTTTTGTTTATGGGAAGTTCAGATCATTTAAGAACTGCTGATCTTTTCCAGCCTCCTACTGTATTCAGGAATTCCTTAAGAGGGTCTCTGGCCAGTGGTTACCCCAAATCCACTTGAATGCTTCCCCTGATAGGGGTCCCTATGCTGAGAGGCAGCCCCTTCCATGGCTGGTCAGCTCCAGCTGGTCTTAAATCTCCTGCCCACAAATGTATCCACTGTTGGTTCCGGGGTGACACCCAGAGTCTGTTTTGGTCCCAGACCTCTTCCAACTGCCTGAGCTCCATGCTTACCCGAAGATCCTCATCGAAGGCTGACGACCAAGGGGCGAAAACGGTGAAGGGGCCCACGCCAGCCAGGTCCCGCACAGAATGCTCCTGTGGGAAGGACAGTGAGGGACATGCTAGGTACTTAACCTAAGTCCAGGCAGGGGCCCCAAGGGCACAGGGAGTGACGGAGGCAAGCGAGCTCTGGGTGGGGAGATGTGTGCTTCATTCAGTCTCAGATTCAAGTTCATGCAGCACCGTTGTCATTGAAATCATGTTTATTATGATCTGGTTTTCCAAATAACATATGCTTATTGTATCAAAGATCTGAAGATACAGTATAAAGAAGAAAATAACTACCCATAATTCCACCACTGAGCAGTAACCCCTGCTATTTTTAGGTAGGCTTTTCCAGCGTCTCTTCCGCATGTAACTATTTTACGTAACTGGGATAATAAGACAAATATAAGTCACAGGATAATTTACTTAATGGTTCTAATTGTCTGGTTGCCAACACTAACATCCTATGGTTATATGTGCTTCTAGATTTTACTCCTCTGGGTTTTAATCTTGTATTCTTAATATACCTAGAATTTATTCAGATACATGACGTGCAGAAAGATCTAACGTGCCAGTTGCACACTAAGCGTTGCCTCTTTTCTCCACTGGTCCGACGGCAGCGTTTTCATACACCACATTCTTACGTGCAGAATGGGCCCGTGGGACATCTGCATGCTGCCCGCTCAAGGCCCACGCAGTTCACAAAGGACCAACAGAGAGCCCACTCCAGAAACCCAGGCTCCCAGGCTTTCTCCTGGGCCCCCCTCCCCGCCCCTCCCCTCCCCACAGGTTTATGATCTGGCTGAGACCTGCTCTTGCAGTGAGACAGACACACACGTTCTTACCAGCAGCTGGAAGAAGTACTGGGAAGTTCTGGAGTTTTTGGGGAGTTCCTGGAAACAAAGAGAGGGCAGGTTCACTTAATGTCGGTGAGCTATAGACAAGAACAACACAGGGTTACTGAGGGCAGTTTCTCCAAGGCCGAGGGCATCGCCCATCCTTTCAACGGGGGCCCTGCCGTCAGGGGCCTTTTCAAGCCCCATCGACAGGCTTACCACTGAAGTTCCGAATGACTGCGTGGACATACTGTGAGTCCCCAAACCTTTCCGGAGTCACCCTCTGATTTATCAAAGAAAGATTCAGCCCTGGCCGGTTTGGCTCAGCGGTTAGAGCGTCAACCTGCGGTCCTGAGAGACCCGGGTTTGGTTCCCGCTAAGGGCATGTACCTCGGTTGCAGTTTGTCCCCAGCCCTGGTCGGTCGTGTGGGTGGCAGCCACTCGATGTGTTCCTTTCGCATCGATGTTTCTCTCTCTCTCTCTCTCTCTGTTCCTCTCTCTCCCTCCCACTGTACCTGAACAAAAAATGGAAAAATGTCCTCCGGTGAGGATAAAAAAAAAAAAGAAAGATTCAGCCATTTCCAGAAACATCTGAGCTTTAAGAGTATTTTTCAAAGTTCAAATACTTTTATTTGTATTATTATTATGATTATTTTTTTTAATCCTCACCCGAGGACATTTTTCGATATTTTGTTCAGATAGAGTGGGAGGGAGAGAGAGAAAGAGAAACATAGACATGAAAGGGACACATCGAGTGGTTGCGACCCAACCAGGGCCGGGGACAAACTGCAACTGAGGTACGTGCCCTTAGCAGGAACCGAACCTGGGTTTCTCCGGACCACAGGCCGACACTCTAACCGTGGAGCCAAACCGGCGAGGGCTGTATTATTATTTTTTAAACAACAATAGACATTTATGTTTTCACAACCGGAGGCTGGAAGTCTAAGATCAAGATGTCCATAGGCCTGGCTTCTTCTGAGGCCTCCCACCTTGGCCGGCAGGTGACTACGGCCTTTTTACTGACTCCTTCCTCTATGTGTACAGCCCTGGTGTCTCTTTTGTGTGTGTTCAAGCTCAAGCATTTAAAAAAAATGAGTTACAGGTTTCTGGCAGATTCAGTTTCTCTATTAACATGAATTTGGGATCAGCCAGAATGCTCTAGTGTCTCTTTAAATGAAATAACGGGATGTTCACTTTGTAACCGGGAGAAATCTACGAGTATCCTACGGCTCAGCTGCCACGCCCATGCAGGCCCCACGCTCTCCACCGGCAACCGGCACCGCGCTGGCGCCTCCGAGTCACTGTGTTCTCTGTGCCTGTTGCATGCAGTATCTCACTTAATACTTATAACAACCCGATGGGGGCAGCACCATTATTTTCTTTTACGGGTTAGAAAACTGACGCACAGAGAGGCGATGTAATCTGCCCAGAGTCACATTACTAACTGGCAGAGCTGAGTTCAAGCCCAGGTGTTTCTGACTCTAGAATTATGTCTCTAATTACTATATTCCAGGTCAAATGAATTCCCATGGGTAGATGACATTTCTTTTCACTGCCAATGAGTGTAAAAACAGGCTTTCATGCCCTGGCCAGTTTGGCTCAGCAGTTAGAGTGTCGGCCCGCGGACCAAAGAGTCCCGGGTTCGATTCCAGCCAAGGGCATGTACCTTGGTTGTGGTTCATCTCTGGCCCCGTTTGGGGTGGTGCGGGTGGCAACCAATTGATGTGTCTCTCACATCGATGTTTCTGTCTCTCTCCCTCCGCTCTGTCTGAAGATAAATGTAAAAATATCCTTGAGTGAGGATTAAAACAACAACAACAACAACAACAACAACAACAACAACAACAAAACAGGCTTTCACATTGTTGGAGGGCTTCCCATGTTACACGACTCTTGCATGTCCCTTAGCAGCCTGGATTCTCAGCACAGCGAGGGCACTGCAGTTTACTTTACGGAAACATCCTCGGTTACCTGGTGGATGTTGCCACGGCAGGTGAGCCCGTCCCCGATGTAGTTTGGCTTGCAAGTGCAGGTCCTTTCTTCCCCAGTGTGATTGCAGACGGCAAATTCACTACAGCCACCGTTATTCTGGTAAAATGTCCAAGGGGCGGGGGACCGGAGTCCGGTCGGTTAGTTTGCCAGCTCTGCTGCATCCACAGAGCAATTCTGGGCTGAAATGTACTTTTTGCCTCGCACTCTCTGACTGGTTTGCATTGTTTGCCCTTTTCCTGAACTTGCCTTCCGATTCGCAACAGTGCTAGGGGCACCTTCTTCACCAGCCTCTATCCCACGGTGGCAGGCCCACCTGAGCATGTCTTCAGCTCTATGTTGATAAGCCCAGAATGACCAAATGGGACATTTCTCAGCACCCGGGGGTTAACTAGAGAGGTCCCAGCCTTGTTGGACCCTTCCCAGCTTTAGGCTAAACTCTGACCCCATCACAGCAAAGGTAGCAGTCATCAGCTAGAAGGAAATAGGTATGAAATGACACAAGACACTGTCCTTATCTGCAAAGAGCTTACAAATGAAGGAAGATGGGGGCAGAGACCTAAGACAGAAACAAAGCCAAGTGCGGTTCAAAGCCGACATCCATGGGAACACGGAGCCTAAGCAACGTCCCTAAGAGGGGAAAGAATGGGAAGCGCAAGGAAAACAAATCTGATGAGGCTGAGCAGAGTAGGAGGCCAACACTCTTAAAGGCCAGCTGCAAACTCTCCCCTCCCCATCCCCAGTCCAGAGGTATTTGCGGAGCATCGGAGCATCGTATTTTGGCCAAGGAGTGACCTACCGCCCCAGGTCCCTGCCTCACTGACATAGCTCAGTGAGCGGTTCAAGAAAGCTACCTCCTGGACGACTGTGAACCACCTCCTAGGGGCCCTGAATCTTTCAGCTAAATACCCTGAATGTGCTTGTCCTGATCCCCTGCATGTGCTAAGACCACGAAGAGAATCTCCTCTCGTCCTGCCGTCCTATTTATCTCTGTCAACAGCAGAGGTCTAGGCGCCACGGTCCCCTCCTCCTTCACGGACACTCCCCTCCATGCTGCTCTGTGCACCATGATCTGACCCTGTATCCCACCCTTCTCACCTCACAACCCCATCCCTGTGTCTTCTGAAATGCACCGCTGTTAGCGAGCTCCCCACAGTCTCCCCCTGTTCCCCGAAAGCTCTCCTCACCTCCCACTGAAGAGGCATCTGTCTCCAGCGAACACTGTTTTCCCTGCACCCCGCTCTCTGGAGAAGACACCACACACCTTCACCTCTCTCCTCAACTCTTACTCTCAGATGATGAGCTCCACTCGTGGAGAAAACACACATATAGACAAGAACCTCCTCATCTTCCTGTCCTGAGGTTCACCACTGGCCTGAGCCTGAGCTCACAGTGAATCTCCAGCGCCCCAAATGGTGCCTGGTATCTGGTGAATGCTCACGGGCGGAATGCGTGCCGTGCTCACGGGCGGAATGCGTGCCGTGCTCACGGGCGGAATGCGTGCCGTGCTCACGGGCGAATGCGTGCCGTGCTCATGGACCAAATGCGTGCCGAATGCGGAAGGCTTTCCATCGGATGTACAGAATGCATATGGTCTCTGTCTTCACAGGACACAGACATTGCTAAGTTAATTCATAGTAAAGGGCCCTATGAAGTAGGTGCCCATGAGTCACTCATTGACTTGACTAATTGACTGGCTGACTAACTAACTAACTAACTAACTAACTAACTAACTAACTAGCTAGCTAGCTGCCTGACTGACCAACCAATGGACTGATGGACTGGCTGACTACCTACCTACCCACCCACATAGCTACCACTGCCCCTGCTCCTGTGTGTGGCTTACCTCTCCACCTGTGGGCTCGGGGTCCCATCCCCTTACCCACTCATGTACTCTCCTGTAACAACCCAGCTTCTCTCCTTCAGTATCAGTTTCCTTCTTTCTTTGTATTATACTCATCTGCATAAACACCAGCCTTAATATTACTCATCTTGCAAGAAAACAAACTTCCTTTCTTCATGACTAGAATCCAGTGGGTGGTGGCAGTCATGGGTACAGATGAAAGAAGACTGGCCATGAGTTCATGACTCTAGTACCTGAGCGTCAGGTACAAGTGGCTTCATTGCCTTAGTTGCCGAGAAAAGGTGGCCATTTTTGGGGAAAAAAAGAAACAGAAATAGCCAGTGGAAGAACTGCTGTTACAATGAATCCGGCCATCGTATCTGTTGTAACAGCTCCACACCCCAGCCCCTTGCCTTCTGTGCTCTTTCCCTAGTGTCCCCACACGGTCGTTTCACGTGGGGACATTGTTGTCCTGAGTAGCTGGCCACCAACACAGGTGATGGTGGGAACCTCGCCAGGAGCGGGAGGGCTTTCATTCCAGGGTGTCTGTGTTCTTCTCATGCCCTTAGTGATATGAATAAGGAAAGGAAGGTGTTTCAGTGGGGCCTCCCTGGGGGTCACTGCCTTGTGGGAGAAACAAGCACCCCAAGAAGGGGCCAAGACTGGCCTTCGAGTCAGAGATGTGGGCTCAGTTCTGGTGTGCTGGCGCTCGCTCTGTGACCTGGGGCAAGGACCTCACTGTTCTCCGTTTGCAGTGAGGGCCCAAAAGGTAGGTTCACCTCCTAAGCCCTGGTACTGTGCATGTGACCTTGTTTAGAAAAAGAGCCTTAGCAGGTGTCAGTGAGGACTGAGACATCATCCTAGATTAACCAGGTGGGCCTGAGGTCCACCAGCATCCTCCTCAGGAAAGAAGACAGACACAGAGGTGAAGGCCACGTGGAGACGGAGGGGAGACCGGAGTTTCCCCAACATCACCACTGGAACATGAGGGAGAAATGAGCCTCAAGCCGCAGTAGCTCTGAGGAGATCACCCCAACACCCCATCTCCTAGAAGCGGGGTTGGAGGCACCCATGCCTGCCTCGGGGCCGCCCTGGAGCCGCACTCACGGTCAGGCAGGTGTTGATGAGCGTGCAGACCTTCCCGTCGCCCGTGTACCTCGGCAAGCAGTTACAGGCGGCCTGTCGGGGAGAGCGACTGGGTCATTCACAGCTGGAGTTGGCTGGCTCGCACACCTACTTCCCCAAGGGTAACGGCAATTCTAGAAGATTCTGTTGGCGATATCTAGTCTACAAGGATAACTGTCCTCTTCCCTTTCAGCACCTTTGGTACACTTCACCGCAGCACTGGGATCTCCTACCAATCCTATCTTTGCCACCAAGAGACTATTTTTAAAGACCTTTGTTACCGTAAAGGTTTGGCCCCTTGCCTTCTGGGCACTCAGCTCTTTCTTTTGTGTGGTTGGCAGAGGTTCAATTGCACAGATGCTAAGCTCTCACCCACCCCCATTCATACTCAGTTCTTGTTGGTCTCCACGCAGGCTGGGGGGCGGGGGGCTCAGGCCCCGCCCCCAGGCCCCGCCCCCAGGCACCAGCGCTGGGAGGCGCCAGGTGACGCTTTGCATCAAATCAGATGCACGTGGGAAAATAACCAGTCAAACTCACTGTTTGACCTAGGCAGTCAGTCGGGCACCTCAAAGTGAGGGAGCGGACACTGTCTAGTGCACCCCCGTGTCCCATGTGCCCTGCTCAGGAGCACCTGGGCACAGGTGTGAGCGGGGCTGAAACCCAGCTACGCTCTGTTCACTAAGCTGTGTCTGGAGGAAGGGGCACCTGCTTCTGGGTGTCCCCGAGAGGGGTGGCTTTCCTAATTCACAGAAAGCCTCCTACACAGGACAGGGGGCTTCGGACTGATGTCCACCCGTTAGAACTTGAACCCATCGGCCAGGCCAGCCAGGCCAGAGGGTGGTTTTCACTGCTCCTCCTCAGCCTTCATTACAGCCCTGAGCTGGGCTCAGACCTTCAAGACGCCCACCAGCCATCCCCCCGGGCTAAGGTCCTGTCTCAGAGATCAACCCTTCGCCTCTCATTGCCTCCTAGGTCCAGGGGAGGACTTTTAGAGACCCTGCGCACCCAAAAGTTTATAGGTTTTCCCCACCCCATATAAGAACTCTACTGGACCCCAAAATATGCGTAAGATAGACCAACATTGACTGTTCTGGTTTTCCCTATGACTATATATGTAAACACACAGAGAAAGTTCTTTCAAAATAAATAGGTTTTTCTTATTTTGGGGAGCCTCAGGCACTTGCTTGATCTGCCCATTGGGAGACCTGGCACCGAGGTCTCTGAATGGCTCAACAAGGTCGGAGACCTTTCCCTGGGGAACTGGAGCTCATCGTCCAGTCTCTGATATGTGTAATCTGCCCGACCTTTGCGCTGTTCCTAATGTGACGGAGACTGAGGGAGGCAGAGCTCGGGTCCCCAAGCCACCAGCTTCTCCGCCTGGGTCTTTCCGGGGTGCCCTCTCCTCTCTTTTGGAACCCTCACAATTCCCATCTGTCCACACCTGCTCAGTTGGGAGCCCCTGGCAGGTTCATTGTGTTAGGGACGTGCATTTCAGAGCCTCAAGCCTGGGGAAATTGTGGAATTCTGGGAATCAGAGAGCTCACAGAAAGGGGGACATTGCTGGACACCTTCTAGGTGCTTCTGGAACCACGTGGTGTTCGGCGAAGGCTACTCCGCTCACACGAGGAAAGCCCCTTCTCCTGAATACACTCGTCTCCCCTCCCACTTCTTCTCATTCCCCGAGAATGGCCTCTTTGGGCATGCTTTCAGAATTTCGCCTCAAGTATTTATTTTTGGCTGAGGTCTCCTCTCAGCCCCCCTCTCTCAGGCCTGGGCCTAAGGACCCTTCGCCCCCGGAGGCGGAGCTCACCTGGTTGGGTCCTGTCTGCATGCACTCCGCGTGCCTGTGGCAGCCACCATGGTTCTCCAAACACGGGTTGATCTCTTCAAAACAAAAGCCAACACCTGGCATGAGAATCATTTTCAAGCCAAAGCATCTGGAGAGACCAGCCAGGAGGGCTGATTGACCGAGGAGAGCAGGTTTTCTGACAACTCTGAGGCAGAGGTAACCCACCAGAGAGGCTAGCAGACATGGTTTCTCCAAAACAGTCTGTGGGTTGGGGCTGTGCCACCTCAGGCATTGCCTGCGGCTTGAATCTGTCCTCAGTGAGTGACTAAGCGTTTGCAGCCAAGGACTTGAAATAACAAGAGTCTCGGAGTCCTATCCAACATGTGATGAATGCTGAAATTTTGGAGTTCAAAAAATCATTGCAGCCATCACAGTATAATTGGTTTAGGGAAGAATCGCAGTAGATGCTAATTTTAGGTGATATTTTGATGAGGAGCAGGAGATCTGCTTGGTGTTCAAGTGTCTCCCCACTGATTGCTCGAAAGTAGCAAAGGGGAAAAAGGAACCGCCCCAGTGGAGAGGTCAGACTGCACCTTTGACCAGGTGGTCAGGATTAGCACCACAAACCAGAGGCAGCTGGAAATCACACACTTCCACCGTGATACCCTGAGAAGGGTGCAGTACCTCGAGTGTGATATTGGGCCTGGAGTGCCACGTTCGAATATAATCATGAAAAAAACATTAGACAAACCCCAAATGAAGGCCATATTAGAAAAAAAAAAAAAAAGAAAGAAAAGAAAAAAGTTGAAGTGGTGAATTATATTATTCCAAAATATCAGTGTCATAATAGATGAAGCAAGGCTGAGAAACCATCCCAGTCAAAGGGATAAAGTAAATGCAGTTTCAAGAGAGACTGTATCCTGCACTAGAGGAAACAGTGTCAAAAAGTGACATTATTGGGTCATTTGACAAAATCAGAATACAAATGGTAATTAGACAAAGAATGATATCAATAATAAATTTACTGAAGTTGATAACTGCAGTGGTTAGGTAAGAGTCTATCTTTATTCTCAAATACGCTCAAGTATTTAACGATAAAGGCAATGATAACTGTTTTTATATATATATACGTGTGTGTGTATACATATATATATGTGTGTATATATAGCCTATTCTCAAATGGTTTAGAATACATATATTAATCTATTAATATAATACAGAAATTAAACTAAAGATAAAGCAAATGGGGCAAAATATTAATAGTAAATGAATCTAGGTAAAGAACAAAATAGGTATTTCTTGCACTATTCTTGCAACTCTTCTGTGTAAATTTTTTTACAACTAAAAAGTTAAAATTTAGACAATTTAGAATGACATACCTTTGTAGAAGAACAATGTGTAGTGATTAAAAGAATGATTTGGAAGAATACTTATTTTCAGGAAGGGTTGTTGCCTCATATTGCTAAGCACAGTAAACATTATATATCATAAGATACAATTTTTGTTTAAAAAACACACGTATACATAGCCACATGGGGTAACACAATAGTAGTAAGAGTGGTTATCTCCAGACTCCCACCCCCAGCCTATAGGCACCTTCTACTTTTTCTATATTGAGAATGTGCTACTTATATAAAAAAGAATGAATGAGTGTTTTACAATTCAGCCACCATCGTAATGTTTAAACTGGACAAAGTTTCCCCCCTTTCTTCTTCCACTATGCTCTTTGGACATTGCACACCTTCATCCCCTGTGGTCACAGGTATACGCCTTCATACCTCCTGCCTAGACAAACTCTAAGAGGGTGCAAGAGCGCCCACGCATTAGGATCCTATAACAGCTCTGACTCTTAAACCACTGCCCCTGGTCGGATGAGGGAGGGCACGTACCTAGGCACACGATGCCATCGCCAGCGTAGCCTGCCTTGCACACGCACACTCGGCTTCCTGGGGCGGTTCTTTTACAGTCAGCCCTGGCCGAGCAACCTCCGTTGCTGATCTCACAGGCATTGATTGCTACAGGAGAGAGAGATGCCACAGGACAGAGAGGGGGAGAGAGGGAAAAAACACACCAATGCACTTTTACTTGTCATTGAGAAATGGAAATACTTCAAAATGGCAGACATTGGATTAAATATGGATAATTCAAAAGAACGCAAAGCATCATTTATCTTCACTAGTGAAGTCTACCAAACATTAAAAGAAGAATAAATACCGCAATTTCATAAACTTTTCCAAAAACTAGAAGGAAAGACTTCCCAATGCATTTTAGGAGGCCAGTATTTCTGTGATATCCAAACAAGACAAAACCATCACAAGAAAACTATAAACCAATATCCCTTATAAATACAGACACAAAAATCCTCAAGAAAATACTTGCAAGTCAAACTCAGCAATATATAAAAAGGGTTATACAGTAGTCCCCCCTTATTCCTGGGGGATACGTTCCAAGACTCACAGTGGCTGGCTGAAACTGTGGATAATGTCAAACACTATGTATTCTGTTTTTTCCTACATATACCTACCTATGATAAAGTTTAATGTATAAATTAGGCACAGAAAGAGATTAATAACAACAACAAGTAATAAAATAGAACAAACACAACAATGTACTATAATAAAAGTTATGTGAATGGCTCTGGCCGGTTTGGCTCAGCGGTTAGAGTGTTAGCCCTCAGACCAAAGACTTGTGGGTTTGATTCCAGTCAAGGACATGTACCTCGGTTTCAGTTCAGTTCTGGCCCTGGCTGGGGTCGTGCAGGAGGCAACCCATCCATGTGTCTCTCACACTGATGTTTCTCTCTCTGTCTCTCTCCCCCTCCCTCCCATTCTATCTGAAGATAAATGGAAAAATGTCCTCAGGTGAGGATTGAAAAAAAGTTATGCAAATGTGGTCTCTCTCTCTCTCTCTCTCTCTCTCTCTCTCTCTCAAAATACCTGGAATTTTCCATTTACTATTTTTAGAATGTGGTTGACCACAGGAAACTGACTGTGGAAAGGGAAATTGTGAATGGGGGGAACTACTCTATACCATAACCAAGTGGGATTTATACAGGAACACAATGTGGTTTAACATCCAAAAATCAATTACTGTAATACAGCATGTCAACAGAATTAAAGACAAACCTACACGATCATCTCAATAGAAGAAGCAAAGGTATTTGACACAATTCAAGGCCTTTAAGGATAAAAATACTCAACAGACTAGGAATAAAGGGGAACTTACTTAACCTAATAAAGGATGTCTGTGAAAAACCCACAGCTAAAATCATGCTTAATGGTGAAAGACTGACTGCTGTCCCACGATCAGGAACGAGGCAAGGATGTCAACTCTTGCCACTTCTATGCAACATTGTACTGGTGGTTCCAGCCACAGCAAGTAGTCATATATATATGGCATCCAGATTGGAAGAGAAGAAGTAAAACCATCTCTATTGGCAAATGACACTATATTGCCTATGGAAAATCCTACGGAATCCACTAAAATCCTATTAGAACTAATAAATGAGTTCAACAAGGTTGCAGGATACAAGATCAACAGACAAAAATCAATTGTATTTCTATAGAGCAGCAATAAGCAAACGGAAAATGAAATTAAGAAAACAGTTCCATTTATACAAGCATGAAGAAGAATAAAATAGTTTGGAATACATTTAACAAAGTATAAAACTTATACCCCAAAAGCTGCAAATATTGTTGAAAGAGATTTTAAAAGATCCAAATAATTAAAAGATATTCTGTAATCAAAATCCCAGCAGACTTCGGTACAGAAATTGACAAGATGATTCTAAAGTTCATAAGTCAATTCAAAGGGCCCAGAAAAGTCAAAACAATCTTGAAAAAGAACCAAGTTGGAGGTCTCACACTCCCTAATTCCAAAACACCACAAAACTTCAGTAATAAAGACTGTGAAACTAGCATAAAAATACATATATCTCCCTATGTCCTTATATTCTATCTATATGTTATAGAATTCAGAGTCCAGAAATAAACCTATACATCTATGGTCAATTGATATTCCACAAATGTGCCAAGATTTTTCAATGGGGAAAAGAATGATCTTTACAACAAATGATACTGACACACTGGATAGCTATATGCAAAAGAATGAGTTTGGACCTCAACCTCACAACATATACAAACATTATTTCAAAGTGGATCACAGACCCCCAGGTTCACTTGGAGCCCCAAGGTGTGTGTTTAAGTCTTGTCTTGGCCTTCACTCATTGCATGACTTTGAACCTGCCATTTAATTAATGTGAGCTTTGGGGTCCACCTATATAGGTTTACTTACAGGTTTGGGGACTTACGTCTGATAATGTATATGAAAGTATTATAGAAATGTTGGTTGTTCTCATATTCACTAATCTCTCTGCTTTTGCTTTCCCCCCAAAAAACTCAGGGCAAGAAAAACATTTCAGTTATGTGTCCTTCCCAGCTGTGCTCAGTGGAGGAAACATCTGGGACCAAGTCAGGGTACCCGCCTGATGGGAGAATCCCCAGGGTAAGATAATCTAGAAAGCAGATGGCTGTGCATATGTCCAGCTCAGCCACCATCTGGACTGAAGCCTGCCTGGACACGATGCTCCAGAGAAAAACGACGCTAAACATTTTCATTTTCTAGCACCAAATATGTGTTGGGCACCGTAAGTGTGTTAGCTCACACTTATTGAGTGTTTGGTGCCAGAGCTGTTCTAAGCACTTCACAGGCATTCATTTAGGTTATCATCCAACCATCCAGGGAGGGAGATTCTCTTACTATCTACCACTCACACAGGAAAAACGGTAAAGTGGTCAAGCAACTTCCCCTAAGTAACACAAACGACAAGAACTTACATTCGAACTGGGGGGACTCTAATGCTGGAGCCGTTTTTAACAGCTACATATTCTGTCTTGTACACAGACAGGTCATTTCATCCCCAAACCTACTCTGCAAGGGAGATAGTTTTGTTTCCTTTGCAAATGAGCTAAGGGGGCTGAGCGCAGTGAAGAGACCCACCCAAGGCCACCTGGGGGTAGGAGGAAGAACCAGGCAGCGCTCAAGTCCCTTTCTGTGTCACTCCAGAGTCCCCAAGCCCAGGCCACCCCCTAGGTCAATCAAATCAGGGTTTTTGAAAGCTCTCCAACTGCAGTTTAGACTGTGAACTGCTGCTTGGACAAAACGGGTGCAATCCCTCCATCCCCCGGGCACAGTAAGCTGCCCTGTCCCACCCAGTTCACCAGCAGTGGTGGTAGCAGCTGCCCATCCAGCTGGCAGGAGCAGAGACCTCGCCACAGCTCATGCTAGTCCTGTCTCCCCGGAGCAAACGCCTCTTCACTTGCCTGTGCAGACTGTCCCGTTCCCTTGGAATCCTGCCGCGCATGAGCACGAGGCTGTGCCGTCTGGCTCGAGAAGGCAGCTGCCAGGAGAAAGGGCAAATGGTGTTTGAAGAAAAGCACATAACACCCACCCCCTACCTGGTGGGCGTTCCAGTTCCTGCCCCAGGAGGCACCCGGAGGTCCTGTCCCAGGACTCAGGGGGAAAGTCCCCTCCTAGCTTGGCCGCAGGTGGCTAAAACTGCAGTCATTATCAGGAAAACTAGTGTGTGTAGATGTGGGCGTGGGCCCTGGGCTAAGCGGGCAGCTACCCTCCTTCCCAGACGTCCCTGTGTGTAGGGCTGTGCTTCACACATTACTTCAGGAACTTCCACAATATCCAATAGTAGTTATTACTATCATCCCCATTTACAGATGAAGAAACCAAGGCTTAGAGGCATTCAATCATTGAGTCAAGGACACGGACAGAGGCTGATTTGAATTCATTCTAACTCCAGCTATGAGGCGTGTCATGAATTAACCCATGAATTAATGGCTGGGAGTTAGGAGCCTGAGGCTGAAGAGTGGAGAAGGAGGGCTTGGCTGTGAACTGGGAGGAAGCCTTGAGGAAAGCCAGAGGCCCCCTGGGCTCCCGCTGCCTCTGATGGCGTCCCTGTGGCTTGCACTGTGGGTAACAGCTGGCATTTTGCCAACGTGCCAGGTTACTCTGGTGGCAGCTGGTTCAAAAGGCTGGATCTGGCCAGTTGATAGCGGCCTCTTTGGAAATACTTCTAGTTTCATGTTAAATTTATCCTAAATCGCCAGAAGCAGTCTCGGGAACTACCCTAAGGAGAGGGCTTGGGGTGTACACTATCAGGAAAGGATCCCCGGTGTGCCATCCCCAGAGGAGGCCCAGAGGGACCTACTTGGCACTGGTGTGGCAGGTCCCATTGCAGTTGTCTGTCGTGATCTCTGAAAGAAATAAAACAAAACAATTGCTTTGTCAGCCGTCTTTTCTCAAACCTCGTTGAAGACCTTCCTTTTAGTACCTGTTGCTAGGAAGATTTCCTGTCCTGGTTGTAAGTGACCCGCATCATGTTTACCTTGTAAAACTATGGGGCCATGTCGATTTCCTAGACTAATTTTTATTTTTCAATTACAGTTAATGTATAATATTATATTAGTTTCAGGTGTACAACCCAGTGACTAGAAATTAACAGAACTTATGAAGTGATAGTCCCAATAAATCTAGTACCCATCTGACACCATACAGAGTTCTTATAACATGATCGACTATATTCCCTATGCTATACTTTACATCCCTGTGACTATTTTGTAACTATCACTTTGTACTCTTAATCATTTGACCCTTTTCATCCATCCCTCAACCCCCCTCCCATCCGGCTACTGTCGTACAGATCATGTAGACCTTTCTTTACACTGGCTGCCAGGAAGCTCAGAGCCAGATCTGAGGGTCAAGTATGCAGATGGAGTGTCTCCTGTGTCCAGGCCCTGTGCTAGGTGCTGATGATGCGAGGATGAGCCCCACTCAGCATCCTCCCTTAGGGCGGGTGTGGAGGTGAGTCCCTCCCCGGAGCTTTATTTTCTCATATATTTATATTTTCCACATTCCATATTCTTTCTAGTTTTTAACCACTTTAGTTTGAAGTACTATAAGCAAGCAAACATCTAATTATAACTGATATTAAAAGTGTTTTTGTTTTTTTGGGTACATGCAGAAAGAGCTCAGGGTCTGGCATTCGGGAGGCACTCAGTAACTATTTGTTGAATTAATTCCTAAATTTCCTAGAAGAGCATAGGTTCTTGCTCTTTAATGCCTAGTGTTTTGGATGCTCCCGGCCGGGGAAGATCCAGAAAGAAGTGGTTAGAGACCAGGAGAGAGTACCCTTGGGGCAGGATGCTCATGGTCAGAGCTTGTGGGTGAGAAAGCTCGTCAGGCCTGGAGCTCGCACAGAGGTCCTGGAACAGACCAGCTGCCAGAGCGGTCTGTGCCGCGTAGAGGGACCACGCACGGGCTCACAGGGCCCCGCGGGGATGCACCGCGACCTTGTACCTTTATGTGCACTGTGCCTCGAGTCTGGACGTCCGTTTCTGTCCATGCACTATCTGTTGAAATCCCAATCATCTTTTGGGTCCTCCTCTCTGAAACCTGCTCTACACCTTTGAGCCAACTCCAATGAATTGGGGGTGACTCCTTGGTGTGACCCCCTATCTGGCCTCGGAGGGAAGGGGTGCAATGATTGATTAGTGATGTCTGCAGCAGCTTGGGACTGAGGAGTCTGCACACAGACCAAGGGGGTCTTCCTTGCTCTCATTTAGAGGCTCTGTGCTCTCCTCTGCCAGACCACCCTCTTTGAGCACAATGAACATTTATTTCCATGTCTAGACGGAAGCTCCGCGTGCGGAGTGTGCCTGGAGGCTAGGCTGGAGACGGGGCAAGCGCCAGCTGGCGAACAGCCTTGAAGTCCACCCGAAGGTGTTTCTCCAAGAGGCACTGAACTTTCTCCCCGCGACAATGCAGAATCAGAGCAGGTTGAGGGTCCTAGGGAGGAGGTGGGAAACACGGCGCTGTAGACTGAATGTCTGTGCCTCCCCCAGTCTCATGTTGAACCCAATCCTAGCTATGATGGCATTTGGAGGTAGGGTCTTTGGGAGGTGATTAGGTCGTGAGGGTGGGGCCCTCTGAATGGGATTAGCCCCTCGTAAAAGGGACTCCAGAGAACCCCCTTGATTCTCTTGCCATAACACAAGGAGATGACAGTCTGCAAACCAGCGGAGGGTCTTCACGGAATCCGACCACGAACGTGCACTTTCAGTCTCCAGAACTGAGAACATCAATCTCTGTCATTTATGAGCCACTCAGTCTATGACACTTAGTTGTAGCAGCCTGAACAGGTGACCGCAGCTATGTTTTGGAAAGTTCTCTCTGGCAGCCATGCAGAGTATGGGGTGGAGGAAAGTATAACAGGAGGCAACGGGACGTACCACAGCAGCTGGTGAGAGGAGGAGCAGAGGAGGGACGAGGCAGAAAGACCGTCTAGGAGATGCTCAATGCAGTGTTGCTTATGAGAGCAGAAAACATGTTTCAACAAGCTTGGCGCAATCATATAGTAGAATATTACATAGAAGCTAAGAAAATGACGATATTTACCTATATTTATGCACTTGGAAAGATAATCCATTATATACTGGGAAATGAAAAAGTAGACTACAGAATAGTAAGTTTGCACGCCAATAAAAATGTTGGAAGGCTGACACAAAACGTTAATGATAGCTTTTTCCTGCCTTAGGAGCACAAGTCATTTCTATTTTCTTCTTTCCGCTTTTCTTGATTTTACAAACTTTTTGCTGCAAGTAGGAATTACTTTTATTGCTCAAGGAAGAAACAAAGACATCACTTCTGTTTTGGAGAGAGACAGGTGAGGCTGCTGCGAAGGGAGGCTGGGAATGGACCAGCACGGGGACAGTTCTTACCGCTGTCACATCGCACTCCTCGCCAGCCGACGTCACACTCACAGGAGCCGTCGCCCGCGGGTCCTTGGCTGCATCTCCCGTGGACACAAGAACATACTAAAGAAAAAAACACCCATACATGGTCAGACTTCTGAACTGGGTTCGAGAACTCGTTGAGCATTTTCTACAAAGGTTCACGTCAGTGCGCTGCATTCTGCAAGCTGGTGTCAGAGAACAGTCATCGTTCATGGAGGGCGGCGCTCACAGCCCGGGCCAGCAGCATCCAGCAGGCTAGCAGGTGAAGCAGGTCAGGCCTCCACGTGGACCACGGTGTTGGCACTGTGTAGTATGTGAGGTGACCCAAGCAGTGGGAGTGTCCTCAGCTGAGGGTGAGGACCCAAGGTTACTGGGCCCCCTTGGGGTCCCTAAGGGTGGACTTTAAATAAAGGAAGTCTATTTGATAGGGGGTTGATAGAAACCTGGTGTGGCACTGTCTTCTCCACAACATAGAGATGCCCATTCCTTGTCACACAGCAGTGCCTGGAACCTCTTGGAGAACTGGATGAAAGCCAGGGCTGCCCTCCCCAGGTAAAAGCACTCAGCCCGTGAGCGTCATCTGAGGATCCCAGGTTAGGAGCTCCTGCACGGGTACGAGCAGATCGTCTGCCTCCGAACGTAGAGAAGCTCAGCACGATGATGCCAATTACATATTACAGGGCCCCATTTTAACAAGTCAACTATATATCGATTTTGCCTTACTTGGACTGGCTGATGACAAAACAGTGATAGCCAGGTCAAATGTGTGGTTTTTAGTACCAGGGAAAAGAAATGCTTTGTTTTCTCATCATGAATTAGGAAACCCCTCCTCCCAAGTCAACCAGGTGTGTGTCTCTGGGCACAAGAAGTCAGGGTGAGAATATGCAGATGACTTGGCTCAAATAAAGCACACTTGTGTGTGTGTGTGTGTGTGTGTGTGTGTGTGTGTGAAAACCAGTTAAAGCATAGGAATTCCTGAGGGTGAATCAATAGAGTGATCTTCATAAAAAAGACACAATTCCAGAGCTTTGGAGTCAAGCAAAGTGTGCATTCAGATCCCAGTTCTGCCTGTTTCAGGTGTGACCTTGGGGGAAGCCATTCAACCTCTTTGCCTTAATATCCTCATCTGTAAAATGGGCATGACAATACTTAAGCATATAAGGTTCCTGCGTGGATTAAATGAGCTAATGTGCACAAATCTGCTTCTCGAACCATCCAGCGCTGTCCAAGAGTGAGAGGGTGACTAGGGGGACCAGTGTGCACGGGCAAACCCAGAGACGTGGTTAGGATGAGGTGTCAATGAACAGATGGAAGGGGGGTTGGTAGGTCGAAGTTAGTGATGGAAAACGGTGGGAAACACTGTCCTTTGCGAATTACACAACACAAATAATCTTAATCCAGAGGGAGGATGCCAGCCTGCCCGGGAGACAGGCCGAGTTCCTCTCTGCTGGCATTTGGGCCCGGGGGAGGGGCGCGCACCTTGGTCACAGTGGACGCCGTACTTGCCCTCCACGCAGGTCTCACAGGCTGTCCCGTTGAAGCCCTCTTCACACTTGCACACGCCCGTGCCGTTCATTCCGTCCAAGCAGATGCCGTTTCCAAAGCAGACGTTCTCGGCTCTCCCAGGGCAGGGCTGGCACTGGGAGCTGAAGAAGCCCGCACAGCATTCTCTCGTCTGAAACGAAAGGCCGAGGCTGGGCCCTTCCCTCTGCTGGTTTCATCCAGCCGCGGTGCAGGATCCTGTGCTGGCACCGCCGTGTGCCCTGGGTTGGGGCCACACCGCGGAGGGGTTGCAGGAACCCCTGTGAACCAGGGAGGCTGAGCAATTCCCAGGGGTGTCAGGAATGGACAGAGGCCTCCACCCAGGAGGTAGGAAGGAGGGAAAGGAAACAGGCAAGTAAGAGAAGAGGATGAAGCAAAATGAGAGCGAGGAGGGACAGCAGGGACTAAGTAGGGGTCATGTAAGTGATGCTGCAGGGCGGGCCCCGAGGGCTCTCCTCGCCCCAAGCCTGACCCCTTCTCCGTGTCTGTTATTCCACTGGGTGCTGGAGGTGAGGCCCATGCTGGTGAGAATTTTGGTGTTCTAGAAACAAATCTTATAGTTCAGGGAGACACCGGGGGAGGTCCGCTTGGCTTGGCCTGTCTTTGCTCTTGAGAGCACCGCAGCCCCAAGCTCTGCAGCTTAAGGGCTAAACCACCTCACCTCTGTGGGCTAGGCAGAGGTGGCTTGTTCTTCTGGGAAAGAAGCAAGACAGGGAGTTATAAGGAATTTTCCTGCAGATTCCAAAGCAGCAGCCCAGAGGTACAGCTCGGGGGTCCGGTGTGCCAAACGCCCAGGTGCGCCTTCTCGCTCCCTAGGGAACTGGCTACGCCTACTGCCTCTCCCGCTGACAAGCAGGCTCACGGGGTATTTCACCTCTCAACTCCTCGGTCCCTCCGTTTCTCCATCATCTAACTGGATGTTGCAGTGTTTACCTCTGTCCTGAGCTTTGTGGCTATCACAACCACGTTGAGTGACGGCGGTAACAAAGGTAAGGAGGAGGGAGAGGAGGTGGCAGAAAGCATACGTGTAAAGGCGCTTTGAAAAATAAAACACATGATTCAATGTCCTAACGCCACTGCAATAATTAGAAGAATGATTAGATCATACTACTCACAATGACAGTTCTCACACATTTTGGCTGGCACCCAATGACCACGGATCGCTTGCCCATGAAGTAGATGGTATAGATACATTTCCTCATCTCGTCACCCTGTGCAATAGGAATGATTCGATCAGCTTTTGAATTAGGAAAATGTTTTGCAACCTCTGAAAGCAAGTAGGTGGGTGACACATGGCTGTCGGGGTGACCAAAATGTTCTGGGAGGGGGCGGGATGGTTGCTCAGAGCTGTTTCCCGAGAAAGAAAGCAAATAGACACAGCCTTGGCTGCCAGGTGGCAAAATACAAGTAATTGCACTGTCAGGTAGTGTTCCATAAACAGAACTTTCCCCTAGAAGACTACATCAAGGTAGCAAGAATCACAGAGTGAATCAGACAGAAATGTGCTACCAGCACTATCCATTGGTTGACCCGAGCCTTGATTTCTGTGTGTCTATTGATTTCTATTCCGCCTGGATCTGAGAAAGGATTCAGTTTGCTTACAAAGACCTATAACACACAAGATTACATTAAAACTCAAGTGTGAGGATCAGCATGGTGACCATTAGAGTTTTGTTACCGTGCCCTAGATGGTGCGTGAGTGTTTATTTTCTCTAATGGCTGGAGCATGATCAGAATGAGCTTTCACAATAAATAGTTATGAGAAATACAGGTTGGTAATTGATTCAAAGACATGTCCACCTCCCCCAAGTCGGCCATCTGTTTCTTAGGGAAAATTAGTTGTATCATCAACTGTAAAGGGCAATTGGGCAGATGGAGCTGCTCCAGGCTGGATATGGTTCTGGATATGGAAGCTGCCTTCTCGGGTCAGATGCTTCTGGTCTCCACTGGCTCCCAGAATAGGTAGAAAGTGAGAAATCTCTCTCTGCATCGTGCACTGGTTGAGATGAACCTGTTTCTGTTTATTTATTAATTAAAATGGCGCTTTGGTCTAAGAAATGGATGCAGAACTTCAGGAAAATGTGTACAACCGAAGAAGGAACCAGGGAAGGAATGAGGGAAGTGAAAATGAGGGGTGCTGAGATTCAGTTTCGCATTTGGACCTCCCTGGAGTCGGACACTAGTGTATCGAAGCAGAAACAATACTCACCAGCGGCTTACTTCCCGACGGGCAGGTTGGTTGCTGGAAACATCTCCCACACTTTCCCTTGACAAAACACAGAGGCAAAGAGAACATTTCATGGTTATTGCTTTTAGTGCAAAATGAGGCTGCAAATATTTCCCAGACCTTAGAGCTGAAGGTTTTAGGACATAGAACAGGAAATCAGACATGAGGGAAGCTCATCTGGTCAACCTCTTTAATATTTTTCGAGACGAGCACTTGAACTACTTCAGGTCTTGGATACTTGAGCATTGCTTTCCTCCATCATATTCTTCTGATGCTGATAATCCTTTAATGTGTGGAGGTATTATCTCATGAATTTCTTGAACAACAATCCTCATTAATTGATAACCCATTATTTAGTGATTGGCCCAGATTCAGTGCCCAGCCATTGTTCAGCTGAGGGATTCAGGGTGGAGATAATATATACACGATTATAAAACAAGAGGAAGCCAGTGTATCTAGCTGTTTGTCCAGCACCTACCGGGGAGTAGTGTGGAGTCCTGGCTCTGGGCCCACACTGCCTAGATTTGAACTCCTCTGCCACTTGTGAGCTCTGTGAACCTGGAAGCATTACTTTGCTTCTCTGTGGCTCATTTCCCCCACGGATAAAGTGGGGATAGTGGTAGTACCTACTTGGTAGGGTGCTATGAGAATGATATGGGGTAACACATGTAAAACGTTTAGAACAGTGCCTGGCACGGAGTAAGTGCCCGATAAATGCCAGCATCTATCACCATTACTAAAAGAGTCACACCATCCATTGGACTGGAGTGAAAAGTCTCCAGTACTGAAATAATCCACGTCTACATTTTCTCTCCTAGTAGACCAGGCGTGGCCAATACCTGCCAAGTACCACAGTCTCCTCCCTGTGCCTATGGTAGGCATGGCACATTTTCCCTTTGAAGAACACCATGGCTTCAAAATCCTGCTCAACACACCCCTCCAGGCAGCCTTTCCCAGGCCTCCAAGGCACCACTTCTTGCACTAGATTGTGAGCCCATCGAGGACCGAGGTCATGTCTTATTTAAGTTTGCAGAACCACAGCCAGGTACGAGCCTGTGCACACCAGAGATGCACACCCAGTATTTTCTGAACCGAACTGAGATATCCCTGTAGAGGAATCTTCTGCTTAAAAAGTTAAACAATAAACCAGCGCTCTTTAGTTGCATCCTCGTCCTTGGATGTAACTTACTTGTACAATAGTAGTGTCGTTACTGTCACATCTATTCTTCAGAATTTCCAGGACTTTCCCCAAGCCATGGATCACTCCCTTGTCAGTGGCGATGTTGGTATAGTTTATCGGAGCTTCATTTACGTAGAGCTGTCAACAAGAGGGTTAAATGCACATTTGTTATTGTAGTGATTTTATGGGAAGTAAGGGAGATGGGGATTGGAGGATATCAACAGGACAACAGCCTAAAAGATATTCCAGTATTCACCCAGAAGGTAGCACACGGTAGTGGCAAGGACTCTGGCCTAGCAGAGGGGAGTCTGAGTGACAGCCCTTCACCTGGGCCACTGAGATGTGCGACCCGGGGCCAGCTGCTTTCCCTCTCTGACTCTCACTGTTCTCTCTTGTACAAGAAGCAGGTTGTTCTAGATAATCGTGGAGGTTTCTCGCCATCCCTTAAACCAATTGGTTTATGATTGTTTGAAAATGTCGAATCGTAATCATGTCAGTGACCGCTGGCAAAATGGCTCCGTGGATGTGCTCAGACAGTGGTCCCGAGACGCGACTCACTGTCCCTTTGGCATGTCTTTTTTAAGTTTCAATTAATCCTCAGACAGGCCAAGTGACAGTTATGCAAGAACAAACAGAACTAACTTTTTTTAGCGTTTGTAAAAAGTGTTCCACCAGACAGCACCGTTTCCCGCTGTGTGGAGACTGCTCAGCGGTCCACTCTGCCCTGCGTTCCCTTGGGGTTTCTTGGGAGTTTATGGTATGTTTGTACCTACCTTTGCCTGGTGTGTCCATAAGCATCAAGACATGGGTCAATATCTATATGCTGCCAACTCAAATTCAACCTCAAGTTGAAATTGGTTTTCTTCTGATTTATTTTAAAGGAGAGGATCCCTTAAAGACCGATTAATACAAGCTAAATGAATCTATTCATTCATTCATTAAAATAAGTAATATAGTTTGGAAGCAAATGGTTCTTTGAAAAATTGCGTGGTGTGTGTGTGTGTGTGTGTGTGCATGCGTGTGTGTGTGGTGTGATAGGGCTGAATTTGGGAGAAGGGGCAATTCTTTATTGTACTAAGCAAATGTCAAGTTCACATCCAATAAGGGTTTACAAATGCTTAACAACATCCCCAAACGCCCCACAGCAGCAATATTAAAATGACTCTACTAAATGCTTAAATTTAAACTTCCACTGAAGGTTAAAACATCCCTCATGATTTGTGTGGAGCCAGGTGAGTTTCCATTGGCTGAGCTCCATGAGGTATTCCAGGGTCCGTGTACATTTGAAAAGCTAGCAGGAAATCTTACTGATGGTGTCAAATGGAGATTACAACACGCATTTCCAGAATTCCAAGATGCCGAGCTCTTGTAAAATGTCAAAATGGCAGAACTTCTGATGTTGTAATACTGTTGATTTGACATTAAAAAGTGAATACTTTTCACCGTGAGACACCCAGAGAGTTTTGTGTTGCATTAACATTTTGATTTGGACACATGTCTACTGGTGTAGAGAAAAATTTTCTACATCTCCATCAAGAGAAAGTGAATTATGGATAAAAGTAAAACCTTGATTGCAAGATAGAACCATTTGTTTATTGTGAGATAAAGCCCCTGTTTTTTTTTTCCAATTTTTTTTTTTTAATCCTCACCCGAGGATATTTTTCCATTTTTTGTACAGATAGAGTGGGAGGGAGAGAGAGAAACATCGATGTGAAGGAACACATCGAGTGGCTGCCACCCGCACGACCAACCAGGTCCGGGGACAAACTGCAACCGAAGTACGTGCCCTTAGCGGGAACCGAACCTGGGTCTCTCCGGACCGCAGGCCGACGCTCTAACCGCTGAGCCAAACTGGCCAGGCTCCAATGTTTTTTTAAATTGATTTTTTTAGACAGAGAGGAAAAGAGAGATAGAAACATCGATGGGAGAGAAACACTGATCGGCTGCCTCCTGCACGCCCCTACTGGGGATCGAGCCCACACCCCAGGCATGTGCCCTGACCGGGAACCGGACCTCTCAGTCCATGGGACGATGCTCAATCCACTGAGCCATATTGGCTGGGCAAATTTCCGGTTTTAAGGTTGTTCTAGATCAAAGAATTTCTGAACAAACAGAAAATAAACATGACAGAATTAAAATTGATTCAACTAACTGTGCTGGAATATTCATCTCTACATAAAAGATGACAGATTAAAAACAAAAATCTTTTTTTGTATGTTCTTTAGTAATAAAAATGGTTTTTCCTGAAGAAATAAGAAAATGTATTTAAAAGGATCTCCTCAGAGTTATTACACAATAGGTGAGATATTTGTCGGAGTCAGAGAAAAATATTTTGTGTGCAATGATTTCCTAAGTAATAAAGAGTCAAAGACTTTCTTCTACCCAAGCAGGCTAAAAAATTTGTACACAAAATTCGCTTGTGACTCAATGATGATACCACTGAGAAAACTGTTTATGAGATTGCACTTTTTAAAGAGAACCAAATAATATTATTCATTAAAAGTTTCTGTGGTTAGCCCTGGCCGGTTTGGCTCAGCGGTTAGAGCATCGGCCTGCGGTCCCGAGAGACCCGGGTTCGGTTCCCGCGAGACCCGGGTTCGGTTCCCGCTAAGGGCATGTACCTCGGTTGCAGTTTGTCCCCGGCCCTGGTTGGTCGTGCAGGTGGCAGCCACTCGATGTGTCCCTTTCACATTGATGTTTCTCTCTCTCTTCCTCTCTCCCCCTCCCACTCTACCTGAACAAAAAATGGAAAAATGTCCTCAGGTGAGGATAAAAAAAAAAAAAAAAGTTTCTGTGGTTAAACTTTATTTTAATATAATGCTTAGTTTGCCTTAACAATTTGTTTCTACTATTTTTTCCTATGAGTTTCTTATTGAAATTTCATAGATTGATCTTATTCGATGTTTGAAATACGTGAATAGAATTTTATGTTTGAAATATATTAAATATTTAGTCTCACTAATTCTCTTTGGTACATGCCCCTAGTGGGAACTGAACCCGGGACTCTCTGGTCCGCAGGCTGATGCTCCAACTGCTGAACCAAACCGGCCAGGGCACTAATTCTTTTTAAATGAATTCTGAACACTTAAATATTTAGGAGTTGTGTGAGATAAACACTGGAGCCCCAGTGTGGGGGTCAGTGGGTCCTGACTGCAGTCTCTGGATCAGGCACTGCTAACGTTAGCTCATCTGGCGGCTGGACCCTCCTCATCTCATAGGCTCCTTGTGGCCCGGAGCCCCGCCCCTGCTGAGAGTTCGGTTCTGCTGGCAGGTTCCCCTCCACTTTGGAGCCTGCTTGGGGACTGCCTGCTGGGTTTAAGGGGAATCAGTACTGAGGGGCACCTGTGACTGCTGGGATCCCAACACCGTGACTGGTGGGGCCACGCTGGTTATCTGAAGGCTGGGGACAGGGAGGGAGAGAGGGAGCCTGGCCTCTGGCTTAGTCATCACTTGATGGTGACCTGCAGACAACTGGCTCTGCTGACCAGGCTGAGGAAGCCCGGGGAGCTTATTCCTCATGGCAGTGACGATGGGTTACGGGAGCTAGGACGCCCGTTCCCGGGTTCGAGTGAAAGGACGGCACCTGGTCGTTGCGGAGAAAGAAGCCGAGCAGGTGGGAGAAGCCCAGCATGGTCTCCCGGTGCATGCCGTCGTGCAGGTCGTTCTTCAGAAGTTTCTCCTCCAAGACCACGTGGTACCTGATCACGTCCGCCTCCTGGTCAGCACACAGAACTGAGTCAGTCCACAGCCTGACTGGCCAGGCTGCTCCCATGTGTCGGGCATTGTGGGCATGGCAGGGGCAACAGCTCGCTGGACTGGAGGTTTTGACAGAGGCCTCAGGGCACAGTAGACATTACATATAAAATCTGAGACAGATCACCTTGGAGAAGGTGCTAATTTTCCATGTGTGATGCTCAAGAACTCATTAGATGATCCTAAAACCCACAGTGAGGGCCTGGGAGGTTGGAGGAGGACTTCAAAGATAATTCCTTTGGAAAGAACTGCTGGGGAGAGAGAGTTCCCACCCCCCAGCCTGCCTGTCACGTCAGGATGGGACGTTTTAAAGAGTTTGACCTGTGTCCCCTGCAGAAAGGGTGGCCCGTAGAGTCTCACTGAGGCCTGAGCAATCTCATGCCAGGGACTGCTGGCCGGCTGGCGACCCACAGGGGAATGAGGGGGGCTGTCACTGTGCTGGGACTGCTGTACTCCCATTGCTGGCTCAGGACAAGTGACTGCTTGTGTCCTGTGAGCACACATCCAGGTTCCTGGGACTCCTGCACCCTTGTGTAGAGGGTCCCACATGCTTGCTTCCAGGGGTGGGGCTAAATGCAGGATATGGGCTGCTCTGGCCTGTGCCTGGGAGAGGTGTGTGTATCAGAGCGTCTCCTCGTGGCTTTATGTTAAGTATCTGTATGTGGAAAGGAAGTTTTGGTGGAGGAGGGAAATCAGACATGACTGATGAATTGTAAAATGTCGAACGTCTGACTCTCCAGACACCAAGTTCCCTGGTTATCGGTCCCGAGACCTACCAGGGTCGCAGCCTTCTTTTCCTGGATGTAACTCTCGATGGCCGCGTTGCTTGGCGCAAACACCGTGTAAGCGTCAGAAGCCTCGATCGCGTTCGCCAGGTTGTATTGCTGTGACGGCAAGAGACAAGAGCGCGTGAGGGCTTCCCGCCCCCGGGGAAGCTGGGCGGGGGGAGCCCGAGAACCTGGTACTTGCAATGAGGTAGCCCCGGAAGATGGAGTAGTCAGGCATCTGGTCCAGCCGGGCCAGCAGGTTCGGTAAGGAGCCAGTTAGATCTCTTTGCGGAACCAGAACCTGGGAAAGGGAGTCCCAAAATTCTGTTAGTAGGTGTTGGTGGGACTTACTACTGTCCAACACATGGGTTCATGTCACCTAGTCATACGTCATTTTCAGGGCTACTGCCGGTCCCTAGAGTGCCTCCGGAAGTCTTAGAGAGGCGCCTGTGCTCTGAGAGTTGGCAGCGCCCACAGGGACGCGGGGCGTGGGCAGAGAAGTGGCTGGATGTCAGCCTCGCCCCACCTTCAGGCCAGGGACCTCTCTGCAGGCACAGCCTGCACCACTGTCCGTGGGGGCCCTGGCAAGGGGACCACGGTGTCTGAGGGACAGGGGTAGAAGGAGACCCTTAGGGAGCCGGTGCAACCAGAGGCTGGGCAGAGAACGGGAGTCCGTGAATCCCGTGTGTTCACGTAGCATCTTCCTCAATCCAGGGACTTAACCACGAGGCCCCTCAGCTGCCTCATTCGAGAAGGGAGGACCACAGCACCTCCTTTCTCTGCGGTGTTGTCAAAATCAAATGAGATGACGTGACCGTGATGCTTGACGCAATGCCTAGCCCCTCGTGGGCTGTCAATCGTTCAAATTGCGATTATACACGAGGCGAAGTGCTGATGGGGGACACAGAAAAGAAGCGGACCTGCCCCTGCAGGACAGGCCACCTACGGGGATTCAGGACCTGTTCCGTCAGGAACAACTACCAAAAGGCCAGACGAGGTCCCTCCTGAGAACCCATGGAGTTCAGAGGAAGCAGCAGGGAATACCAGCACTCACCGAGGGCCCACTGGGAATCACACATCAAGACAGGGCATTGTTTAATCCTCACAGGAGGAAAATCGAGGTTCAAAGAGGGCATGTTACTTGTCCGAGGTCATGCAGCTGGCTCAGTGTTCAACCCAGATTCTGTATGACTCTGGAGCTCACCCTCCTGACAGGGCGTGAGCCTTGGTGATTTGAGCTGCAGGGCTCAGGGAAGGCCTCACAGAGGAGGTGGTCGGACTTGATCGGCCCCCATGGTAAAAATGCTCAGTATCGGAGATTGGTTGAGGGGCTATGTTATTCTACTAATGAGATTGTGTCCATCAAAAGTGTACATGGGAAAGAGAGGTAATGGTGTGTGTGTGTGTTTTTAAAAAGGTTTTCAGCCCTCTGGAAAGCCCCGATGAGAAAAGAAAAATACCTTTGTAAAGTAATGTGATTTTGCATTTGAACTCATAAACCCAGCGACAGTGCCCTGCGAGTGAGATATCAGCTGCTCAAAAAATGCTGTTTTTTTAAGCATCTTCCTGTCATACAAGAGAACAGCAAGGTCTTTGCAAAACAACGCACCCAGGAGCCTTCCAAAGAGTCTCTCTTTTCTGAATGGAAACAGTTGAATGTTTCTCTAACTTAAAATAAAAAAAGCAAGTATGTAAGTGCCAAATGAGAATCCTTTCAGCTAAAATGCAGTTAGTTCATTGTCTTTTCTAATCTTCCGCCTTTCAGAAGTTCCCAACACACCTTGAATTCTAGCTTTAATTTTAAATAAGGATCCTAATTCAGTGACCAATAATTGTAGGACAGCTTCAGACTCCATTTTGTACTATACTTGATTTTCTATTTCATACCTTTGAATATCGTTGAGTTGCATCTTAGAAGAAAATGAAAATTTCAATATACCCTTTCCACCCTTTTCCATTTTTTCCCTTTCGTTTCCCCCCATCATCTGAGGGTGCAATATGCAGAGTGGGGCCTGGAAAAGTGATCCTTCAACTCTTGCCTCTCCTCCAGTTCTTGATTATATCCCATCTGGATGTAGGGACTTCCCAATACCATGGTTCTTGGTCCCATAATAAGAAATGTGCTCTACGTGTTCACACTTCATATAGGGCCCACTGCAGAATATGGGCTGAGTAGAGAGTAACTGAGTCTCATTGAACGCGAGAACCTCTGGATGGTTTTAAAAGAACAGTAATGAAGCACAATGCAGGTTACTTTCATATTAAGGCTAAGTAGTTACCACTCCCCCCAAAAGATACTGTCCAGGTGGGCAAATAAAAGGAGAAGAGAAGCTACCTGTGCGGGAGGATGGGATTTGTACCTTGTCGATGATGTGTATCACTCCGTTTGTGGCTACGTTGTCACCGTCAACGATGGACGCTCCTTCAATTGTGATGTTCTGGGAATGTAAAGCACAGTGAGGTGAGTCTCCACAGGGTACACCCAGGATCGACGTTATTTCTGGGTGTTGCACTCCTGAGAAGCAGCGACCTTCATCCTTTTGGACCACAGTTAGAAATGTCTTTAAATTGTGACCCATTAGACTTCATACACCCACATAGATGCACACACCTTCAAAATGAAATACTATTTTCTACTATGTATTAATAGTACATAGTACTACAGGCAGCTGATTATTGCCTTTATTCCACTTCACTCTATTTCATTTAAAAGTGCTGGCTGAGGTCACTAATGTGACCCTGCTGTTTGACAAACACCGTAGACTGTGCTGTGGGTTAAACTGTCTCCCCAAAATTCATACGTCAGAGTCCTAACCCCCAGTGTGTCAGAACATGACCTTATTTGGAGGTAAGATCTTTACAGAGGTGATCAAGTTAAAATGAGGTAGTTAGAACGGCCCCAATCTAATATGGCTGGTAGCGTTATAAGAAGAGCAGATTTGGACATAGCTCTATGGGAGAATGCCACATGAACATGAGTGCAGGGATCTACAGGCCAGCCTGGAACAGCTCCTGCCACAGCCCTCAGAAGGAGTCAATTCTCCCCCCTCCCCTTGATCTTGAACTTCCAGCCTCCAGAAATTGTTTGAGCCACCCAGTCTGTGGTACTTTGTTATAGCAGCCCTAGCAAACTCATACAGACAGTAACTAACTTTCCTGGTCAATGTCCAACTATTTATCAAGAATAATAATTACGAGGGGAATGGAGCTAAGGAAGACCCAACCTACCCACGCACCTAGCCACCAACCAGCCACGACAGCTGGGCTCCACCCTCTCTGGTTTCTCTGGGTTCCTCTCACCTCCCCACCATTACCCTTTATTTGCAATTCCTCCTGGGCATTTGGTGCAGAAGACACTTGTATCTCCCTGAGCAGCTCCTAAGTCACATCAGCAGAGGCCCTGGAGGAATCATTCCGGGGCCACCTTGCACATCTCTTTTGGTTAAAGGGAGACGTTTACATCAGACATAGGAATACACTCATTAAACATGTGTCTTTGACGGTTAGCGCCTCCCGATCAGAGGTCTTGATTGATTTACCTTTGCATCTACAGAGCGTGGGATAAGCATGATCAGGCTGGGTGTTCACTTAATGTTTGCTAAGAGAACCAGTGATCGAGAACACTGATAGAAAAGAACCCCAGTGTTTGATCTGTGTATGTAACGCACTAGAGAAATGACGTGTGAAGAATCCCTGGGCCCACAGGTAACTCCTTTCTGCTTTCTAAAAGGATTTATCTGATGAAGCGCGTACCGTTAGGTACTACTGGCCATGGCGCGTGGGGAGGCAGAGATGCTTAGAGCAGTCACTCTGAGCCCGTTGACATGGCCTGTGGTCCATGTCGTAGCAGCTCTCACCCTCCAGTAGAGCCTTCCTTCTCACCTTGCGAGATCCCCAGGGAGAGTGTAAGACGCTGCCCCGTGCAGCAGGGCAGCCAGACGTCCTCGGGGAAGACTCGAGCCGAGTCCTGGACACTGTGGTCAGTGCCAGGAGGGGAGCAGCCACAGGGCTTGGCTCTTCATCGGGCTCTGCCCTCGCTCCAGCTCTCTGCCCAGTTCCCGGAGCGTGGCAGGTGCTCAGTAACTGGGGACCGACTGACCCTGACTCAATATAAAATACAGTGCCTGGCAATGTCTCCATCGGTAGGTCACAGTAGCAAGCTTTTGTTTAACTACACATACAAATCTAAGTGGTGAGACTGCACAGCCTTCCCCAGGAAGAAGGGAAAGATCTGATTTTCTGGATGAGTCTGCGGCCTGTCAGGAAGTGCCCTGGCTGCCCAGTGGGCAGAGGGCCACTTTTATAGGATCACTGCTATAGAGTAACCGTGTGTGTGTGTGTGTGTGCGCGCGCGTGTGTGTGTGTGTCAGTATATGCTTATGACTGTTGAGGTTGGGCAATGCTCATGTTTGGAAATTTTCACAACACAAAAAATGTTAACGTACAATATGAACCTAATTGACTCGTTCCCACAACCCAGACAGATGACAGTGCTCACTTACCCCGCCAGCCTTCGCCAGGTGGAGGAAGTTGCCCTGCAAAGATGTTGCCAGCATGTCGGAATACGACAGCGTCTGCAGATCAGCCATCCCGTACGTGCCTGGGAGCGTGTGGTACCTGAAATGACAGTCCATAGGGCTACAGTGAAGTATCAATGCACGTGGCGGTGGCACTGGGTAATTACAAAGAAATGGTTTCTGGAGCCAGACTGCCAGGTTCAAAATTGCCCCCTGCAATTATAAGCCACAGCACCCTTGGGTTAGTTACTTAGTCACCCCGTGCCGCGGTTTCCACATCGGTAAAATGGGAGTAACGCTAATGCAGATCTCCTAGGGGTGTTGGGAGGATGAACGGAGTTCTGTGGAAGGCAGTTAGCCCAGAGTGGGCTGTCAGTGATGTTAACGATTGCCATCCTGGGGGAGGAGGGGGCTGAGGGGACTCCTCCAACATGCTCGGTGCCTTGACTCGGAAGGACCATGTGGCTTCCCTCCATTGAACACATTCACACTGATGCCAGTAAGATACCGCGAAGACTAAATGCATAATACCTACTTTATCAGGGCTGGAATATTGCTCTTGGACAACCAAAAGGCTTTCTCATCCTGGTCCATGTCCTCGATAGCTTGCTGGGAAGGCACCAGGACGGTGAGGTTTGAGGCCGCTGACAGCATGGGATGTAGAGAAGCGTTCTGAATCAGAGAAGGAAAACAAAGTGGCCTCTTATTGAGGGACAGACCAGGGCTGACTAAGTGCTTGGCAGAGACGACCATGTCCATGTAATTTCGGGGACAATGGGAAGGTTCTAGGGCCCGCGTTTCCAAATCCTTCCTTTTATTTAACTGTATGAGCCTTGTCAAAAGGCAAATTTTCCTGATCAAGTCACACGTTGAGTCATTAGCAATCATTTACCCTTTAGTCTAAACGAAGAGTCAGAGAATAGTCTTGACAAGATTATGCAGGTGTGTGCACGTGTATGTGCAGAGAATCCTTGGAACATTTGGAATAGGATGGGGGGAAATTACAGGAACAACTTCAGCCTGGGAGAGAGACTGGAGGCCTGAAATCAAACTTTACCTACTTTTCATTCTTACCTAGAGCTAGTTGTGGATAAAAGCAATGGTGTGCTTATGTTTAACACGCGGCTTTCCAGGATAAACAAACAAACAGAAAGCCCTAGTTTGTAGTGTTGCTGATTTCTGTGGGGTACATTTTCCCACCGTGGCTGAATGTAAGCTACCGACAGGACAGTGGAGTTGCGACAGGTGTGCTCTCGTGAGCTGGGACGAGCAGGGTCCGGTGCACCCTGGGCAAGCTTATGCATGTGGGGTTGGTCTGTATGGAAATCAACACTCACAACCGGACTCTCAGTCCCTGCTTCTTCATGTGATGGGGCCAGGGGGCCCCACGAAGAAGCAGTAGGAAGTTGTTCTGCAGTGATGAATGTGGTACTACTGTCTTTGCACGTGTCTGCTCAAAGGGGATAAGCCACTCGTGTGATGGCTGGCCGGCCCTGGCTTTGGGCCCCTCAGGCAGAGACGATGTATTTCAGACAACTCGGTAGGGTAGGGACTGGATTCTTTGTTATGGAACTTTCCGGGGGAGAGGGAAAAGCTCCTCTAGGCATGGTGGGCTGAGAGCCAAGCACACACAAAGTTTTCCAGGTTGCGACTATAAATACCAACGGTGGCCCTGGCCGGGTAGCTGAGTGGGTTAGAGTGTCATTCTGATACGCCAAGGTTGTGGGTTTGATCCCCGGCCAGGGCACATACAAGGAGCAACCGGTGGATGTGTAAATAAGTGGTACAACAAATAGATGTGTCTCTGGCCCTGTCTGTCTGGCTCGCTCCCTTCCTCTGTCTCTCTAAAATCAATAAAAAAACAAATTTAAATCCCAACTTGAACTTGGTGAGTTACAGGGATAAATTACATTGACTTTTTAAAAAAAGACCTCTGTGATGAATGAAGCTATACATATATATTTGAATTGGTTGAAAATTTGACCCTCCCCTAGCTTATCCCAGACCAGAGTTTTTAGCCCTGGTTTCACGCTAGAATCACCTGAGAAGCTTTCAGACTACACTGACCCCCAGGGCAAACCTCTGCCCAAGGCAAAGCTCTGCCCGATCAAGTCAGTGTCTGGGTGGGTACCTGAGCACGGCTATTGACAAAATGCATCTGTGCGACCCTAAAGGGCAGCCAGGGGTGAGAACCTCTGTTCTAGACAATGCCTCTCCTCCCCTCCCCCACCGGCTGCACTTCCAGTTTTCCATTACATGCATTCCAAATTTCTAAAATTATATACATTCCAACAAAGGTACTCACATTTATCCACTGGTTAAATATAGCTGCCGCGGAGAGAAATGACAATTCCTTATTCATATCGCACAGGGGAGGGAGGGAGAGATGAGAGAGAAACGAGAGAAGGAACAATGAGAAGCATAATCACAGGGCATTTCTGGGCAGCCTCGCCCAGCTGTCCCGGGCTGGGCTCACTTCCCTGCCAGCCTCCTTGACCCCACAGGAACCCCCCAGCTAGCCGAGTTCCCATGTTGCCAGAGCTGCTCACTGCTTTCGGTTCAGTGGTTCTGTTGCCCTCTCTATTTGAGGCAGAGACGTCATCCCAGAAACTTCAAATGGAACAACAGCCTGAAGGTCTTCCGAATGAGAAGTTTGGGTGTAGGGACGTGGCCACTCAGCCCTAAGGAGGGTCATAGAGCTCAGTAAAGATCCCCCTTTGAGAGCCAATGTGGAGTAGCAGCTCGGAACGTGGAGCCAACATTCCTTAGGCAAGCGACTTCATCTCTCTGGGCCTCAACTTTCCCATCTGTACAATGGGGATAATGGAAGCTCCAGCTCCTAGGGCCAATGTGCAAACTGGAGGAGTTAATGTTTTTAAAGTGCTTAGAATAGAGGCTGGCATGCAGGGTGTGCTTTTTTTCCCATTTAGACCATGGAATTTATTTTTTAAATATGTTTTTAGAGACAGAGGAAGGGAGAGATAGAAACACAGATCGGCTGCCTCCTGCACGCCCCCTACTGGGGATCGAGCGCGCAACCCGGGCATCTGCTCTGACGGGGAATCGAACTGGGACCTCTCTGTCCATGGAACGATGCTCAATCCACTGAGCCACACCAGCTGGGCTTTCTTATGGAATTTATTAACGAACACTTATATTGAACCACCATGGCTGGTCCCAGGATGGGAGGTGGGGAAGATGTGAGATACGAAAGGGAAAGATGGCTTCTGTTGCTATATGGCTTCCCGTTGCTCTGGGGAAGGGATGACTTGGAAAGATGCCGACAGTGCCCGTGCGGTGGTGACATTTGAACATGAGAGAGGAAAGAAAGCTCTAGGCTGGGAGCTAAAAAGACCGGGTTCTTTCCCTGAGCCTGCATGTGCTGGCTGTGTGATCTGGGGCAAGTTGCTGCACTGCTCTGAAAACCCAGCTGAACAATGACTTGGAGTATAAACAGTACATGCACTAGTGTATGGGAAAGCATGTTTAAACTACTGAACGACGAAAACAGCAATAACAATGATAATATGCAAATGTCATAAAGACAATAAATCTTAGAGCTGTCTCACTGTCTTCTGGAAAGTAGCTGAGGTTGTGAAGTTAGTAAATACTCATTAAAGAGTAAGTTGGCAAACAGATAAGTAGGAGAGCTGAGAGGCTCACGTCTTTCCTTAAAGGGGCTGGACCTGAGCTGATGGCGGAAGGACCAGAGGCCGGCCGTGGGAGAGGGGAGCAGGGCCGCAGGGGGCTGGGTAGCCGCAGCGAAGGCCCAGCTGCGCTCAGCCACCTGCAGGGAAAGCGAGTTGAGCCTGGGTGAAGAGGCCCGGAGTCGCAGGCTGAGGACTCGGACCTCATCTTGTGTGTGGTGGGAGGAGACAGACACTGTGAAAGCAGGGGGCAGGGTTCTAAGGTCTTAGGAAACGTGGCCCAGAGACAATGCAGAGAAAATGTTGGGTCTACGCTCCATGGTCCAGGTGTCAGGAGATGGCTCCTGGGCCTGACAGGTGAGTGGAAGGAACAGTGTGAAGTGAAGGGTGGAACGGACCCCAACTAGGCAGACAGGCCAAGGGTCTGCACTAGCTCCAGGGAACAGGGACCTGAGCCCAAGGGGGACTCTGGGTTTGGGCAGGGTGCTGGTCCAGGGGTTTGTTAGACCAATGGTTTCAGCTGAGCAGAGGGACAGGAAGCAAACTGCAGTGACTTGAACCAAAAGTAAGTGATGAGAAAATGCATCCATTTACTCTATTTCCCCTTTCAACAAATCTTTATGAACAGTGGGAGTGAAGTAGCAAACAAGGCAAAGACCTGCTCCGGGTGGAGTGGGCAGACAGATGTGTGCGCAATGACATTCCGTGTGACAGGCGCTCCTGATGGAATCCTCCCCCCCCGGCGGTGAGGTGCTTGGGCTCAGCGCTTCGCCGCCACGGGCTGGATCCCTCGCTCTGCAGCCGAGGGGCCTTTGGCACGTTTTTTAGCCTCTCAGTTTCCTCATCCATAAAATAGGCATAATAGCTGCCCCAACTTCAGAGGTTGCTGTGAGGTTTAAATGGGTGCTTGCATGTTAAGGACGTAGTAAGATGCCTGATGTACAGGTGTTCACAGGCACACACACAGACCTCAGATGTGGTCAGTGTAGGGAGCTCTGGGTACCAATAGGGGGCGCACAACCCAGACAGGAGCACACAGAGAGCTCGGCAGAGGTCCGTGAGTTGTCTACTTGGGAATGGAAAGAGGTAGCATGACCAGAAAAGGCAGCCAGGACTGCTTGGTACACAACAGGCGCCAAGTACCAGTTAGCTCCCTTCAGCCTGTAGGAATCGTGTGACCCATGGGCCACCAAGCATCTGGGAGAAGAGCTCGCTTCCTGTAACGTCCCCCGGAGCTCTCTGTGCGCACAGCGATGAAGGCACCCTGGCCCGAGCGGTTTAGGAAGAGTGCTGTCTTCACCCCTGTGCACTGGGCCCGCCTGGAGGACTTACCACGGCCGCGTTCCCGTAGCACAGGAGGCCGTCGCCTTCAGAGCCTTCTTGACACACGCAGCGCCAGGCGCCGGACGTAAACTGACAGGTTGCCTGATGAAACGCAGACGAAGAAAATGGCTTGAGTTCCTAACTAAAGAGCGAGATATGAGTCACTCCGTGGGACCTCAGGCTCCACCTAAGGCAGAAGCCACAGGTGGGGTGGAGGGATGGGGGAAGCAGGCTGCACGCCCTCCGTGTGGCAGCGAGAGGCTCTGGTCTGTGTGTCCGGTGCGGCTCTTACTCCATCACGGCTAAGCTCCTTCTCCCCCCCCGCTGCCGGACTTAGGCAGCAAGAACCCAGGACACACAGCTCAGTAATTTCAGGGAAACGCACGGGTTTCAGTAGATGTATGTCCCACGCTATGCTTGGGGGCATACTTGTGCTGGAAAAAGCTTCCGTGTGCATCTGAAATTCGGATTTAACTGGGAGTCCTGTATTTTCTCTGGCTCTCACATGTTGGTTCTTCCGAGCTTCGGAATGGAGTGAAAGTTCAAATAACTACGCCCATTCTGCTTAGGGACACCCCTCCGGAGTAAGAGAGATTTTGTTCATTTCTAGGCTCAGATAAGAAATAACCTAACTTTCTTTCTTTCTCAAATAAATTTTTTTTAGTGAGGATAAAGGAAATCAAGAAACTCACCAGGGGATGACATTGCCCAGTCTGTCCCAAGCAGGACGTTATTGGTTCACATTCGATCCCATTGCCTCGAAATCCTCTCCCGCACACACACTCACTCTGTAATTCAAGGACAGGCTCTGAGCGGGTGAGGAAGCAGCGGCCTTGCACGCCACGCCCCCGCCTGGCTCTGCATGAGCTGTGGAACCACAGCGTGCGACCCTCCCGGAGAACAGTGCTGTCTGTCGTTTTCTTATACTTCAGCTCCAGAGCTGTTGGGCATCCACATCCCACACTCATTTTCTCAGTCTGATAGGCTCTTTGTACTTTCATTTTGAATTTATCACCCCAGAAGGACCATGTGGAGAGTCTCAGAGATTCTCTAAAGATCATCGGGAAAATTGGCCCCTCCAGCGAAGAGGGAAAGATTAAGTAAGCCACGAGGTGTCCACTCGGGGGAGACCCACGCACAGGGCCATTGCTGGACTGGAAGGCGTTTTGTGTGCTTTCAGATGGACATCCCCTCTGAGCAGACGGATCTGAGGAAGGCACCACCTCTGCGTGGAAACCCGGTTCCTCAGAGTGTGACCTTATTTGGAGAGAGGATTGCTATTATGTAATTAGTTCGGTTAAGATGAGGTCGTGCTGGAGTAGGGTTGGTTCCTAAGCCCACGTGACTCGTGTCCTTATAGAGAAGGGGAGATTTGGACCCAGACACACACGGAGGGAGAACGCCGGGTGAAGGCAGAGATCACGGTGGTGCACGAGCCAAGGGCCGCCAGAGATCACCGGCAAACCGCCCAGAGCGGGGAGAGGCCCCGGCAGGTTCTCCTTCACAGCCGTCGGGAGGAACCTGACTTGCCGACACCGTGATTTTGGGCCTCTAGCCTCCAGACCCACGACACAACAGTTCTGTTGTTCTGTGCTGCCCAGTGAGTGGCACTTTGTCGTGCATCCGTAGGAAACCAGTACAGGTCCTGAGGGACGGGGTTTCTTTCTCAAATGCCGCCTGGACAAAAACAAAGGCAGTTGTTTGCCAGGTGCTGGGGAGACACGAGACCACAGTGGGCTCTTTCAGGATCAGGACTTGCCCGTGGCCACGGTCCTACACAGCTGCCACCACCTCTCCTGGTTGGACTAATTCCTAAGCAGCAGGTTCGTCTGCCTCAGTGTCCCTTAAATGAGGCTAAGTGGAAGTGACTGACAAACTTGGGCGCCGCAGCAATGCAAGGTGTGGTGGGGGTGGCGACACAGGGCAGCTCGGAGTCAGACTGGGTGTGACTCGCACCAGGACTCATTTCCTGTGCGATGTGAGCAGAGGACTTGGCTCTCTGTGCCTCTTTTCTAAGCTGGATGGATACGAGTGCCTACGCGGCTCCCAGAGCAAAAATGAACAAGTGAGACAACATCAAACGGAAAAGCTCCTACTCAGCAAAGGGAAGCATCACCAAAATGCAAAGGCAACCTACCGAATAGGAGAAAATATTTGCAAATCGTATCGGATAAGGGGTTAATAGAAAAGATATAAAGAACTCACACAGCTCAATAGCAAAAATCCAAACAGTCTGAGTAAAACATGGGTAGAAGATCTGAATAGACACTTTTTTCAAAGAAGACCTAGAGATGGCCAAACAGACACATGAAAAGATGCTCAACATCTCTAATCAGCAGGAAAATGCACATCAAAACCGCAATGAGCTTTCACCTCGCACCTGTTAGAATGGCTATCATCAAAAAGACAAGAAATAACAAGTGTTGGTGAGCTGTGGAGAAGGGGGAACCCTTATACTCTGTTGATGGGAAGGTAAATTGGTGCAGCCACTGTGGTTACTAAAAAATTAAAAGTAGGACTACCATATGATCCAGCAATCCACTTCTGGGTATTAGTTGAAGAAAACAAAACACTGACTTGAAAAGGTAGGTGCCTCTCATGCTCACTGCAGCATTATTTACAGTAGCCAAGATACCGGACAACCTAAGTGTCCACTGACAGATGAGCAGATAAAGCAAATGTAATATATGTATGTACACACACACACACACACACATACACACACATGTGCATGCACAATGACATATTATTCAGCCATAAAAAGGAATAAAGTCTTGCCATCATGGATGGACCTTGAGTGATTATGCTAAGTAGAATAAGCTAGATAAAATACTGTCTGATCTCACTTATATGTGAAATCTAAAAAAAAAAAAAAATCCACCCGAAACCAAGCTCGTGGAACCAGAGAGAGACTGTGGTTTCAGAGGCACGTCCATGTCTAGAGGAAGAAAAGCCGTCGCAGGAACCCGCTGTCCTCTGCGCTCCACCGCGTCACACCTACCTGCCCGGGGCCCACGTACAGGCAGGTGGCATTGTCGTGGCAGCCACCGGCGCCGGGCAGCAGGCAGTTGTTGATCTCGGAGCAGTCTCTTCCGTCCCCCGTCCACCCCTGCTGGCACAGGCAGATGGCGGTCCCCACGCCGGTCTTGATGCATTCTGCCTGTGGGGGGGAAAAAGAAGCAGAACTTCAGAAACCTCGGTCCAGCTCTATGATTCCAAAAGCAGAAACGGATTGTCATGGGTACGTTCCAGAAACATATTTGCATGGAGCTCAGTGGAAAAGATGAGAAGGTTTAAAGAGCAAACTCGCTTGGAGTTGGCCAGCTAACGGCCACCGCGAACATCACTGTCATTGTCTCGGGCCAGGGAACTCGTCCTAATGTTTTGTAGACAGGAGCCACTATCCCGAGGCAGGTACTGTTACTGCAGATGTGGAATTGGAGGCTCAGAGGAGTGAAGTGAGTGGCCCAAGTTCGCACAGCTACGAGGAGGAGGCACAGACCAGGTGTACGTGATGCTGGTCCAGAGGAGGCCCACCCCTGGCGGCTGGAGGACACGGCGTGAGGGAGAGGTGTTGAGATGAGGCTGTGTGAGTGGTGGGACTCGCCCGAGGGGAGCCTCGTGGGCTGGGGCGAGGCATTTGCTCTGCTTCCATCCTCAGAACCAGGGGAGTTCCTGAGGGGCTTTCAGCGTGGGAGAGACGTGATCCGATCGACTGCAAGCCCCTCTGGTTGTGGGTGAGCTAGGACCGTACTGTGGGTACTCAAGAGAGGAGCAGGGAGCCCGGCTATTAAACTGTGGGGAGGGGATGAAGGCGACTCGGGCCAGGCGGCGGTGGTGATTTTCAAAAGCTGTTAGTGAAAGCAGTGGTGGGTTTGGCTACACCCTGACAACAACAGAACGTACAGCAACACCCCCAGGCCTCCGTTTCCTAATCGGGAAGATGGGGATAAGAAAACCGGCTTCACTGGTTGGTGGGAGAGCCAGAGACGGCATACAGGAGAGTTGCTTGGACGCTGTGGCCTCTGGATCTAGGATTTTACACTTATGATCTCAACATCTGACTCTCAGGCTGTGCGTTTAAGGGCCCAGTGTGCCCCTCCCCTCCCCATGGGTTGAGGAGGCGGAGTCTCGTGGAAGGTACCCACACCATCTTCAAAACACAAGGTTCAGACAAGTGTGTGTCATGTGATGAAAGCCATCAGACCCTGCCTTTTGAAAGGTCTTCGCTCAGGATTTCCTAAAAACCAGGCAGTTTGGCCCTGGCCGGTTTGGCTCAATGGTTGGAGCGTTGGCCTGAGGTCCGGAGATACCTGGGTTCAGTTCCCGCTAAGGGCGTGTACCTTGGTTGCAGTTTGTCCCTGGCCCTGGTTGAGGCTGTGTGGGTGGCAGCCAGTCGATCGATGTTTCTCTTTCTCTCTTTCTCCCTCTCTCCCTCCCGCTGGATCTGAAGACACATGCAAAAATGTCCTCAGGTGAGGATAAAAAAAACCAAACAAACCAGGCAGTTTGGAAATAAAAACCACCACTCACATTGCGGCTGCAGCCTGGGGTGAATCCCATGCAAGGGTCCATCTCTGAACACAGGCTCCCGTCCCCTTCATATCCTGCTTTGCAAACACAGCTGCCAAGAAGAGGAGTTCATAAATCAGCTCCCGAAATATCAGCACCCACCGCCCCGAAGACGGCCAGCCAGCCCTGTGCTCCGCCCTGTGCTCCGCCCTGTGCTCCAGGGTGGTCTCCTCCTGCTCCAGACCTGGTGGGAATCCAGGCCCCACCCCTCAGCAGTCGTGGGGCCCTGGGCCAGTCCCTTCACCTCCGGGAGACTGTTTCCTCATCTGGAAAAGGGGTGCAATCATAGCGCTCCCTCCAGAGGCTGTGTGGGCAGCCCTGCTGCTCCTGCTGGGCTGGAACCTGCCTCTTTGAAATTCTAGGCGCTGCCTCTGGATTAGCAGAGGACAGCTCTGCCCTCTTCAGTGTGACAGCTCCTAAACCAGTGAGACCTCCCCTCTCTTCCTTTTCCCCTCCACCAGTTTCCCCCCAAACACAACATTCTCAGGTGCCTCATTCCATGAGCTGAGATAGTTTCCTGACCCCTCGCCCTCTCACACTCCCCTCAATGTGCCACCATGATACTTCCACTGTTAACACAGGGCCGTTGGTTCAGCCAATACTGATCGAGGGCCCTGTGATAGGTGCTGGGCCACCACGGGGCTCCATCCTACCCCCGTGTTCCCACTGCAAACTGTGTGCTTCACAGAAAATAAAGATGATACTTTTCACGTATCAAGGCCCCTAGAGGAACTAGATACTTTATCTGGTGCCCAAATGAAAACATCGTTTGACCTGCTTTCATGCTGACCTAAGGTGATTTAGTACAGACAGACCTACGTCCGTCATCCTTTGCGGGTGATTTAAGGGGTTTTAAGGGTGTTCTGATCACTTGTGAGTTTTGCCTTATGCACCAATGGAGACCCTAACTCCCAGGAAGGTGTGTTTTGTTTCTGTCATAAGCTGTGGAAGAGAAGAGCCTGGCCCCAAGCCGCCTACGGTCCAGAGCGGAGACAGACTGCAAACAGGTAAGCACATACCTATGCAATTACAGATGAACAAAAGCGCTGTAAAATAAGGCCGAGAACCCAGGCATTCTCTGCATTTCCCAGCATATTTTGGGGGTGGTTGCTGACACTGAACTGAATCTGCCTGGAGGGATTTTCTCTCCAAGCCCATGGAATATGTTAACATTAAGGAAACAACTAATGATCCAATGACCAAAGACCCAGTGTCCCGTCAGATGCCTTTAACAGGCGAGTTATTATTAATGGCCCTAGGAAGTAAAGGTGTTTTTAAAGGGTTGGAAAGTCAGTGGACAGACCTTCATTTCCTCCACGTGAGTGATGATAATCATTATAGTTTCCATGACTGAACACCTCTGATGTGGTGGCCCTGTGCCAGGTCACGAACAATCTCCACAACGGCCCTGCTGGGTGGGTGCATCTCTCTTATTGTACTGAGGAAAACGAGGCTCAGAGAGGTTCAGTAACTTGCCCAAGGCCACACAGCTGGTAAGTTTCAGAGGAGAGTGCGCAGCAACTCGAACCCAGCTTAGTCTGAGGTTTTCTCCACAAAAGCCGCACTGGTAGTTGGAGAGATCAGGCCCCAGTATATGGGTTGGGTCTGCTACAGGTCACACAGGGCCACGGGCCATTAGGGGTGGTGTCCCCCTGCACCAGACCTACCTTGCCGTCCCATTGCTGTATTCACAGGTGGCGTGGATGTGACAGAACTGCACGTAGGGCCCACAGGCCGAGGTCTGCTTGTGGCAGAATCTCCCCGCGGAGCCCTCTCTGCACGTGCCGGCCAGGCAGGCCCCGTCACTGTCCACCCGGTTGTCGCATGTTCCGTAAATGCACGGGCATTCTGAAAGAGGAGGGAGAGGGACATCGGGGGGCAAGCTTAGCCTTGGGGCACAGGGTCCTGGGAAGCAGGGACTACCTCCCTCACCCCTCCCGAGCCGGGGCTGAGCAGAGGAAGCTGTCTGGATGCTGTTTCTCAGGGTCTCCGGACTTTCTCAGAGTGCCTGGGACAGCTCTTGCTGAGCCTGACCGTCCCATCGAGGCTGAGGAGATCTCGGACTCAGGGCTGCTTTACATGCATGCGTGTGGGGTGTGGCGGGGCCCAGAGGGCCAGATGGTGTGAAAGCAGCCCAGGAACTCAATTTTCATCTACTTCGTGGTTGGAGAATGTAGTCTCACCATTTCGTCAAGACATTTTGGAATAAATAGAAGTGATTTCTCCTGCCCATGACCCCTGATGCTAACTTACGTATTTCTTCTTCACTCTCCAGCACAGCCAATATTTGCACACTGACCTTGTTCTAGGCATTGGGCCAGCATTTAACCGGTACCATCTCATAAATAGTCACCGGCCTCAGGAGGTAGGTGCTTTTAACATCCCCATTTTCCAGATGAGAAAACTGAGGCCCAGAGAGGTAAAGCAGATTGCCTAACTCGCTGCTCATTCCCAAGCATGGACTTGAACTCAGGCCTTCCAAGCCCATTTCTATTAGTGACCACGTGTAAACACATCAGATCGGTATAGTCACTGGCATTTCCACGTGCCTGTTGCCATTTTAAACTTTGGCTGCTTACTTGACTTTTGGTTCTAGGTATTTATAAATTGCAATGCGAGCCAGCTCTTCAGACTCGGGCTCCTATGCACGCGGGAGCGAATGATTCTCACAGGCAGGCAGCAAGGATTTGGGGGCTCAAAACTGATCAGAAAAGAAGGAACCGATACTTTTGCTCCAAAAGTCACCGATGGGAGAGAAATTAGTTTGGGTGCTTGGAGTCGACATGCGGGAAAGAGAAGAGAAACACAGCGAAGGGGCTGGATTAAAAACAAAAACGACTTTTAAGCAAGCTAGGGCTTAATTTGCAAGGAACAAGCCCCTAGAAGGAGGCTCCCCTCCTGGGATGGTGGGCAGCCCAGACCCGGGACGAGAGGCTTTCAAGCCGGAAGCCCAGCTCCGCCGCCCCAGCCTCGGCAGCCTGCCCGCTGGCCTCATAAACATGTCAGCGTTAGCAGGCATTGCAATCAATCCTGTATTTCCTTTCTCGGAAACCTTATTTGGCAGAAAGAAAACTGGACTAGGACCTGCCGCTCTGGCTCCTGCCCATTTTGAAAGTTGTGAAAACCAGAACAAGGCAAGAGAAGGGAAGGGGTGTGCATTTGGTAACAAGAGAGTGAAGTCAGTAGTAACAATAATAAAAATGGCTTCATTGATTGATTATTTGCTAGGTGTGAGCTCTGTGCTAAGGGCCTACATTATGATCTAGCTTCACCAATGGCTCTGAAGTGGGCACCAGTATTGTCTTCATCTTATAGATGGGAAATTGAGGCTCAGTGAGAGACTTTCTCTAAGGTCATATGACCAGTAAGTAGCACAGCGGGGACTTAACGTCAGTGGATTTGACTCCACAGCCAGCTCTGACTCATTCCCGTTATTCTCTTTACATTCCAATCTTGGTCTGGAAGTGGATATCTAAGCATATTTATATACATGAATAGACACATAATGTCATTAAAGAACACAATGCATTTTCTAAGATTATATAACTGCCCTTTCTTCATTGTCTATTGTTGTGGAACTTTCTATATTTGCTATAAACTTCTTGACATTTATGTTGCGGAACTGAGAATAATAGTAATGGTAGCAACAATAACAGATCATGTTAATAGCATATTTATAGTGCATCTGACGTGCTAGGCATTGTTCTAAGGCAACTGCTTTCCATTTATAACTTGTACCAACTGGACAAGGTAGTTAATATTATTTTTCCCATTTTATAGACAGGAAAACTGAGCCCTAGAGAGGAGGAGTAGTAACTTGCCCAAGGTTGCATATTTGGCAAAAGGAAGAGCTGATGGAAGCAGACCACTTGAAAGGCAGGGAGTGAGTCTGTTTCTTTCTTTTCTTTTTATATGTTTTTATTGATTTTTTAGAGAGAGAGGAAGAGAGAGAGAGCTAGAAACATTGCTGTGATAAACATCAATCGGCTGCCTCCTGCACGCCCCCTACTGGGGATAGAGCTCACAACCCAGGCATGTGCCCGGGTCTGGAATTGAACTGGGACCTCTCAGTCCACGGGAGGATGCTCAATATACGAAGTCACACTGGCCAGGCACGATGCAAATTCTCCAATACCACCCCACGCCCACCATCTCAGAAACCACGGGTGGGGCCCAGCATCTGGCCCATGCTACAGTTTCACAGGTTCGGAACCAAGTGCTGAAGAAATGCCCTGTGAGGAGGGCATTCACCCAGCAAAGGGGTGCAGGCCACCAGGCCCGCACCGGAGAGCAGAGGGAGCTCTGCAGGGCCACTTACGTTCGTCACACCGAGGTCCGTGCTTGTCGGGATCCGAGCAGAACTGACACTGGGAGCCTTGGAAGCCATCCTGGCAAACGCAGGTCCCATTGCCGTCGAGGCCGTCCATGCACTGGGAGCAAAGGCAGGCCCGGGGGCTGTCAGGAGGGCACACGCGCCCCTGAAGGAGCCCCAGACCCTGTCGCGGCATGACCTGCCTTCTTCGAACTCCCACTCGGTCCTGCTTGAGATGACTCTTTGTGGAAAGTGGAGTCATGTTGGTATCAGGCAGGAAGCTTCAGTGACAAGCTTGGGGTCCCAAAACGGGGGGGGGGGGATGGAGGGGAGGGTCACGGTGGTGAACTGGGGACCTCCAAATATTGCTTAACTCCAGAATGCGGCTGCCTTTCTCTCCACATTCTCAGCTGCTTAATGTGACTTCTCACTGCAGTGTTACTCTCTTTGGTGGTAGTTTTGCCTGTCACCTCCCCAGCCACTTCAAGCTGGGTTTCTAACGCTCAGCGCTCAGTGCTCAGTGCTCATCAGAGCTGGGCGGTGCCGTCCCCCCCACCGGGCTGCAGTGAGGGATCGGTGCCAGCTTCCCCTCGTCTCAGCCTGCGTGGTGCCCACTCCTGGCTGCACAGTTTTTCCTTTCCCTTGAAGAGGCGTATTTTAATGTGGATTTCTTAAATGAGCCCATCTATGCTTTTTCCATATGAACCACAGCTATTTTTTTTTTTTTTTAACCTTCATGTGTTTAGCTCTGGCCTCCAAGCTAAGTGAATTCAGTTTTGGCCTTTATGGTTCACTAGGTTTTATGGATATGTTAAAAAAAAAAAAATCACTAGGCAGTGCTATTTTTAAAAAGTATCATAAAAATCTTAGTCCTGGAAGGAATCTTAAAGATTCCGCCAAACTTACTGTCTCCCATGGGAGGAAAGTGGGGTCCAGAGAGGCCTGTCCAGTTGCCCAAGGCCATGCGGTCAGCAGGAGAAAGGCAGAGGCTAGAGGCGACATCCCTGTACCCCACCCCGAACCTCCTTCCTGGGCAAGACTCCTGCGCACGCAGACACCCGTTCTTTTAGGAACGGATCTGTCTTATTTTTACTTCCTGGGACTAGGGGCTGGCATTTCTTGGTTCAGTGGTTTTAAAAATGATTCTTCGACTTAAGAAAGGTGAGCCTCAGCATTCACGAGGAAGTCTGCATCAGGGATGGTCCTTATCACCTGTCCGTTTCCTGAGCATGGGTTCGAGAAGCCTCCTGGACACTGGTTGCAGTTGGGTCCATAGAAACCTTTGCAGCACTTGGGTATCTGAGAAACAAAATGCGTGTTGCCCTTTAAAACCCAAAGCAGAGTGCCAGTTCCTCGAAGGAGACCCGCTTTAATGTCTGTTATGATCATAAACAGCGTTAGCCCCTCCCCCATTATGATCTCACTTTTCTTCTGCAGATAGCGCCAGGGCTGGTGCCCGGCCATCCGTTCGCCACAAATCTACCAAGGGCTGAGCCTGGGGCCGCTGGCCCTGGCGCCACAGAAACAGGGCAGATGGAGGCCTGTGCTCGTGGCTACGTTCTATCTAATCGGGAAGAGATAATAAATAACGGAGAAGAAAGAGGAGAGGTAGAGGGGGGAAAGAGAGGAGGAGGAGAAGGAGGAGAAAGGGAGGGAATTTAGCGCCGAGTCGGTGCTGGGAAAGCAAAGCACCATAGTAAAGTGGCAGCAGCTGGAGCAGAGGTAGGGGAGACTGCGGAGGCCGCTGTGGATTGGGTGGTAACGGAGGAGGTGACAGTTCCATGGAGGCTTGAAGGATAACTCAGCCCAGGACAATCTGGAAGAGTATTCTGAGGCTGGGGATGGCCAGTGCGCACGCTCTGAGGTGGGCACAGGGTCAGCGGCAGGTCGGAGACAGAGGGTGGGCTGGGGGCACTGAGCGCACGGGCTCTCTGTTACGAAGCAGAGGACATCATGGGAGGGGCGGCTGCAGGGAGGGGGTGCCTGGCTGGCACGGAGGGAGTCTGCCCTCGGGTTCCCGTGCAGGAAGACATTGCCAGGGCCGCACAGGCAGCCTGTGACTGCGCAGAACCCGGGCCCGAGGGCGGCCCTGCGGCCCGTCCTCACCTTCACAGTGGCATTGCAGTACCTGGCACAGCCTCTCTTCAGGCTCCTCGTCCTGCCAGTGTAGACACATTTGTGTGTGAAGAGCTCCTGGAAGAAAGCCAACCAGACAGCGCTGCCGGGGGCGCCTCAAGGTCCTCGGGCACCCCTCAGCCTCCCCAGACACCAGCCATTCTACTGCCGTGTTATACCGACGCCAGGGATGCTCGAGACCGCCGGCGCGGGCGGGCCCTGCCAGAGTTCTGTCACCCTCTCGGGCACCCTGTTTCCTTGTTGGTAGGATATGGGCCAGGTGTGCACGATGCAGGGCACGTGTATCTGTATGCCCCCATCCTGCCATGGCAGACATGGCTAATTGCTCAGCCTGCGTATGGCCTGGCCTGCCCTTCTCATCCATTGCCATCCCTACGCTCCTCTTACACAGAAATTTTGGAGTCTCTCTCTAATTCCAGAAAGATTTCCCCCCAGTGGTGACAGTCTGATTCTTCCCTTAGGGGCAGGGACAGATTTAAATGTATCCTTTATTCTCTTTGTTTTTGAATCCTCACCTGAGGATATTTTTCTATTTATCTTCAGATAGAGTGGGAGGGAGAAAGAGAGAGAAACCTCAACGTGAGAGGGACACATTGACTGGTTGAGTCCCACACGACGACCCCAACCAGGGCCGGGGATGAACCGCAACCGAGGTACGTGCCCTTGGCTGGAATCGAACCCGCGAACTCCACGGGCCAATGCTCTACCACTGAGCCAAACCGGCCAGGGCGCATCCTTCATTCTCTAACCCCCATACCCACTCCTGATTATCTACAACTACAATTTATTAAGGACTTACTAGGGCCTGACGCCTTACACATTTGAGGTTATCCATCAACTCTATCTGGATATATTTTGTCCCTTTTTCCTAGAGAAGGAAGCTGAGGCCCCGCTGGGCTGTCATTTTTCTAGGGAACAGCTGGGAAGTGGCTCTTCCAGGAAGCGGGATCTCCCTTACCACCCGCTAACGTTAGGGAATCACAGGCAAGCCACGTGCTCGCTGTGGGCCTCCGCCGCCTGCTCCGGGAAGTGGGACAGTAAGGGTGATCGGAAGTTTTGTCCGAAACACTAGTCCCTGGCTCAGATCTTACGTGAGGTAAATGCTGACGTTGAGCTTCCTCCCTCATCCGAGGCTCGTGCTCAGGAAGAAAGCACTGAGAAGGTCAGTACAGTCCGAATATTTAAATAGAGTAATTGAGGAATGCATATTCAGCCCTCTCGTTGGATCTCAGGATAATTAGCCACACGTAGATCGTGGGAGCCTGGGAGGGGCCGTTTTGAGGCTCTTTGGCTCCAACCCAAGAGTCTCATCTTGCTCTCTTCCTTCCTCCTCCTCCTTTGGACTGAGGCAACGTGGGACCGTGGTTCTGCCACATATCAGCCAAGTATTTTATATTCTTTTGCCTTGGCTTCCTGATGACGCAATGGTTGTGACGATAATAAGCCCACTTCATCGGTTTGCTGCCTGATGCGTGCAGAACAGTGGCTGGCACGCAGCAGGTGCTGTGATGCTGGCCAGCACGCCTCCTCCCCCTCCTCTGCATTCCCTGCTCCACAGCCCAGAGCACTCAGGGCTGATGGTTTCACTAAGCAAAAGAAATATCCGAACACCTGTGCCTATTTCATTTTAATGTTTTGCTTTATGAGGTGCTTCACAACAGGGTGGCATTGAAGAGCTCATCGCCTGCCTTTGTGATTCAGTCCAGTGTTGAATGAAACTTCCAGCTGTGAAGTTCTCCCTTAGGATGAACTTAGAGGCAGACATTTCTGTCATCAGCTTGACCCCAGAACGCTTGGCTGTTGCCACCCATAGAGCACATGGCCTATCGATGGTGAATTGTACAGCTGTTTTCCTTTGAGATCAGAACTCGCAAGACAAGCACAAAATAAAACAAACGATCTTCTTTATCTTTTTGCTCCCAGAACCAGCACTAGAATCCTCAATAGACACGTTGAGAATTCAATCACACTTGAAAAGGTTTTGATGACCCTAGTGTCACTTTCTTGCTATTTCTCTCTAGAATAATGCTTGGGAAGACCAAATACGAATAAAGGGTGGCAGGACACGCCACCCCAAAGTATGCCACTTTGGCATGAGGATTATTTTGAGCTAAAAGTACCTGAAAAACAGCAGATACAGAAGGAATAATAGTCTGATCTCTCCTTTTCTTTCTGAAAACTGTGGGCCTCAGCTCAGCGGCCTAATCCGTGAAATGGGACAATCATGGTGATCTTAAGTTTTGTCAGAAAATAAAACTATGTGAAAGGTGCTCTCCCTGTACCAGGAGAAAAGGAATAGCTTGTCACTGTGGACAGGGAGTTGAAGCCAAGAAAAATCTGTACACGCAGACCTCGTTAAAGTAACTGCTCTTCCTTTAGCCCCCCCACATTGTAGATGCGTCCCCTAAATTGCCATTCTTTGTTCAACCTACTATATGAGCATTTGGGTTTTGCCACCTGTCTGAGTCTTCATTCTCCTATGGAGGCTCTCATGTAGATGTAAAAATCGGTGTGCTTTTCTCCTGTGAATCTGTTTTTTTTTTTTTTTTTTTAATCCTCACCTGAGGACATTTTTCCATTTTTTGTACAGACAGAGTGGGAGGGAGAGAGAGGAAGAGAGAGAGAGGGAAACATCGATGTGAAAGGGACACATCGAGTGGCTGCCACCCACACGACCAACCAGGGCCGGGGACAAACTGCAACCGAGGTACATGCCCTTAGCGGGAACCGAACCCGGGTCTCTCCGGACCGCAGGCGGACACTCTAACCGCTGAGCCAAACCGGCCAGGGCTGTGAATCTGTTTTATGTCAGCTTAATTCTGAGGCCCAGACAGAGACCCTGAGAGGGTGGAGGTAAGGTTTTGCCTGCCCAACACAGATGTTGGATTTTATGCAAGAGGGAAAAGTAGAGAAGGAATGAGCCTTTACTGAATGGCTACTTGACTTAGGCACTGTGCTTGAGTTTTTCATCTGTGCTAATCCTGTTGTGGTTGTTATCGCTATTGTTACGTGCAGATGAAGAAAAGGTTAAGCAGCTTACTTCAGGTTAATGAGCAAGGATTCACACATAGATCTGTGGGTTGTCCCCCCCTCCCCCCCAGGTAGCTGGCTAAGTGCTTATCTTATATTGCCCCAATTGGGGTTAATATCCTTTAAGAGGAAGGTAAAAAAAATGAGAAAGCACATCCGTGGGGCTGCTTGGGTGATGTGTGTTTTCATGAAGCCGTCGTACTCACTGTGGGTGTGGAGTTGGTGGGACATCTGCTCCAATGTATTAGGGAACAGCTCACACAAGTGCCCTGGAAGGAAAGACAGTGGGTCAGCACAGGTGTCCCTCTAGGAGGGGGCAGGCGACTGCCCTGTCTGGTCTCATGCTTCCTCCCTGCCAAGGGGTCTGCTAGAGTAACTCTTCTGGCCTCTCTGCCCACCATTGCTGACCCCTCCCCAGAGAAAAGGAGTAAAGACAATGCAGGGGGTTTGGGGAGAAGGAACTGAGGCTGCTCAGTCTCCTCCTCCCTCTCCTTTAACATCAGACAGACCAACTCTGCTGTAGAGAGGCACCTGACCTCAGGGGACACTGCAGTTGTCCACCTGTGCCACGGATGAAGTCTTAGGGTGGAATCCTAGCTCTCCAATGAGCGTAGCAGTAAGGAGGCTGGACAAGGAAGCTCCGCCTTCCAGCCTCCTGGGCTTCTCGCTCCAGCAGGTAGACCTCGGGGATGGTCTCTCGGGCTCCCTTGCCCGCTTCTGATTGGCCTGAGCCAGTGGGAAGCCCCAGCAGGCTGCTGACAGGTAGGAGGAGGGCAAGGAGGGCATTTCTTCCCTGCTCTGTGTGCTGAGGCACCACCCTGGCAGCTCCCGATGCTGTTACTTCTTCAGCTCTTTCCACTCTCACTGGGTTCAGGCAACTTGACTCCCCTCTTGGCCCCCACTGTGACCCAGTGGCCCTGCAGCGGGAGTGACATCCTGCCATTGCCCCTCCCTGCACCCCCCAGCATAACTTGTCTCCTTAGCCCTGCCCATCTCTCTGTAGTAGCTTCTTCATTAAAGTCTCTCCATTTGAAAGCTTGGGATAAATTATTTCCTGCAGGGACCCTAGACCCTAACAAGTAGAGAGTGCTCTTTATTAGCCTTTAAAATATAAAAAAAAGAGGACCCCAAATCCAAACATACATGGCCAAAGGCAGCTGTGAGTTCGGCCTGGTGAAAACTGAGACTTCTAGAAGGTGCCAGGAGCTTCTAATCTCTGCTAGCCCTAAATACTTTCCAGAGAATGCATCTGTGCTCTTAACAGACAATCAAAGCCACCCTAAACCACGTGGAGCAGACAGATTTGACTTTAAACCCAGAGAAAATAGTAGAAGACTTCTTTCTAAGGGAGCGACTGGGGGGCTCTTTTCCCGATCTAACCAAAGTGCTTTGGGTTGTGGTTCAAACCCACAGCTTGATCCTGTTCTTTGGGGGAGACGAAGAACAAACTTTTGAACAACCTGGGACTAGAAAACCTGGAATTTAGAGCTGCCCTTGTTCCTCCACAGACTCCCTTCCCTGAACTTGAGTGGCAGCTGCTCGGGGTGGAGGAGCTCTGAAGAACTAGTTATCGATTCCTGTTAACTCTCTTCTGCAAAGGCCCTGTTTCCCAAATAGTTTTATTTCTGGGCCAGGGGATGACAGTAATTTCATCTGGCCTGTTCAGACCTTCATTCTGGCCTAAGTCAGGTGAGACACCTGCCAACATGTGTTTAAAGGATTGAACCAAACGTCAACCCCTGCTGGGGACTGGCTGGGGAAGTGACCAAGTTTCTGCCTCTCTTCAAAAGTGGTGCTCAGAGTTGAATCAAGTCCCGCAGGTGGCATGCGACCGGCACAGGGGACTCGTACCACCATAGCAACCTAAAACATATCAGAGTTGTTGCATTAATTTAGAAATCTCACAAGCTTTGTCAGGTACTCAACTAGTATTTCCAGCCTTCATGACCGGAAGAGGAATTGACACATTTAAATCTATAAAAACAGACCATTATTCCTTGTTTAATGCCCGTGCTCCAAGGACACTAGAAGGACAATCACTGAAGTGTTATTGCAGTGTCCCAAAAAGAAATGCCCAGCCCTATTATTGCGGTGACTTTGGGGTTGTTTCCATGGGAATGGAAAGATCACACGTAACAGCAATGTCAAGATTTGGGGTGCTCTGATTAAAACCAGCTGAGCCCCCAAAGGTTGCCATGGAAACAGGAAAGGCCATTGGAAGGTACACAAATTCATAGGCAAACAGAAAGCTTGGTATTGGAAAAGAAGGACAGAGAGATGGCTGACTGGCTAGGCCAGAGTTCCACCCGGGAAGAAATTCTATTTGCAATATTCAAGTCCCTGGAAGTGCAGTGGGTTGAATAGTGTCCCCACCAAAATTTATGTCCCCCCAAATCTCAGAATGCGATCTTATTTGGAAATGGACTTTTCACTGCTGTGATTAGGTAAGATGAGGCCATACTGGATGGGGGTGGGCTCTAGAGCCACCGACTTGTGTCCTTATGAGAAGAGAAGGGGATACACAGTGAGACACACAAGGAAGAAGGCTGTCAAAGGCGGAGGCAGAGACTGAAGTGATGCAAGGAGCCCAGGACTTCGGGAGGTGTCAGACGCTGGAAGAGGCGAGGAAGACCCCCCCCCCCACCCCCCAACCTTCAGAAGCAGTATGCTCTGCTACTACTTCGAGTTTGGACTTCTGGCCTCCAGAGCTGTGGAGAATGCAGCTCTGTTGCTTTAAGCCACCTGGGTTTTGGTGATTTGTTACGGCAGCTCTAGAAAACGAACATACCCGGGTAGATTCTATCGCTGTGGGAAGTCCCCCCAAGAACGTTTAGTTCACACCTGCCCTTCACAGAGACAGAACCCCCCTAAACGAGGCTCCTTAGAACTGCGAGGGCTGGGAACTTGTCTGCGCCGGGGGTGTTAGGGACCCTCTTACTGATCTGGGTTTCTTACCAGCTTCATCTCGCTCTTTGTCTCGTCACATTGGTGGGGCAGAATTGGGACGATGGAGGGAGGGATTAGAACTCCAGTCAGCGTGTAAATTCGGCCGTTTTTGGCTGTGACTTCAAGTTCTTCCATTGCCACCTCATTTGCCAGAATCTGCCCCTGGAAAGACGCAATGACATCTCTCGTTCTGTCCTGCAGGAACACCAGAGGTCCCCTGGCAGGTCCGAATAGTGGCGACCTCCCCAGACCTTCAACTCCGCTTTCAGTGAGTGGTAGCTTGCTAGTGGAAGGGCTTGGCCGGCGGGGAAAGACGCATCTGTTAAACATTTTTGACTGACACCAGGCAAGGATGTCCTTGCAGAAACGATCCTTGTGGGTGCCGGACTGGGGAAGAGGTATAGCGATTCCAGCTCCACAATATCTCTGCTATGACATCTTGGGCAAATTACTTTACCTCTCTGTAATCCATTCATTCAGATACACTTATGGACCTTGTGATACATCGAGAGAACAAACCCAGACAAGTTCCTGCTTATGTGGTAGCGAAGGGAGCAGAAAATGAACGAACTAGTGAAGAATTCTGACCTCCACTTTCCCCCTGAGTCTGCTCCCCCTGCAGATTTGTGGCTGCTCAGAAGTCAAAGCTCGGGGGTCATTCTTGGCTTCCTTTCTCTTTCCTCCCAGCAAATCCATCAGCAAACTTTGTTAAGTCCACCTTCAAAGTACCTTCAGAATTCAACCTCTGAGTTACCATCATTCTTCTCTGCGTTATTGCAATCGCTCACCAACCAGTCTCCCAAAATGCATGTCTGATCACGTCATTCCACCGCTTGAAATCCTCCAGTGGCTTCTCATCTCATTCCAGGTGAGAGCCTGTGTCCTTACCTTGAGTTCCGAGGCCCTGCATGCCTGGGCCCCGCCTCTCCTTCTCCCTCCGACTGCCTGGACCCCCTCCCCCACCTCTCTCCCCTGCGCTCCGACTGCCACCCTGACTAGCTCTCCCTCAAGCAGCTCGGCGCTCCTTGCTCTGTGCCTTTGCACTTGCTGCTCCCTCCTTCCGCAGTGCTCTTCCCCTTCGCGCTGCTTCTCCCTGCACTTCCTCCGGGTCTTTGCTCCTAGGTCTTCTTCTCCCTGAGGATTTCTCGGGCGCTTTGCCTAAAAAGTCAGCCCCATCTCTGCTTTCCATGCCTCTTCCTTGCTTTGCAGGGTTTCATCTTGGCACTTACTGTTATCTAACATGTGACGTACTTTACTTATTTGTTTATTATCTAGTCTCCTATTTAGTAAAATGAAAGTTCCCCGCAAACAGGGACTTTTGCCTGCTCATCGGTCTACTTTCAGGACTTGACATGGTATCTGGCACATAGTAGGAACTCAATAGATATTTGTTGAAAGGCTGAGTGGTCATCATCATCACCATCAGCAATGAATCAACAGGAGACATAGTCTCTACGCTGCCAGACTTTTGCTGATATTACAACCCCAGGGAATTAGCTGAATAATGCTGCTTTCTTTGAGTTTCTTAGATCAGTCACGTTGTCTCCCACCTCAGGGCCTTTGCACATGCTCTCCCTTCAGCCTGGAGCTCTCTTCTGCTCATCTCTGCCCAGGTTCACTCTACTCGTCTTTTGAATCTTAGCCAAAGCCTCCCCTTCTCACTAACCGCTGGACTCCCAGACTTGCTCAGACTCCTGTTGCAGGCTCTCACAGTCCTCTTAATTTCCACTAATTGGCATTTATTACAATTGTAATTCAATAATAAACTGGTTGCTAATTAGTTGTTTAAAGTCTCTTTTCCTTGTTGGGATGGAAGCCTGTCTCTTTCCCTGTAGCTGCTCAGCAGGCATTTACTAGAAGAGGCGACACACGAATGGAGTAATCGTAAAGGTTTGAGCCCGAGTTCGTGTAGAGGTAGGATGCCGGGAAGAGTCATCACAAGGGGAGGAAGAATGCACGTAAGCCACAATACCAGCGGTGGGCTGTTCACCTACGTTGTCGGTCGTGTTGAACTGGATGATCTGGTTGGCCATGCTCCTGATGCGAAGGGTCGGAACGAGGGTGGCCACTTCCAGCTGCAACGAGAACAGCAGACAGAGACCTGCTCACACAGAGCCCTGCTTTCATAAAGCCTCCCAGGAACGAACAACCTGCACGTTTACGACCTAAGTGATGGGAGCTTTGATTGATGCGTGCTTGTGGCTTTGAAGATTTCTTTGATAGCAGGCTTATGATTCACGCCGAAGGGTACACGCGAATGACAGAAAAAGGACAACTCTCACCTATTTTCTAACATCAAAATCTTGCGGATTTAAGACTAGGTTAGGTATCTGGAAAGCAGGGGAAAGAGCAGGAAAAGCGGAGCCTACCTGGGTAAATGGGACGATGTGGTATCTGATCAGTTCCAGAAGCTTCCAAGATCCCTGCGAAGAAATGAAAATACTTCTTCATACGATGAAGAAAACATCCCTCTCCCCTTGTGGGAAGCTCCTCAAATGACTCTGGACACTTAGTCAACACAAGTAAGTAATCTGCAGTCTCTTCATTGGGAAGGCCAGGGTGTGAAGAGCCCCATGGCCAATAGCTCACACCCACTGCATGCCCCACTGCATGCCCACTGCATGCCAGCCCTGGCGGGGCTGTTCTGCAAACAGGAAGTGCACAGTTGTTTCATCCTGCCAGCAGCCCGGGGCGGGGCACCATTGACTCACTGCGTATGTGATAACATCGAGTTAATTCTTAAAATCTTTACCCAAGGATATTTTTACACTTATCTTCAGACAGGGTGGGAGAGAGAGAAGGAGAGAGAGAGAGAGAGAGAGAGAGAGAGAGAGAGAGAGAGAGAGAAACATCGATGTGAGAGAGACACATTGATTGGTTGCCTCCTGCACTACTCCAACCTGGACCAGGGACGAACCGCAACCGAGGTACGTGCTCATGGCCGGAATCAAACCTGGGACTCCCTGGTCTGCAGGCCGATGCTCTAACAGCTGGGCCAAACTGACCAGGGCGACACCGAGTTTTAAAGACATGTCCAAGGTCACAAAGCTTCAGGCTATGAGCCCAAGAATCAGCCCAAGCTCCCAGTCACTCTGCTCGGGGACCTCTCTGGATGCCCAAGGCTACCTTCTGGATTTTCTAAGACAGCCTTAGTCTATGATTCTGCTTCACTCTCGCCATAACCATGGACTGATTATGAAGAAATAGCCAGTCTTTGTCTGGATCCTCTGGTTAGGACACTTGCCCTTCTGAGCTCCCATGGTACGTGGTCATTTCTCCTGTGAAGCCCTTCACAGGATTTCTCATTTTCCAGAGAAAAAAGAGGGTCTTAGGACTACAAACAGGATGAACAGACCCGTAAGCGTGTCCTGAAGATGGCATAGAGTTGAGCCCGGGGACCACTCTTTTTGGGGAGAGAGGTGGTGGCAGCGGAGGTCTGTTGCAGAATGTTGCAACCTCCCAGCTGAGCCCGAGCTTGGAGTTACAAGCATCACAGCCCTTGAATTCTGCTTAAGAGGCGCAGCCAGTCACTAGGTGAACGACCACCCATCAAGATTATAGTCATGCCCAAGAGGCTGACCACTCTAGGGATATGTTCCAACAGCGTGAAGTCCCAGATCTGAGTTCCATTCACCCAGACTCCTCTCTGCAATTGGCCTTGGTCCCTATGCCAGAGGAGTCCCCTGTAAGAGGAGTGGCCACATATTCTGGTTTGTCTGGTACCACCCTGGTTTACATTTATGGTCCTGCCAGTGCCAATCACTCTCAGAATTGTCCTAGTGTAAATGGTATATTATATGGCTTCCCATAGCGATAAGTCACTGGCATTATGTAAAGGGCACAGTTACCAAAAAGCATGTCTAGTCTCAGCTTCACCTGCAAAATCAAGGGACTGGTCTGGACTCCTCCCCACCCTCTTTCTACGTGGAGGACTTTCTCGACGGGTGATCCACTTCCAAAGCCTCCAGAATTAATTGGTGTTGGATCCTTTTTACAGGAAACGGGAGAATGAGAGGGATGAAGGCACTGACCAGTATTCCTCCCGCCACTGTGTGTGCCCGCTGCCTTATCTGGCTGGGCCACTGTCCCGTTAGTCACTGCAGCACAGCTCACATGGACAGGACGTGCGTCCAGGGGCTGTTGTGTGGAGGAACCTTTTGGGGAAGTGTATCCTTTCCCTTAAGAGGACATTCACTTCCTGCCAGCTGCCTTAGGTAACAACAGTGACAACAACACACCTTTCGGTGCCTGAGACAGTGCTTTTTACCCAATTGAATGACCTTGAACTCTGCAAGTCCACTTCCCTTTGTCCCATTTAACTTGTAAGGTATTTGAGAACTGGCGATGGCCAGTCTCTGCCCCTCTGCTCTGAAATCCTGTCTAGTTCAGTGATGAAGTCGTAAACTGGGGCTTATCATCTGTGGGGATGGGATGCTTTTGGGACTGAAAATCTTCTTCGGGGAGAGATAGAAAGATACGCTGGAAAGAAAACATCCCAGATGAGAACTAGAAACCACTCTTCTAATGAGATCAGTTTGTTTTCCATTTTATTGGTGTAGCTGATGGAAATTTCACTGTCTCCAGCTGAGGTTCTCCTTGGAAGATACAACTAAAGGATGCTATGAAGATGGATCGAGACAGAAGGAACTTCCCACAGGTGGAGGAATTTTAACCCACACAGACTCTGCACCCTAGAAAGAGGCAGAAATGATTGCTCTGTTCCTCACCTAGAAATTGAAGAGGATAAAGAGTTCATGACTCAGGACACAGAGACTTGCAGTTTTATATTCTTTGTGGGAAGAAAAATGTTGCCTTTGAGAGAAAAAAAAAACCATTGAGAGCCAGGAGCAGTGGTGTGTTAGTAAATCAATTCCACGGGGGGAAAATAAGCCATGATTTATAGCGCTGGCCGGTTTCTATGGTGTAAGTCACCACGGGCTGATTTCAAGCGACTAATGTGATCTCGGTGAAAGGAGCTGGGAAGAGAGGCACATGGCCCACTCTCGAGAGCCTGAGTAACAGCTCCGGACACCAACTGGAATGAGGTAGGAGAAAAAGAAGAACTTTCTGAGCAATGTGCTTGCCAGGAAAGCAGGGAGGCTGATTTCTTTTCTATTCTAGTTAAAAGGTTTTGTCTTAACTCTAAATGTACCTGAGTAGGTGTCTGAGGACTCCTCTATTATTATTTTAAAAAAATCTGTATCAGGAACTCATGCACTTGGAGAAGCCATATAATCTTAGGATTTTAATAATCTCCCTGGGGAGCAACATTACTTTTTTAGCTTTAACATTAAGGATAAGTGTGAATTCTAAACAGAGGTATAACAGTTTTTCTTTTGCGATGGCTAATTTTCAGAAAATTTGAGTGTGAATCATATGTTTAAAATAACATCCTATTTTTAAGACACCGGGACTATAGCATTTTAAATGAAAACCTGTCGCAAATCCTTCAATACGTTGACCAACTGTTTGCAATGTAAGGGAGATTACCTTCTGATTTATCTCCTCGATGCAGATCTTTTAAATCCAAAGATTTTTGAAAGTATGATGCCCTTGTAGTACCGGAAAGTAGTCTAGAAAAGGATGTATCCCTGTGAACCTCTACCAGGGGTGGAGAACCTTTTTTCTGCCAAGGGCCATTTGGATATTTATAACACCATTCGCGGGCTATACAAAAGTATCAACTTAAAAATGATTTTGCTGTATTCGGTCAGGCTAAGTTGGTGAGGTGTGTGATGTTAGCAGGTATTGATTTCACAGGCCTTATGTGGCTCGCAGGCTGGACGTCCTCCGCCCCTGCATCTAAACCATACACACAACAAATTTCAGGGTTCCAGAAACAGTGTGGCTGGGACTACCTGAGTTTAAGTTGATGCTAACCAAAATGTCTATTTCTGGGCCTCATTCTAGTAGCATTAAATAAGAATGCTTGGGAAAGGTTCTGGAATATGCCTACTTAACAAGCTCCATAGGTGATTCCTAAGCATATGAAAGTTTGGGAATCATTAACCTAAAAGATCTGGATCCTCCCCCACCCTCCTATGCTGTATAATTGGCACTGACTCATATGAGGTCATAGGCAGTCTTGCCCCATTGCCAAGACGGTGGCATGATTTCAGGACACTGGAAGAAAGCGGTGGCCCTTCCACTACTTGACATTCTAATGAACACAATTCCATAACTAGCTATTCTTCTCTTCACTTTAAGGCTGTTATTTCTGGGAGCAAAAACACTTTAAATGCCATCAGTCATTTACACCTTAGTGTGAAGGAGTAAAAAACAAAAAATCTCCTTTCTAGAGGAGAATGTGAGAGAATTGAAGGCTTATGGTTTATAAAGAGAGGGTTATAGTGGAGAGAGACGAAAGCAATCGAAAGGAAAGTCTGGAGCACCTAAAAACAACATTTATGCATTTTAAATTTACCCTAGACTTGGCTCAGAATGGCCTACTTTAGACCTCATTTTCTACATGGTTTTAGAGGTGTAGATAACTTAAAATATTGATCTTGCTACTGAGAAATATTAGAAGAGCCAGAAAATATCAAATCAAATTTAGATTTGGGTTTGCAAATAAATTTTATTTCCTGTGCCCAGCCGGACTGATGGGTCATGGATACTTAGAACTCCATGGAGGAGAATGAAGCCACAGAAACACCAGGTTTAGATGCAGAGAACTGTGATTGATTAATGATATCTGTCTTGGTTGGAGGACAGGTTGTGATATACGTGCTACTTACTTGCCCTCCCTAGTTTACACAGAGCCTGTGTGGACACAGGCTGGGGCACTGCTGCTGACATAGTATCAGCAGAGAGAGTAGGGTACAATACCTCTGGAGAGAGGAGGTAGTCAAGAGCGCCATCCTTCATGTTATCCAACGCTTCATTACTTGGAACAAAAATGGTGTATGGTCCACCAACTCCATCCTCTTCTAAGGCTTGTCCCACACTGGTTTTCTGTGATTACGAAATAAAATTTTATATCTGCAATGATCTTTGAGTAATTCCTCATAAAATATTTATCACTGACACACCTGCTAATTTTACAAAGGTCTGGGCATAAAACATTTCCTAGAAGTTCATGAAAGGTACATACCTCTAACAAAGATCTGAACTTGCTGTATCTTGGTTGTAGCATTGTCATTATGGTTTGCTAAAGAGAGACATTTTGTTTAAAAATTAGTTTAAAAAAAGGTGTTTTAGGAAATAGACACCCTAACATTAATAGATGGATTCCAGAGTTTGTGTGTGAGTGTATTAAAAAAAAAAGACCTGGTCAACATTGTACAAATACTTCCTGTTGTTACTGAAACAGTAGTTCCGACCTGCACATTCTGAAATATCATTTAGCCATCATCAACTAGGTCAGAGGGAATCAACACTATCTGAAGGAAGACTGTCCTCCTCCACAAGCACGAGGGGTACATTTTCAGTGGTCACTGGACTGAATTGTCAGTTGTGGCCATAAAAAAGGCCCCAACATCAAGATCATCCCTATATCTGCTGCCTGTCTTTCTGCAGAGGTATCCCAAATTCTGCTGAAAACAGACACATCATCGCATCGTCCCCATGGTTGGGGTCCTGGTAGAAATGAAGGACAATTGCATACTGCTGGCATGCCTTTCCTTTGGGATGTGACTCTCCATGGAACAAAGGAAGATGGATTTGGGTCGACGTCTCCTTTAGCTGAAATATCTCACCTCCGTGTTGCTCTCAAATGTGGGTGCCATCTTGCCCATGGCTCTGTCGAGAATGTGCAGGAGCCCGTTGGAAGCTATTATGTTCCCCTCGATAATTTTTACCTTCTTTTTTCCTCCATAGAGTTTAAGCTTCAGTTGATTGTCCTAAAACAGCAAGGGAAAAATAAAATAAAATTGTGGCCTTGAAGGAGTGAGAAGTCCTGAGTCCTTGGGTCCTGCTGTTTACTGGCCGCGTGATCTTGGGTAGGCTGCTCAGCTGACAATGGGGATGATGGTGTCTGCGTGACTGACTTCCCGTGGGTTCATTAAGATTAGATGAGATAGACAGCTTGTGAACTCGCTGATGACTGTCACATGCTACACGTGAAGGCATTGTAAGTTTTCCCCAATAGACTGTAAGCCCCCAAAGGGCAAAACTATGAAATTTACTATAAACACATCATCTATTTTAGTGTCTTGTACAGAGAAGGCACAACAAAAATATTTGTGAGTAAATAACAGAAGCTAACTCCTTCTTCCTCCCATGTGGCTCCTACAAGTTAGACTTAGTAAATACTCGTTGAATGAATGAATGAATGAATGAATAACGAATGCATGTCCTTGGGAGAAAGAAAGCCATATCTACCTGTCCTTCCTTCCTTCCTTCCTTCCTTCCTTCCTTCCTTCCTTCCTTCCTTCCTTCCTTCCTTCCTTCCTTCCCTCCTTCCTTCCCTCCCTCCTTCCTTCCCTCCTTCCTTCCCTCCTACCGCCCACCCATCCTCACACACAGTACAACATACTGGTTAAGGAATCGGGCTCTGGAGTCAGACAGACCAGCATTGAATCCTGGCTCTGGCAAACGTCCTTCGCAGGGCTGCTGTGAATCTTAGCACAGATGAAGATTTACCCTAGTTCCCTGCATAGAGTAAGTGCTCAATAATCTATCGACTATTGATATTTGGTGACACGTAACCATATAGTCCATAACGCACCCACGCACATCCTCGATTAACTATGCCTACCTCAGCAAAGTCACTAAAAGAGTTACTTATGAGCGGGGAGGAGGACAGTTTTATTTAAAAAACAAAACAGGACTAATGGCGTTAGGAAAGATGGACTGTTAGGCTGGCGAGGACGGACAAACTCCAGCATCTAAAGCAAACCATCCCTTTCCTTTACAAGAAAAACGCTGATCTGGCTGTGTGCCTGTCCTTCCAGGGACAGGCTGACCACAAACCTTCTCCTTCCTGCTGGCCCTTGGTTTCCTTGAAAACCAGTTCAGTCCAGAGCACAATCAAGCACTTTGTAGCTCCCTTCTTATAGCTGTCCACCCCACTCCTACCTACTCTTTCTGGTGTCGCTCTCCACTTCTTCCTACGTAGGGAGGGTCTTGGACAGACACAGAGAGAGCCAGCTGTGGGCGCTGACTCAGCGGACAGTTCCGTGCTGGGGTGAGCATCAGAGAAACCCTCACCTTCTCACCACTGAAGACCTCCCCCGACCTTCCCGTCAAGGTGTAGAACGTGTCTGTGCTGTTCAGACGCTCCGTGTTCACCTGCCCAGCGATGATGTGGAGCTTCACGAAGTACTGAGCAGCCTTATTATCCATCAAAAGCTCTTTCACCTAAGAAAAGAGAGCCGTTCCTTCAGTCTGCGTGGTTGGAAGGAGCACACGAGGTCTGTGGTTCCGACATAGACTTGTTCTTCAAAGACATCAAAGTCTGTGCACGCTCCCTCGGGTTTGGGCTCTTTCCAACACAGATGACTTTCCCTGAGCTGGGCTGCCCCGGGCCCAGGCCGCACAGGGGAGGGGCTGGCGAGCGGGCGGTGGTGCAGAGTATACCCTCCTGGCAGGGAGGGGCCCTGGCCTGGAACCACAGCCGCGGGAGCACAGCTCTGGGGCCCGGAGGAGCGGGGAGGGTGGTGGCACCAAGGACTCACCCAGAGCCCAGGAAGTGGATGGAAATGAAGCATGAAGTTAGGCGAAAAGAGCGGGTAGAGTGGACCAATGAAGCTTTTGAACAGTGAAATTCAGATTTTAAAAATCCATCAGACCCAAATCTATATTTTTTTAAAAGTATATTATCAATAATCAAGCAACAGAGATTTTTGAGTTAACTTTGTGTCCACTGAATCTGTACCTTAAACAAGAGACCACGTGCAAAGTGCCCAGCCCGGAGGCATGCAACATTTCCCAGTCCTCCCCGGAACGAGAGAAGGGGGGGAAAGCCCCCAAAGGTGAGTGGTAGATTCAGACAAATGGTGGTGGCATCTTGGGGTGAAAGAGTCTGGAATTGCCTGGGTTTTAATTCATTGCAGCAAAAATCATCACAAAACATCTTAGAATAAGATAAACCAATTTTATACAAGTCAACATGCCACTATCTACATCAAACCAAATCTAACTGTTTGGTGCCGTCATGATGGGACACACCCACCAGGCACTGTGTGTGTCCCTCACACTGGATCACATGATCTCGGACAACAGCTGCCCATAGGGAAGGCTAGTTTTCTAGTCTCCCCTGTCACCGTTACCATGTATGATTTCTTTTTTTAATCCTCACCCGAGGATATTTTTACATTAATCCTCAGATAGAACTGGAGGGAGAGAGGGAGAAAGAGAGAGAGAAACATCAATTGGTTGCCACCTGGACAACCCCAACCAGGCTGGGGACGAACCGCAACCGAGGTATCTGCCCTTGGCTGGAATCGAACCCTTGACTCTTTGGCCCGCAGGCGACACTCTTACCACTGAGCCAAACTGGCCAGTGCACCATGTGTGGTTTTAAAGAAATAAATACCCAGCTAGTGCTGGGTAAGAATTAATTTAATTCTCCCTGTGGGAAGTGAGCATTCTTGCATTATGCACATCTTATTAGTGCATGACTGCGGTTAAGGACCCTCGGTGATTACCCTTGAAGGGATAAAAGCTGGAAGGGGTTCGGAGGGTCTTGAAGGGAGCTGGCAATGGTCTCACTGGACACCCAAGTGCATTCACTTTGTGACAGTCCACTGAGCTGTGCCCTTTCTGTCAGGATGTTCTATTCCACTGGGAAGTTCACCAACACATCGCCATCCTTATCGTCATTAGGTTTGATTTTAATGCTGGTTTGCTGCCTTAAGGAAAAGAAGGTACTGCCTACTAACATTTCTTTGTTACTAATTCCTGTTTTTTTGTATCAGTGTCTTGGTGTAGGTTTATTTTAAATACTCACATCGGATCCCTTCAGTCCCTTGTCTGTCGGCAACAGCACAGTGAATGGTCCCAAGTTACTGAGAGGCCAGGCATAGGCGTTGTCTTCACAGTCAAAACACAAAGAAAACACAAGTGGGTCAGTAAAATCAGGCAGTGGTCCTTGTGGCCCACTGAGACCCTTGGCTCAAGAACTTCTCTGTGTTCAGTGGCTGGTGCAGGCCCTTTGTAAACTGGGAAGCTGTGTAAGAATGTAAGGCGCCCTGACACCATGGCCACAAAGCTTCCTCATAGTGGTGCGATTTTTCCCGTGGCCACAGTCTTGGCTTCAAGGACACCCTGCAGATTCTGTGGCTGGTCCTGTTTTCATGCCCCTGGGGAAGCTGGGGCAGGAGAATGAGCTCTGTGCTCTCACACAGGAGGTGTGTGTGTACCCGCACGTGGTAAACGTGGCAGCTGAGAGGTTGACCAATGGGCTCTGTCCAGGGAAACGTTCGAGGGCCCTGTCTGCAAAGGACACTCTGTCACTCTAGTCTGCTCTCATTTGGTATTTTGCGTCCTTTGAGGAGGCTGTGAGGAGCCTGGCAGATTGCGCCCGAGCCCCGAGGCGTGCCAGGCACGCCCGGATCCTCTCTGGGTGCCTCCGAAAGAACAGGGCGTTTATGAAAATCATGTTACGATCCATGCCAAGAACGTGGCCCTGACCCATGGGGACATTTCTCTAGCTGTGCTCTTTCTGGAAAACCATTTTTGGTGACTGGCAAATGCAAGCTACTGATATCTAAGGCTTCTGTTGATTGGTTAAGTCTGTGCTACTGGCCGAATTCGTGTTTCATTGAAAGTCTTGTCTAAGGCTGCAGTCAGCTATCGTGTCTGAGGCTTAAGGGAGTGCGGGGAAGGATCTTGAGGGCATTTGGAAAAGCAGGAGGGTGTTCTGGGCCGTCACCCTTCCTGGGGGGCTAGCGGAGAATGTGTCACTGCAGACAATTAGTGGTGGGGGCCAACGGCGCTGAATATCCAGCAATGTGTGAGCTGTTCACACACAATCACGACCATACCCCAGATTCAAACAGCACCTCCACTGAGGAGCACAGGTACTGACTCAGGGGCTTGCCCACTCTCCATGCCCCATACTACCTGCCAACGTTGTTTCATGCCTGAAAGACCCGTAAGGTCAAGGGAAAGAGGCTGACCCCCATCTCCATATTGGTCGTTCCCTTCTCTCAACGTTGTTGTAGACCCCTTGATCTATGGTGACCCCGGGACCCTGTCCTCAGCGCTCTGCCTCTCAGTTGTTGCATTGCAGGGTCTCTTGGCACTAACTGCGATCTCCTTGGGAACAGCCACCTGCCCTTTGCTTCCCACCTGCGTGACCCATCCTAGAAGGGCAGGTCCCAACAGACGGGCCTGGCCTTGCCTGCCCACCCTCTCTGAGTGGTTGTGTCTTGCAGTTGCCCTGGCCTGAAGGTGACTGCCCTTCGCGTGGAATCTGCACCGGACCACGTACCCAGGAGCGAGATGAAAGAGGTCAGCCTTCCTTGCCATTTTCCTCTGGGCTCAGTGTTTAATTCTCTCAGTCGCTCCATGATGTTTCCGTAACACGTCGAGCCGTCGCCCACGTAACCTTTCTGGCAAATGCACCTACGCAGGGGGTGAAAACATGTTCTCAGGGGCCAGAGCCGTGGAGGGCAGACGGTGCAGGCCAGCTCCCTCGTCTGCAGCGTGTCTGCAGCGATGGGACCATGATGCCCAGGGCGGGTCCGGGGCAAGGCCAGGAGAGGACAAGCCCCCCTAGCGCAGGGCCTGACGTAGAGCAGACCCACAAGAAATGGCTCTTTAAGAAAATATCATGTCTGTAAACAAAGTGTGAGCGGGAGACCACGTGCGTCAGAAGCACGGGGAGCACTCACCGTGAATGCGGACCAGGGCCCCACCCTGGAACCACTGGCTCCGAACAAGCTGCTGACGTCAGCCTCACGTAAAGACTCAGGGCTGCCGGTCTGCTTAGGAGACTCGTCCCCTCCCCTTCCTTCCTAGCTGAGGTCTCTGCTCAACTGTCCCTTCCTTAGGGAAACATCCCTCGATCCCCGCCCCGGCCCCTGTAGACCAGGCCCCCTCAGCGTGTATCTCCTGACCCCATATCGCCCTTCTCTGTGCCAGCAGGCCCGCCGGCAACACTGTCCTAACGGTGTGGTTATTCGGATTCGGTCCTATTCAATCTGAGACGAGAGTGAGGGCAAGTGTGTGTGTGTGTGTGTATGTATTCACTGTTGTAACCCCAGGATCTAGCACAGGATGTGGTCCACAGGAGGTACTTCATTAATAGCTGTACAGTAAGTAGCCGCTGAATTAAAATACATACATAAACAATGAAAGTCACAGACACTTGGCACAACGGTTTGGTTTCATGAGAGAGAAAGAGTTAAAGACGCAGCTGGAGATGCACTGGCCATGGTGTGAGGGTGAAGGCTGAACGGCCAGCTCTCTGGAAGGGGGGGGGGGCTGATTTGCAGCATCTACCAGTGTCCACAGGCAACATTTCCCGGACGAGGAAACAGCCTATACATCAGAGGTCAAGGCCCCGTGGCCCTGGTTTCCTTCTCCCGCGCTCTGAGCGCTTCATCCTGCATTAGCAGCACGGTCAGTGTTTCAGACCGTCCGGCGATCATTAGAAAGGAAACGCTTTTTGAACAACCCAGCGATTAAACAAAGCTTTGCTGAGCACCCACCGTGCTCCTTGCACTGTGCTATGGGGCGGGGGTGGGTCCGGGCAGAACAGGGCCCATGTGCTGCCTTTGGAGAAACGGACAGCACTTGTCCCAGCTGGAGAGGGGGGAAGGGTTGCAGAGACTTACTGGGCTTGGCCTGGTGCGGCGGTGGAGCAGTTTGCATTCCTGTGACAGGGGTTAGCGGATTCGCAGACGTCGGTCACACTGCAGCCCACGCCGGGTGCAAAGTCGTGGTAATGTTCCTTGCACTCGCAGTGAGACTTCAGGGCACGGGGGAGAAAACAAATAGGATTCTAGTGCAGTCGCTGCAGCTGACATGCTTCTTAAAGTCCTATCTTTATTCAGCCATCGAAGCCAACGCGGGTTAGGTCCAACGTGTGGGCTTAGACTGGAGCGTTGCCACAGTGTCCAGAACTGGAAACCCGAGTCTGTGCCCCATTTGGAAACACGTGGACCTTGTGGGCAGTGCACCCTTCAGTTTCCTGTTTGCTAACCTGGGCCTTGCTGGTTCCAACGGTCTGATGCTTAGATCGTGTGCAGCTGAGTAGAGCATGAGGCTCAGAGGAGGTATCATGCCTCTAGAACACTGGTTTTCAGCCATGAGCTCAAGTGACATTGGCGACGTCTGGAGATTTTTGATTTTCACAACAGGACAGGAGCCAGTATCACTAGAGGTTTGGGCTGCTCCGGAACACCCTACAGCACTCAGGACAGCCCCCCACAACAAAGAATTATCCAGCCCCAAACGCTATCAATACCGAGGCTGAGGGACTGTGCTCTGGAACAATGAAATCAGGAAAACACTGCTTCTGTGTGAACAACGGAGGGTTTCCAGGACCAGGAATCTGCCCTGGGACACGTCTTTAAGAGACAAAGTACATTTAGAACCTCGCCCCCAAGGTCCCGGGACCTTGATTCCGGGCGTAACACGACTTTGCCACAGGGGACATCATTTAGAGGATGGAGTTCAGCCCTTTGAATTTCTTGCAAACCTGCCTCACAAATTGATAGTTAGAACCATCATGTGTGTGATAGATTCTCTTCCCTAGGAGATAAGATTGGGCAGGGTCTGTGCAGGGTTTGCCAGGGGCAGTCGGTGGGGTCCCGACTAGACTGCTGGGGACCATCACTGTGTTGGGTTCCTAGGCAGGCGCAGTAGTCTTGCGTATGGATGGATTTCCTCCCCTGAGCGCTCAGCGTGCAGTTCTGGGTGCAGCGGGCACTGCTAAACATCTGACGGATGAGTGCGAGATTAGGAAAATATTCTTTCAACTGGATTCCTCAGGAAAGGTTTCCTGACCAGGCTGACTCTCACAGTCAAGGTCATGATGGGAGTTAGAGGGCCTCGCCCCAGAATGTCCTCACCGCTCCCTACTATCTGTCAGCGCTGCCTGGCATTTCATCGGTGTTCGTCTCTCTGGGACAGAGTAGTTTCGGTTCTAAGAGTCCTCTCTTGAAAACAAATGAGAGAGGCTGGAGGACGGCCCGTGGAAGTCAGTTACATAGTCACCCAAGACTTGGTTAGCACCTAATTTGTTAATCTGATTTGACGTGTGTGTGTGTGTGTGTGTGTGTGTGAGAATGGCTGTATAGGACTAGGATGGAAGGAAGGAATGTAGGACAGTTAAGTTGTGACTGGGGAGCTTGGACAGGGCGAGTGCAGCGGGTGGACTCGGGAGGGACACGCTGAGGTCATCCCTGAGCACGTGCAGCTCTGCCTGGGGAGGAAGCCCAGGTGGGCATGAAGGGAGCCTGGTGGGCCCATTTCGCCCGGGGTGGGCTGTCCCCCCTCTCCTCACAGCCCCATGCACCAGCAGCTCACCTGTCCGGGCCCATCGTATCTGCACACCGTGGAGTTGGCAGGGCAGTTTCCGAAGTTAATTTGGCAGGGGTCAACTGGTAAGCACACGTGGCCATCCCCGTGGTAGCCTTCTTGGCAGGTACAACTGTGCTGATTTGGCCCCAGGGTCGTGCAACGAGCGTGAGGGTGGCAGACATCTTGTAAACAGGGGTCGATGGCTTGAGAGGCAATGACAAAACCAGAGGCGGTTACTCAGCCGGGTGGGGAGGAAAAGCGGGATGGGAAGGGGCTGCCAGTCTCAGCAAAGCTGCACTGGCCAACCAGCAATTTCAAGAGAAGGGGTAAGAAACGTTTTGTCTTACCATACTTGACACCCCCACCTGCCAAACAGACTTACATATGGCCATCCGCGACTATAGCTACAGATAGTGTGTTGTTATATTATTAGGCTGTGTGATGTGTGGATGTAAATATAAAAGAGCATCAGAGACAGCACTGAGGTTGAAGAATTTATAATATGTACTGGGCTCTGTTCTAAGCATTTTCAAACATTAACTCAGTTAATCCTTACAATCCTCTAAAGTAAGTACCGTTATTGTCCCCATTTGATAGGAAAATAGAGGCACAGGAAGGTCAAAGGATTTGTCCAAGGTCATGTTACAATAATACTTGTAACATGATCTGGGATTTGAACCCAGGCAGTCTGGCTCCAGTTTCACGATGAGCATTTTGCTTAGAGCTGTATTATATATTTCATTCAATGACAGAGAGAGAAATAAAAGTGGTCATTGCATTAGAATTAGGGAGGTTGTGAGTTTTATTTTCTGTTGTGTAACCTAAACCTTTGAGCTAATCAACTAGCAGGATGTAAATTCTACTCACGCTCGCAGACTTTGCCGTCGCCTTTGTAATTGGGAAGGCATCTGCATTCTAGCTTCGTTTCATTTTCTCTGGAAGGTGAGCATCTGGAATTTTCTGGGCAGAGCAAGGCTGTGCATTCAGGAATGGCTGCAAAGGAAGCTTGATGAAGTCACTGCATCAGGAGAACAACCTGTTCTAAAAAACTCAGCAAATGCCACATTCCCTATTATTAAAAAGGAAACACAGATTTGCTGTAGTAATTCAAAAGATACAGAATGCATAAAGTAAAAATTAACTGTCTTCTTATTCTCACCATCCCATCACACTCCTAAAATAACCATGTCAACAGCCATCATATTTATTTATAAATATATTTATATGATTTTTTAAAGCAAAATGGAATTCTGTTAAAATATTTAAAAACATGTTTTTAAATTTAACAATATATTCTGGAGGTCTTTAAGGATAAGTGTTAATCACTAATAACTGCATAGTATTTTATAATATTGATGGGACATAGGTAGTTGTTGAAAACTATAAAGAGTCTGATATATTAGCAAACGTGCAAAGCTAACAAGATGGGTGATTCAGTTTCATGGATGCTGGTAGAAGATACGAGACCCCTGGGTCAGAGATGAAGGACAGTATTACTCATATAAAGAGCAGCAGCCAGAATGCCAGGTCTTCCAAGCCCCAGTTCCCATGGAGCAATGCAAAGAGTCCCAGATGGAGACCTGGACGTGCAGTGGGTTTCACTGCAGGAGAGGAGCTGTGATCTTAGGGAACCTAAGGTGTTTTTTAATTTTATTTTTAATAGTAGAAAATGTATTAGTTAGGGCTCAGGCAGGAGACAGAAAACACCCAATAATTTGAACAGGGAAATTTTTAGTGTAAAGAATTATGAACAGAGAATTAAAATAATGGGGAATTCCTTGTGAGTGTTAAAAAGAACTCTAAAGAATAAAGGGATAGCAGAAATATAAAGAGCAACCACTACCCTTGGTTCCAGGTAAATACCCATGGTAAGCCCTTCTCCCTCTGGGGCTGAGATCCAAGGTCACTGGGAAGGGCATGGCCTTGGTCACTGCACTGGGGAGAAAGTGCTAAGATGCCTTGATGGTGAGATTTGCTGGAAATTTTCCCTCTAGGGATGATCATCCACAGAGAGGTGCCAAGAGTCAAGAATCTCTTGGTATCTGGGACCAGGAGCTAAGAGAGGCTGTGTCAGAAGTACAGTGGGCTCCTGTGTGTGGCTGGGGCTGGGGCTGGGGCTGTGGCTGGGCGGCCTCGGGGACCAGCTGTGCGGGATGAAGGTGGAATGGCCAGCTTCTGATGAGCCCTTGGTGTGCACAGGCCTGGGGAGCAGGCGTACGGAACACGTGCCTCTGGGCTGGGCACAGGCCTGCACTGTCTGAAATGCATGTGTCTGTGCCTGTGTGACCTGGCGTGGCGTCGAGGACACGAGCGGTACTCACGCTGGTCACAGTGGAGGCCTGTGTACGCGGAGTAGCACTCGCAGGTTCCATCGCCGTTGACTCCACTGTTGCACACTCCATGCACACAGCTGCACACTGCAGACAGAAGATTGGGACTTTTCAGTACCTGGTGCAGACATCTTCTAAAGGTTCTGGACGGATCATGTCTTCAGACAGTGTTTACTGAGAGTCTGCCTGACGAGGCGGGGACCTCATGGGTATGAGGTCCTGGAGACCCTGGCTTGAATCTTGAGTTCATTCTCCTTTAAATAGCTTCCGTTTATTTATAGACAATATGTGGACAATGATCCCTACGTCATGGGATTTCTAAAGACGCACCTGCTTAAACAGACCTAACTGGTTACTGGAACAGCAGAGACAAATAAGGCTTCGAGTATCCAAATCTAACAGTCACCACATGCTGTGTATTGTTTGCGAGGTGTCTCGCCTCGATCGCCTGCTCTCCAGCTGCACTGGACCGTCCTCACCGTATCTTGCCTGGACTATTGTTGTAGTATTTCAGCTGAACTCGCTGGCCAATTTCTCATCTCTCCATCCCACCCATTTTATTTGATCAGTAATGATATCATGGTGACTTCCTCTGAAATATCTCAGTGACTCCCAACTGCTAACCAAATGAAATCTAAATTCCTCTGGCAAAACAGACTTTCTCCAATCTAACTCCAACCTCATTACTGTTTCATTTTCACCTTCCATCACTGTATTTTAGACATCTTAGGCTCTTAAGCACATGGGATAACTCACTGGTTGACCTTCCTTCCAAAAGCATGTGCTGAGCATCTACTACGTCCAGGCTGCTGTGCTCAGGACCAGTGACCCAAAGCCCCTGCCCCCAAAGAGCTGACAGCGCAAGGGTAGGAGGGAGCAGCCCTGCTCAGTGCAGTGTGAGAAGTGCTGTGACGTGATAGGTCAATGGCGGAGGGAGCTGGGGAAGGGACAGATGGGGAAGGGACAGATGGGGCTGGCCTGGGAGGACATGCCAGGTGGGGAAGCAGGCCTGCACCCTGTGCTGTCACCTCTCCACGCTTCCGCCTCTGCTGTGCTCCCTCCCACATGCCAACAGAAGTCCTTCTCATCCTCCAAGGCCAGCCAAAGCCCCTGCCTCTGTGTGTCATCTCAGAGGTCTCAAAGCAGCATCTGTGCTCTGGGACCAGCAGTACTTTGTGCCGTGTCCATGATCACACCCTACTGCAACTGTTAATTTTGTTTACGCCAGGGAGCCAAAGGCCACCCGGAACATGCCAGTGGGCAAAGTCAACGGCAGGGGTGGGTGGCCCCTGGAGAAGAAGCAGGAGCCACGCGTGATGCCGGAACAGGCAGTGGCAGGATGATTTTCATGGCTGCCCATCGTCAGCGCCTGTTTCTCTGTCCAGATGTGACTACGCAGTGGCCTAGCTTTTGTCTTCTTTCGCATGGATGCAGCAAGTCTCCGATGGTGATATTCCGTGACATTGTTTGTGCTCAGCAGGGCAACAGCATGGCCTGGCTGGGGACAACGAGGCCGGCCACCCAGAGCGCCAGGGCTGCTTGATTCTGTCTCCATCTGTATATTCTCTTCCCCTGTTAGATTGGAGCCCCTCGGAAGGCCTTTTCCCCGCCTGGACTTCCCCACGACATCTCACACAGTGCCTCATGACAATACCAACACCGCACGACTCGGGTTTCAACCGAGACAGTGTCCTGCAGGGCTGGGAACAGGGCGAGGAGAGTGCGATCCGAGCGTGGTCATGTGGCATGGAAGAGGACGAGGGGGCAGGAGGTGGGAGCTGAATGGGACTCAGCCCCTGCTCCCAATTTAGATGCTCGCTGCAGGAGCGTCCTCGTTGCTAGGCGACCCCTCCGCTGCGGCTGCGTGGTGGTGCGAGCCCAGGAACCTGGTGTCAGCTTCTCCCGTGTCCTGTCTTCTAGCGCAGCCGCTGCACTGGATGGACCGACTTGGTACTGCTGCTGGGAGTTTGTGACACGCAGTGCCGGGCTGCCAGCCTCTGCCAAGGATGTGTCCTTGGGAAGGAGAAATGAGTGGCAGAGGGATTCCCAGATGCCATTGAAAGAGCCCATGGTAGTTATTGCAGTCTCCAGAGACACCCAGAACTTGGGGGATGTGACTTGGATGTGGTCAAAGCCATGGCCATTTGGGTCAGAGGGACAGTGCACACAGCCCCCTGTGCTGGGCCCCTTGGCAGAGTGAGCTGCTTTCTCTCCCGTGTTTCTGTAACAACCCACGGTGCCATGCACACGGGATCACCGTTGTCACCTGTATTTCCAGCTCCTTGGGGGAAGGGACCTGATCTCTCCCCTCTTCAGAATCCATCTCTTGCCAAGTATCGAATGGTGGGTGCCTGCCAGGGGCAGGATGGTGCAGTGCTTGGGCACCCCGACGCCAGAGTCAGACACCTGGGGTCAAGTCCTGCCTCTGTCCCTGTAACAGCTGTGTGACCCTGAGAAACCTCTGCTTCTCCATCCACAGTATGAGGAATCCAGCTTGAAGCGTTGCTGTGAGCATCCAGAGACCATGTCTGTCAGGCCTCTGCCCACACCGCCTGGCACACAGCAGGAACTCAGCAAATGCCAGCTGCTGTTATCAACAAGACGTGACTAGGATTCTCTGGGGGTCATGTCAGAGAAAGTGGGCTTTGCATTCTGCCCAGCCAGGAGTGAGGCACTGAGTGGGCCAGGGCCTGGCGGCAGAGACGAAAACCCCTGGCCGATGCGGGTCTAAATTGTGCCTAAACTAATCACCAGTCGGGTGGGAGACTGCTCCAGCAGCAGGTGCAAGCCGGCGTCAAAAACAGACCGCAGCCAACAGAGCTGTCCTACCTCCGGGAGACCATCGCCCCATTGGAAGAAACAACACTGGCACCCAGTGGAGGCCCAGCTGAAAAGGTTTGTAAGTTCCCCTAGTCCTTGCCAATGGGCAGTGACCAGCCATCACGGAGCCATCCATCCATCCATCCATCCATCCATCCATCCATCCATCCATCCATTTGTTCGTGAACATGTGTTCACTTCACAGTTGGATTGCTTTTGTCCTTGCTTAATCCCTGCTTCTGTTGATTGAGCACCTGTGCCACGGTGCTAGGAGCTTTGCTACGCTGTCAGCCCTGTGAGGCAGGTATTCTCATTCTCGTGTTGCAGAGGAGGAAGGCTCAGAGAGGTTAAATAGCTTGCCCCAGGTCACACAGCAGCTGATTTCAAACTCAGGCCAGTCTGATTTTAAAGCCTGTGCTAGAGCTGAGCTGTCCAGTGTGGTAGCCACTAGCCACGTGTGGCTCTTTCAACTTAAATTAAGTGACATGAACTAAAATGTGGATGTCAGCTCCTGGGATGCACCAGCCACACGGCAGGTCCTCAGTGGCCACCTGTGACCAGGGGCACCATGGGACAGCCCGACACGGAACATTTCCACACCACGCGATGTTCTATTGGAACCTAGAGCCTGGGATTTTTCCTCCCGACGCTCAGGTTAGGTTTCCAATTTTCTTAACAATCTAGGTTTCGAAACCCACGGTCTCCCTTTCACCCGCCCTTCCTCGGTGGCACACATTCACGTGAAGAAGTGCCATTTCACTGGAAGTGTCTGGAATCTCCATGGGTATCGGTGCTCACTGCAACCAACACCAGTCGCTCAGAGGAACATGGACTCACCTTCCTTCTCAATCTTCATCCCAATGACTCAGCTTTATTCCGAAGTGAGCAACGCCAGATGCTGTCTTCCTTCCCACCTCAATATTTACTTAAAATATGTGACTTGCATTCTGGTATTATGATAGGGAAGGGCCAATTTAGGAAACATGCTATTTCTAAACAGCAGATTGATTATATTTTAGTTTAATGTCCTTCAGTATAATGTATATCCTTAAAAATAGACGACCGGCATCTGTTTTAAATTTGCTTTTGCTAACGCTCCTATGAAGCAATCTTTTAAGGAGTGGTGAATGAAGGAAGTCGTAAGATTGGGGCCCACCAGGGAATAATAGGTAATAATACTAATTGCTAACATTTACCATGCACTGATTACCTCATTAAATCCTCATAATAATCTGAAAAAGGGCAATATCATTTCTGCTTTTACAGAGGGAGACACAGACAGAGAATGTGCATGCAAACTCAATTAGCAGCCTCGGGGCTGAGACCCACTGTCTAAAGCTGAGCTCTACATGCTGCCCCTCAGAGCCATGGTTCTGAGTCAGGGCAGCACGGCTGGAGCGAATCAGATCATTTATTCACTCACTCGCTCACTCGCTCACTCGCTCACTCGCTCACTCATCCATCTGTCCAGCAGAAGGGGAACGGGTGTGTCCTGGGCAGGTAGCATTGTGGTTGGTACCGACAGTGTCTGCCTTCCAAGGACCCATGGATTATTAGGAGAAAACACCTCTGCTATTGCAATGAAGTTATTACAGTGTGTGCACACTTTCAGGGTGTCTGTGTGTGTGTATAGGTTTTCTTCAAGAAAATTTGAATCCATGCAGCATCTACTGAGTTTGATTTTGCCATAAAAGCCAGAAGCAAGGTGGTGCTGGAGAGAGGCCACTGGACATACCCTTCCGGGGGGACTGTGGATCTGGCAGACATCATCCCTCCCGTGCCCACCTTCTCCAGGCCTTACCAGTCCTGTGCATTCCAGAGGATGTCCAGCACCCTGCAAATGCTCCCTGGGAGGCCTGTCCACCTGCATGCTCACTGCGGGCCGCAAGTGCCCGGAATGAACGACTCCCCTGACCAGCGCTGTGCGTATTAGTTTCCTATTGCTGCTGTAACAAATGACCTCAGACCTAGCGTCTTAAAACAACACACATTTATTGCCTTCCATTTCTGGAGGTCAGAGATCCAAAATTACTCTGCTAAAATCAAGGTGGCAGGGTCGTGCTCCTTTTTGGAAGGGGAAAAAATGTTTGGTTGGTTTTTTTCCAGCTTCTAGAGGCTGCCTGCATCACTTGGCTCCTGGCCTCCTTTTATCTTCAAAGCCAGTAAGAGCTGGTGGAGTCCTCCTCACATCTCATCACTCTGACGCCGCATCTTCCTCCCCTGCCTCCCTCCTCCACGTTTAAGAACCCCTGTGATTGCACCGCACCGCCTGGACCATCCAGACTCTCCCTCTCTCAAGGTCAGCTGATCAGAAACTTTTCTATTTTTTTTATTTCTCACCTGAGGATATTTTTCCATTTATTATCAGTTAGAGTGGGAGGGAGGGAAAGAGAGAGACAGAGAGAAACATTGATGTGAGAGAGACACATCGACTGGTTGCCTCCCAACCAGGGCCGGGGTGAACCGCAACCGAGGTACATGCCCTTGACCGGAATCAAACCTGCGACTCATTGGTCTGCAGGCTGATGCTCTAACCGCTGAGCCAAACAGCAGGGCTGATTAGCGACCTTAATCCCATCCGCTACCTTAATTCCCCCTTGCCATGTAAGGTTATATATTCTCAGGTCCAAGGGATGAGGATGTGGACTATTTTTTGGGGGGGTCTGTATCCTGCCTGTGGCACTGTGACTCCCCCTAGCCTGGGGTGAGATAACTCCAAGGTGGATGTTCAGCTCTGACTCTAGAGTCCCCAGGGCACGAGCTCCAGTCGTCACACTGGTCTCCAGCTTGACAGGTTTGTTTGTCTGTCTTACCTGCAAAATGGAGCCAACAATCTCTGATCACCTCAGGCATTTAGTGACTTGTGAACTCCCAAAGTGATGAGGCAGGTTAGAATGGGTGGGAAGTAAAGGCCCCCGGGGAGAAGGTCAATGCTGAGCCCGGGCTCTGGAAAGATCTTAGAGAGAAGCTGGGCAGGCAAAGAGCAGGACTGTGGGATCCTGGAGCCTGGAGAGACGGAGCCGGACGCCCCCAAGTTGGCCAGGACGCAGTACTGGTGAGGAGCTCACCGCAAGAGCTGAAAACCACAGGACACTGTTTTCAAAAAGTGCATTTTCTGATTTGTTGTCAACGCTTTGTTTTACCTTTGCAGGTTACACATAACTGTTCAATGTTTTCTCCCAAGGACAGTCTTTCTGGGGTCTTCAGCTGCTTGATTTGCAGTCTTTCCAAATGCATTTGATTACACAGAAATCAGACATACCTCCTGTACAGTTGGGTCCAAATAGGTTGTCATCAGCACAGGTTTCGCAGGCTGTTCCACCAAACCCTTCCTGCAAAACACCCCAGGAGACAACATTAGACCCAACGCGACGGGTGTCACCCAGGAAGCACGGGCTTCTCCCTGACAGTCTGCTGCGTCCTTGTTTCTCAAACACATCTTCCCTCCGTGCCTATCCTGAAGCCCCCTCTTTCTAGTTTTCCTTCATTCTTTGCCATTTTGGTGTTATAATGCGCACCTTGATCCCCGCGTCATTTTGTCAGTCCAAAGACACAAACAGAAAGCAAGTGATAACAGCCACGCATAATTTCACCCATGCATGAAGGGAAAACTCCTTCAATGTTGCATTTCAGAAGGCTTTCTTTGTATTTCAACCAAAGGCTGGGAACTTCCAAAAAGTTATTTTCATGGGATAACAAAGACATTCTTCAGCTCGTCCACTGGCAGAGCCGGGGCGGACCGCGGGTGCTGTGGGCAGCCCGAGAGCAGCGGCCAGCAGTGGTGATGATCGCCAGTGACAACAACGATGTCCCTAGCCCTGCACAGCTTCACAAAGTATTTTCACATATATGACCCTGTTTCACTTTTCAACAGATGTAACCACGTAGGATTATTATCCAACCTATTTTACAGATGGACATGCTTAGGGCTGAGCAGTTGACGGACTCACTCCAAGGATCCCAGCCTCCGAGAAGTCACTGTGTTGCAGATTGTCGACTCTTTTTATTACGATCGCTGCTTTTTAGAGACTCCATCTACTGTGCGTGTATGTGTGTGCACGCGCGTGGGCTTAAGGAGGGACAGAATGTAAGGAGCGGGAGCAGAGTCAGGGAGAACATGTTTCTGAACTTACTTGGCATGAGCAGCTTCCGTTTCCTTCCATGCCTTCGGCACAGCTGCCCCTGCTGCTGCAGGGGGACCTCGCTCCTCCTGGGCACTCTAGGGAAACAAAGGGCTCAGATTCATTCATTATGATGACACACAGACATTCTGCAAGGATGCACTCAGCACCTACTGTGTGCCAGTTAGTGCGCTTGTTGGCAGGGGCAAGAAATACTTGAAGACCCTGCTAGCGTCACCTAGGGTTACACAGAGGAGGCGAGTGAATGACAGTGCAGTTAGGGGCTGAAACAGAAGGCATCACCCCGGCTGCCATTTCTTATCCACTTTACAATTATCCAATTAAATTATTCCCATTGCAACCCTCAGGGGTTGCTATTGGTGCTGGTTAGCAGATGAGGAGATTGAAGTTCAGTGGGGTCACATAATTTGCCCAATGACTCACACTTAATAAGTTGCAAAGCTGGGAATTTAGTTTGGTCTTTAGCATGACTCTAAAGCCAGGCCTCTTAGTCAGTGTGCTAGCAGGGTTTTGCAGGAGACCGGAGAAGAGAGTTATTGATACTGCTTTGGAGAGTCTAGGAGACACCCCTGAGGGTGCATTATTTAAGCTGAGGTTTTGAAGGCTCTGTAGGAGTTGACCATGCATACAAGAGATGGGCCTTTCCAGAAGAGGAAACAAGAACAGAATCTCAATGACATAAAGTTTGGTGGGACTGGAACTTGAGCTGGGGTAAGATAGAAGTAGTGGTTGATGAGCAATAATAGGATAGTTGGGACCAATTAATGTGAGGCATGGTATGGCAAGCAGAGGAATTTAGAGTTCACTCAGAGGCTGATTACAAATAGCACAGCTTGTTTGTGCTAGACCTGAACTTGATCTTTTCTAAACATTTAGTAGAGGATTTTGCAAACATTCACTAAACATTCAGAGAAAACCTACTACGTGCTAAGCATTTTGTTGCATGTTGGGGCAGAGGCACATTTAGCTGGAAAGCCAGAAATCACAAATCAAATAAAGAAATCAAATAGAGGGTTCAGAGTAACTGGTAAGTGACAGAAGTTAAGAAGCTATTGTGATGAAGATGAAAACAACATTTGTTTTTATAGTTGCTGTTGCCCTACACTTTGAGGACTGAGTCAGTGTGGATTTACTATCAATTTGGGTGCATTCTGTCTAAATGAGGCGTCTGGCCCAGCAAGCCCCGAGCAGAAGTCATACAGTGGCCATGAAATGTGTTTGCGTGGACGAGGCAGGATCAAATGTCATCCCCAACTTGAGTTAGCACGACAAATGCCTCCCACAAAACAGCTGGTGATATGGTGTCCTAGACAATGACGAAGGGTGTGTGTGTCTACCACCCACAGCGGTCCCTTGAAGTTCAGTTCATTTTCCAGATGAGAACAGTGAGCTACAGAGTAATCAAGTGTCTTGCCCAAAGTCACCCAGCTGGCCAGTGGCCCCTCCTCTACTGGAAGACTCCACTTCCTGCCCCCCACCTACCCCGTGGACCAAGACGTGTGTTCAGAGCTCTCCTGTGCCACGAGTTTGCTCTGCCAAACCTCTCCCGAGAAATCAGCAGCCATAGAAACTGAAAGAACAGTTCTCGGAAAAAGAGACTCTGAGGAAGAGACCACGGAGGGAAGCCATTCTCTCAAAGACACTCTGATGGCTCACTTGAGTGACTAGGCAATTTTTTAAAATTAATTTTTTTAAAAAACTAGGCTAATTCTTTAAAAGAGCACGTGTAACTCCCAGGTAAAGGGAGACGAGAGAATCAGGCTGCCGCCTGTAGACGGGTTGTCTCTGGCTCCTGTTTCCTTCCTGGTGCAGACTGTTAGCAAACGGCAGGCTGTACACGGTGCACGTTGGGTCTGTGGCCTGTCTCTGCTCAGCAGTGGCCGAGCCAGCTTTCTGGCCTAGACAGGTGCTCCAGTGTCGGCCACCCTGTTCCTCACCAAGCCACACACCAGTCAGGCATGACTGGGCACCGGAACCACAGCACAGACGGCAGACGTGTTCCCGAGGTGAGTGAAGGAGAAGCACACTGCCATGGGGCTACTGTTTATAAATCACTGTGAGAACCAGCACGTAGGTTCGGGCTGCTCTCCCGTGAGGGCAGTGGCTACATGAGATGCAAGGGTGTTGCGAGAGAACGGGCACTGGGCAACCCGAACGTGCTGGGTTCGAACCCCGGGCCCCTCTGCGCTGGCTGCATCCCTCTGGGAAGTCAGTGCCTGGTCTGAAGTGCGGTTCTGCTGTTGTCCTGGCAGGTGGTGGTTGCGACAGGAAATAGTAGGTGCTCAGTAAAAGGCAGCTGTCATGATTTAGAGTGGCTGCTCTCCACCGTCTCCAGTTTCTGTCCTTTCAGGTTGGCAGTATAACAGGGAATGACACGCAGGAAATGAATTGTTGGGCACCATTTGAATCAGGACCATCTAAGGTCCCGGATATACAAGGTGAGCACACAGACTCGGTCTCTGATCCCACCAGTCCAGCGGGGAGACAGTCACGGTTTCACAGACAATCATTTAAAACACTGGTTTACAAACTGGCATGTGGGTTGTTGGGGGGACTCCTCTCCGTCTGCTGGACGTTACCGACATTTATCCCAAACAAACGAATCCCGAATGGCCCAACTGTCTCAACGGAGAGCAATAGCCAGAGCATTAAGGAATTAAGGAAGGGCCTTGTTAAAGATTGTGGTCTTTATCTTAAAAAGAGCAGCAGGAGGTGAGGATGAAGAGGAGAGGGTCTCATTGAGCAGGTACCAGGTACGCACTTTGACGTTCACGTGAAAACCAGCGGAAGCCCTTGAGTTCACACTGACTGACACAGGGCGCCGAGTGTTTCCAGAGATCACTGACAATCGATAGCTCTTCCCCCTTTCCTGTTGCTATTAGGCCCTTCCTGCGCTGAATGATATTTTGGAACCGAGGCCCAACTCTGGGCAGGACCAGAAAGATAGAGAGGTGACAACTCTGCCTCCGTTTACTTCTCCTGGCCCCTGTGCCTCTCCTTGGGGCGAGGCATGCATGGGACTCTCTGAAAGACCCCGGCCAGCCTTCTGGTCTGGCGCAGGGAACGCAGAGCCTCCTCCATCCAGACACTCCGCAATCAGTGCCACCTTGCAGAAATGCCCTGCCAGGCATCTTTACATTTGTAGGCAATGCCAGTCTCCTCTGTGCACGGAGCCAACTCCCCTGGCATCTCTCATCCCTTCTGTCCACCCTAGCAGACTACAGCAGGCATGCCTTCCGCTCTACAACTGGCCTGTGCCCTTCCCGCCCTCAGAGATGCTCTCCCTGACCCCTCCTCTGAGGCAGAACTGGATTTCCCATCCTCTGGGTGTCCCTTCCACTCGGCCCATGCCTTGTGGTAACATATAGAGAAGAAAATGGCTCAGAGTCATCTATTGAGAATATAACAATATTCTAGGCTGATCGCTGAGGAATTGGGGAGCTTCCCCCACCCCAGCTCCCAAGATTGTGGCACTGTGTCCCTTTTCCTTAGAGGACAGTTAGCAAGCCTTTCTTCTTAAGCACACAGGCAGGTGCTGCTCTGTGGGTGCTCACTGGTTCGTCCGTTCCTGAGCACCTGGGGGGATCGTCACAGCACAGAGTCCGAAGGCCCCTGCTGCAGGAGCAGCCGCTGTGAAAACGCACCTCTCCGATCTCTGTGGAGGGAGCAGAATCTTCCTGGGAAACACCAGTCTGTTCATCAGGCCATGGAAATCGTGGCTCTTCTAGCAGTACAGGGCAGCCGTGCCGGCCAGACGGGCTCCTCTGTGGGGCGACTTCAGCTGGAGGACGCCCCATCAGCTTTACCAAATCTTAGAACTATGGTAGTCTGAGACCCCCCCCCAGCTCCCCCTCTTATTCAAGGGTCAGACCTGCAAGCTTTTCTGATGGCCCCCCCTGCGCCTCCTGGCTCCTCATTTCCCCTCACAGGCACTGCTTTTCGTTAACCTCCCGCATCTCCAGCCCTGCCTTGGCGTCCGCTTTGCACAGGACCTGGGCGAGTCCACCAGGGTCAGAGAGCCTTAGTGCAAATGGGAAAGAGCTTCCCCCAGTCCACTGCCCTTGTCCCTGTGTCCCCGCAGACACTAGGCTTGGCAAGCCAGAGATGGGCTGGGTTTCGGTCCACACTCACCCCACCAGTCAATAATAACCTGTACAATCTTATGCCGGGTTTGGCCTTTCATACCAATCAAATGGGGATTTCGGGTGTAAGACTCAGGGATACGCATCTTCATAGCCTGGCAGTAATTCTACTGTATATTAATGTTTGAGAACCACTGGGGAAGTGGACAAAGTAATGTAGATGGTCCCAGAGAGGGAGGAGGTGAAGGTTTTCATGCAAAAGTGTAAATTCTTCCCTGCTTCTCAAATCATTTGCTGTCACCTCGGGCTCCCATTAAGAAAAAAGATGGCAAAACCGGCATTCTCAGCAACCACACTGGACTGAGAGATTACCGACTTTGCTACGAGGGCACATTTCTGAGGCCCCGCGAGGCTCCAGGAGCTGATAAGGCTATTTCAGGCTATTATCGCATTTCCCTCTGGTCACCGCTACTCCGGCGGTCACTTGCATTGTGACTTTCCTCTTGCAGGAGGCTCACTCCTTATAAGCTGTCAGCAAATTGTCTGCTGTCTGTTTCTTTAGTGGAAGATAACACACTTCCTGGCCTGCAACTTTATCTCCCAAGGACCTCCAGGGCTGCTACTCCATCACTACCTCTGTTCAAAGCTTTGCTCACAGGTCGGCAGAGACTATGTTCCATTCCAAGCTCTGGCTGAGACTGTCCGGGAAACCTATGTGAAATTCCTCATGTAAACTCGGCATTATTTGTCACTCGAAGCCCAAAAGGACATTCCTAAAAGAGTGATTTCAAGTCCAGAGTCTGTTATTTGCAACCGGTGCAGTGAATGGCAAGGAACATACAAGAGGAAAGAAAAAGTGGTCTGAAAATGCAAACGACACTATGCAAAGAACAAACGCGCACAGTTCGATGACGTTGACCTTGAAAAGAAGAACCAAGGTCATTGCCCTTGGAAACAGTCAGATTATTTTGCCACATTCTTTTCTCACTACTTTGTGTTGTAGCACAAATTCGTTGACGATGATGGTGAAGGAAAAAGAACTGGCATGTTCAAATAAAAACATCTATTTCATCTCAAGTAGAAATTGGTTGTTTAAATGTATTATTTCAAGGTTAAACATACGTTTTTGTGCTAATGAGAAAAGACTTCCAGATGCAGTTCTGATAAAGTAGCACACGTTTTAATGAGGGAGAAGCACATCACATGTGTGTAGAAACACCGTTGTTATGTCAGGATGATGTATTTTTTTCCTCAAGTGAGAATTCATCCTTCCTTTTTAGTTTTTTTTGGCTATGAAGATGTTTATTGGAGTTTTGTTTAACAAGGGGAATATTAGAAATAACTTAAATGTTTAAAATAACGCATTTACTAATTAAATGATAGAACATTCATGCAATGAAGCATTTACTAAGTAAAATAATTTAAGAAAGTGTCACTAAACCATTTCTATTGGCATAGAAAATTTTCAAAATACACAGTTAAATGAAAATGACAAATTGCCAAAAACTATGTTAAAAGTATTTTAAGTAAAGGCAGTATGTAGGTATAAAAATGGTTACATTGTAAACAAATAATAGCAAAAGGTAATAACAACAACAACAACAACAACAGTTAATAGCAATAGCTACATTTTCTCTTTCTTTCTTCACAAAAATATCATACTGATTATCATTTCCATTATACAGGTGGTAAAAGTGAGCCCTAGTAAATTGATCAAGAATAATGGAGCTCATAAACTTGAGGTTTTAAATTCAGATTTCTGTGCCTTCAAAGGACAACTGTATATTACTCTATAAATTCATCAACGTTTTAATAGTGGATGTCTTTGAAAAAAAATTTTTTTAATCCTCACCTGAGAACATTTTTGCATTTATCTTCAGATAGAGCAGGAGGGCGAAAGGGAGGAAGAGGAGAGAGAGAAACATTGATATGAGAGAGACACATCGTGTGGCTGCCACCCACACGACCCCAGCTGGGGCCGGAGACAAACTGCAACCGAGGTATGTGCCCTTAGCGGAAACCGAACCCAGAACTCTCTGGTCCGCAGGCTGATGCTCTAACCGCTGAGCAAAACTGGCCAGGGTAACAATGGCTATCTTTGGAATTTGTGGATATTTATTTTCTTTATTTTGCTTATTAGTGCTATCTAATTTTCTTTAGCAGACATATATTACTTCTGAAGAATAAGCATTTTAATTTTCATCAATTACAGTTGCAATATTAATTTCAAGTGTACACCCCAGTGATTAGGCATTTATATAACGTATGAAGTAATCACCCTGGTAAGTCTAGTACCATCTGACACCATACATTATTATTATATTGTCGACAATATTGCCTATGCTGTAATTTTAGAAAATGAGTAATTTTTATCATTATGCTTTTCTGTGTTTTCCATGTTTTCAGGATGAATCCTAGAGTAATTTTCTAACTTGAAAAAGGCACTTTTACAGGCATTTAAAAAGTGACTCCGAGGTGTTGAGTGTGTTTCTCAGTGCATCACGAAGGGATTGGGAGCTGCTCTGGCCTTGGAGAGAAGGCCGTTCCAGAGCCTGGACTTCCTCAAAAGGAAGGATGGATGCATGTCAGCAGCTCCGCAGCGGCCTTATCCGTGCGGAAGTGTAGTGATAGGCGACATCTCTCTTGTCATCACGCAGAATGTGAGTGAGAGGTGAAATCCACAGCCCAGAGAGAGGACTTATCTCTTTCCTGAACCAAAGGAAGGAAGCCCGTGGAGACATTTGGTGTGTTTGGAAGATGGAGATAAAGGAGAGCACACATTTGCCCCAGCGGGAGGACAGCAGAAAAAATGCCCAAGCCCTGGTTCCCCTTGTTTGGCTGCAGTGGCCTCGAGACTTACCAGCAGAAAGGACCTGCGCATTCAAGGGGTCCAGTAAGACGCCTTCGGTCTTAGGTGTGACCTTGCCACATCCGCGTACAGTGCGGTGTACTGGCGCGAATGGTTTGAATCCTGTCTGCCTGTTCATGTTTTATGAGATACCCAGTGTTGAAAAAGGCCTCGGAGAAGGGTGTCATTTGATCTGCCTTCCATTATCAGAGGTCTATTTTGACTAGATTTCACTCATTCATCTATTCATAAAATGTTTACCAACTCTTCTTAGTGGCACACTAAACCTATTACTCCCATCTACATCTATATCAATTACGTCTCTACTATATTTTTAGGACTTTTGACTCTACTGACAGCTAAGGAGACGGAGGCACAAGCAGGAAATAACTTGTCCAAATCAGTAATGATGGAATTGGATTCAAACCTAAAATTCAGCAGCAGCCCAGAATCCCGTTGCTCTCCTGGCTGTGGTCTGTCTGCCTGTCGTGTTGAACACGCTGACTTCTGTTACTGTGTTTTGGACAAAGTCTCTTCTTGTCTGTGGTGTGTCTGATTAATAACTTAGCATCAGGTTAGTTTTTGTGGGTTAGAAAGAGAAAAGTAAATCTAAAAGTTCTTTCTATTACATCAGGATGTCTATAAAAACAGAATAGGAGATTATTGCATTTGACACCAGAAAAGGTCTCAAAATCTGGAAGTCTGGGTTAGTCGCTTGATTGTGATGTAATAAACTCTTAGAAACACACTGTGCCAACTTGCCGGGTGAAACCGAGAGCAGAGTGGTTTACGGAGGGATGGGTCAGGATGTTGTAAACCCCAAACCTCGACCTTTCCAGGTAAGGAGCATAATCCAGGCATTGACTGGGAGGGCTGAAGGGACCACCAATCAAAAGAGCAATTGACACCTCTCCAAACAGGACATACAAATGGCTAAGAGACATATGAAGAAATGTTCATCTTCACTAATCATCAGAGAGATGCAAATCAAAACAACAATGAGGTATCACCTCACACCTGTCAGAATGGCCGCCATCAACAAATCATCAAACAACAAGTGTTGGCGAGGGTGTGGAGAAAAGGGGACTCTAGTACACTGCTGGTGGGAATGCAGACTGGTGCAGCCACTATGGAAAACAATATGGTGTCACCTCAAAAAATTAAAAATTGATCTTCCATTTGACCCAGTGATCCCACTTCTAGGAATATACCCTAAGAAGCATAAAACACCAATAAGAAAGAATATATGTATCCCCATCTTTGTAGCAGCACTATTTACAATAGCTAAGATCTGGAAACAGCCCAAGTGCCCATCAGTAGACGAATGGATCAAAAAGCTGTGGTACATATACACAACGGAGTACTACACAGCGGTAAGAAAGAAAGATCTCTTATCCTTTGAGACTACATGGAGGGACCTGGAAAGTATCATCCTAAGTGAAACAAGCCAAACAGAGAAAGACAAATTTCATATGATCTCACTGATTTGTGGAATATAATGAACATAACAGTTTGAGGAACGGGGTAGTCCCAGAGACGCGGAAGCGGGGTACAGACTGACAATCCCCTAAGGAGTGGGGAGGTGGGGGAGGGATGAACCACAGAACTTATACGCATGTATGCATGAACAGTGGACATGGACAACAATCTGGGGAAGGGGCAGGGAGGGAAGGGGGAGGGGGGAATCAGTGGGGGAAAAAAGGAGAATCATCTGTAACAAAAATTAATCAATAAAAAAAAAAAAGAGCAATTAAAAAAATCATTTGGAGGAAACTACCCACCCCCCGCTCTTTGGCAAGCTTGGTGCCTGCAGCCCTGAACTTGAACTTGCTCGATCAGTTAAGAGTCCAAAGGAAACTGGCAAGAGATAATCTTCAAATATCTTATTCCTCATATGCAAAATGGAGATAAAAATGTCTACTTCAAAGATTTGTTTTAAGAATTAAATCAGATAATATTGGCCAAGGACCTCTCTAGTAACTAATGTCAGCAATGTTGAGTAAATGGAAGCTATTATTCATTTAATCATTAATTACAAACGGAAACTGGAGACGATATTCTGCATACAGTATGGGCTCAACTATTTAGAAGCCATATGGAATAAAAGACCAGGGAAATGAGCCAAAATAGTTAGGGATTCTTCTGCGTGACAAAACACAAGTTGCTATTTTCTCCTTTCTTTGTACGTTTCTTAAAAAGCTCTGTGCAGTTGGCTTTTATTATTTTAATGAGAAAAAAACAAAGCTAAAGAGAACTCATCTCTCCCCATAAGAGTATACTTGAGATGTTTTCATTACATTTTAGAAGATGGAAAACAAATGGTAAATTCATGAATTAAAATGCCTGAATTTCTTTTTTTTTTTACTATCCAAGGAAAAAGAGATCTCACATACTTTGCGTGTCATAGCAAGGATGCAGTCACCCCGTGAGTGTAAACATCTATAATCAGGATGGAAGTTCAATTTCAGCTAACAAGTGCTACGCTTGACTACAGGAGTCTAACTACACTACTGTCTCAGACTTGGCTGGTAGTTTTTCCTATTGTAGAACCTGGTCATTATAGAGTTTGCTATTCCATCCTAAAACTTAAATTTTTGGAGGACTGAATGATTATTTTGGTTGCCAAACAATAACTATGATCTTTAAGATATTGTCATAAAACGTCTCCTTGCAGTAAATTGTATTTGGGGTCATAAGAACCCAGCGTTCTCCCTTCCTCTCTATGGTCAGTTACCATTTTTATTTTTTATAAAAATGGATAGCCTTTCAATTGTCCCTTTTACTGAGTTGTAAAGGAATTCTCGTAAAGACAGATCTCTAACTGGAGGAAAGCAGATATCTTTAAAAAAGCTGAGAGGACAAGAAAGATTTTCTACATATAGACAGAACTGTGATGTTCTAGGAAGTGACGCTGACATTCTCCTCTTATCAGGTTTCCTTCCTCTCAATTTTCTGTCAAACGGGACATCGAGAAGCAGGTATCCAAATCCAGGGGGGGTTGCCACTTACCCATGCAGTCTGGGCCCCAGTGGCCGGGGCAGCACTGAGGCTGGAGGTAATCCTTCCTGCAGATGTGGCGGCAGCCAGGGAGAGACAGCAAGTAGGATCTGGCCTCAAAGGTATACCTGGAAGGGCAGAGCGAGACATAACCCGTGATCAGAGCAATGCGTTCACTCGGGGCAGTGGGATTGGCCTAGATTATTTTAGGTCGTTACGCTTGCCTATATTTAAAAATATATACATAGAACACATTTTCCTTTCTAGGTAGAAAAGAACATAATCACGATTTATCCTTTAAAAAAATTTTTTTTTCTTTATTGATTTTAGAGAAAGAGAAAGGGAGAGGGAGAGAGAGAGAAACATCGATGAGAGAGAACATCAATTGGCTGCCTCCTGCATGCCCCCCACTGGGGATCAGGCCCACAACCTGGGCATGTACCCTGACCTGGAATCGAACTGGTGACCTCTTAGTAGTACATAGGTTGATGCTCAACCACTGAGCCACACTGGCTGGGCATGATTTATATTTAATTGTAACAAATGGATGAAAAAAATCAGGGCCCAATGAAAATAGGGGTGAAATATCTAAAATGATGTTGAAAGTGAAGTTAGATGGAAGAAATGATGTTTGGTTCTAGGCATTTGCTGGACGTGGACTTCAAACTTGTCACTCAGTGTCCTAGCAGCCAATGAAAGAAGAGAAAGATCAGGAGTTACGTGGCCCATAGGATCTGTGGATTTAAATCAAACCAACTACTCAGGATGCCAGAGATGTAGACATTTCTGTGGGAGGTGATGAGAAACATTTGCCACGGTTTCTGGAGGGGGTAGAATGATGATTTCCTGGGGACAGTTTTGTACCCTCTGCGTTGTCTGGAATGGCAGTTGTGTGGAGGCTCCTCCCCACCATCTATTTTCGGGGATTTCTGCATGGATGGCTTACTACAGGGTTTGACTCTAGTGTTCCTAGAGATTATCCTCCATGAATATTGTTTCTTTCAACTGGGCTGTTACTTATGGTGTGCTGCTGAATTCTAGGTTGTGCTCTTGAGCCAGCACATGCAATGCAGGGCATTAACCACAGAGCTACTGGCTGTTCAGTCAGACTGGAGACAGAGTTGACAATTTCTTTGAAAGGATGAGAATCCTGGCAAGGACATCTCTTGATCAAGATGGTAAAAGGCAGAGTCAAGGGCAGAACCAAAGGTCCCCTCAAGAACCAGTCTTGGGTTTGTTCTGGTATAAATGAATGACAAATCAAACCTTCAGTTCTAGAACAGAGAGCACTAATCCCCCCCCCCCCAGGTCAGAATGGGGTGGGACAAAACCAGGTGACAACCTTGGCCGTGAAAAAAGCAACCAGTACAAAACAAGTCTTCACTGAAGTCACCATGTCATTTTAACCTTGAATCCGAAGTCTTTCTGACATACTTTTTAAAAGAATCTAGCTTCAAATGTGCACCCACTTTGATTATTGAGTGGTCAACTTGCTGATTCTAGGCCAGGAACGCTGGGAAAATTCTACTAAAAATGATGATTTGGGTTTAGAATACAGTGCTGTCACATTAAGCAGACACAGATTTAAAAGAGTGTGATATAATAGTGGTAAGGTTTCACTTGATGCAAAGGAATTCGTCATCCCTGAATTAAAAACAAAACTCATTGAGTACTGCCTAATTTTTAAATGAGTAGACTAAGTAAATAAAAAAAGTGTTCTCATTGGAGCTGCATGGCTGCATCCATTAGCTAGCGAGCAGAATGGCTTATCCTTTGCAAGAATTAGCCTTGAGTCATGAGGGTTTTGAATCATAAGAGGATTTCAGGAGCGCAGTGCTCACATAAAATGCAACACAGCTGTAATTCACTGGTCTCCCTTCTTTGGGTTCGAATTGGTATCAGGGTCCACAGCTAGTTAGTAAGATGATTGTCAGACCCAACACTTTTTCACATGTTCTCCCTAGAACCCTTTCCAAGTGAAACAAAACCCAGAATTTCAAACTAAAGAATAAAGGGGGAATGTTTATGTGCAACGTAATACAGCCAGTTCTGTATTAAAATGCGAATCGGTAATGATGCATCTTTTAGACTCGAGGTCATCGTTGTGAGTTACATGAGTTGGGGCTCAATGTGGTCTTAGAGAAAGAGGAAATCATAGAACTGCTCTGTCGTTTTTGAGAGACGGGAGGTTTCTATTTGGATTCACAATCCCCTGAGTTTCAAGACTTGAGCACAACTATTTTCTCATAATGAGTACCTGCAATCTCGAACCCCTACGGAGCCATTGGTAACCTTGGTGTAACCATCTGGGCACTTAATTCCAAAGCTGAGTGAGCAGGATTGGCATTCAGTCCTAATGACAAGCAGAGACTTCTTATCGCATCTTTTTGCCTGTGAAAACATTAAAAAAAATCATCAGCTTCCATCAGCAGAGCCTTGCTTGGCCAACTTTTCCCATCAACTTTATGTTGATGGAATGACAAAGACAGGAATGAAATTGACTAGTAATGACTGGCAGGCTGCTTTCAATCTTATCTGGAAAGAGTGTTGGGATCAACAGCCAACAACGTCTGCCAAGGCTGTGCGAGGGCTGCTCGGACCACACGTTTGCCACCCCTGATGTAAAGTCTGGAGTCCGGCAAGGTACGGTAACCTCACTACATACACTTGCTTCTCCAAATGGGAAACCTGAAATATACTGTAGGGTACTGTTTTCAAATGGGTAATTGTTAAAGCAGGTCATTCAAGGTCAATAGGTCATAGAGCAATACGTCTCAAGGCTATTCTTTCAGCGTTAACTCCACAGGAATAGGCTAGTCTGGGTGCTCAATGCCAGGGAGCGCACAACTCATGCTCCGAAGATGTTTGTATTCATTCTTTTGGTTCCAGTCCAGCTGGAATGGGGGCCCAGGAGGGTGGCAATCTTTTTCTACTTTGTCCTCTGCTGCTGTGTCTGAAGCACGTAGCAATGCTCAGTAAATAGTTGTTGACTGAAGTGGATTGTGGGAAATGAGACAGACACACTGGAAACAATCAGCGCCGTCAGGCAGCAGAGAACTGTCGCGATGAATGATGCAGATCCACTTTGGCCCTGGCCTCCGGATCCCTCATCGTCCATGGTGCTGGTGTGGACCCTCCCAGATGAGTTCCCTCACCTTTTTCTAATACATTTCCTTCATTTCCCCATCAAACTGAAATAGAAGCAGCTTTGTAGAAGGAGGAGCGATTGAACTTGGGAGTCAAAAGACCTAAGCTTGGAATCAAGCACAGTGTCTTGCTACGTGGACAATCTGGGATACACTCCTTACTCTTTGCCACCATCTGTGAGGGGGATATCTTGACGACCACTCTCCAGGACACTGAGCACTTTAAATGATGTAACACGTGCAAACCCCTTACTGGAATATGACAGGCAGTAAGTACCAATTCTCGGTCCTCATCTCTGCGTTTCGCTGGTCGCCTCTACTGATGGGAATGTTCTTTCCTCTCCCTTTGGCTACTGAACCCTCGTCCTTCAAGGCTCTGTTTAGCACCACCAACCACATCCATGAAAGCTCACGCAGCTCTCTTCCTTTCTCAGTGTTGATCAGTAGAACCCATTTGTTGTTGTCTTTGTTCTCCACTTGAAAACCACTACTCTTACTTTTTGTGGTCATCCCACAGGTCCAGCACTAGGTTAGGGGTCACGGGAACATCATAACTACTTCTAAGTTTGTTGAAATCTGTCAATGCGGCACAAGAAGAAACCTTACATTTATAGAGCAGGTCATGGATATACATACTTTCAAAGCACCATTGCATTTGAGCTTGACCACCCTGCAGATAAGTAGGGCATGTATCATCCTCCTCACTTTAGAGAGGAGCAAACAGATGAAGGGAGGTTTAGGGACTTGCTCAAGGCCACACTGTCAGTCAGTGGACTTCTGATCCCTTGAACGGGCATTTGTCTTCCCTGCACACTGCATAGCGGAGGACAGGAGAACAAAATCTCTGCTTTTTTTTTTTTTTTTTTTCCTGGCAGCTGTCATTTGATGGTTACTATGAACCAGAATACTACTGGCATAGTCTTTATGGAATAACAACAAAAACCACCCTTAGAAATAGTTTCAATTGATCTCTGTTAGTTGTCATGACACCTCAATATTTTTTTAAAGCTGAATTTTCTTTCCATTAGGGTTTTCCATGTGGGTGAGTATATTGGGGTGCCATGATTTTGTCCTTTCTTTTTTAGTAGGTCAGAGTCGATATTCTCTTTTTTAAAATTTTATTTATTGATTGATTTTAGAGAGAGAGAGAGGAAGGGGGAGAGAAGGAGAGAGAGAGGGAAGCATCAATGTATTTATGCATTCATCGGTTGATTCTTGTATGTGCTCTGATTGGGGATTGAACCCAGAACCTTGGTGGATTAGGACAACTCTCTTACCAACTGAGCTACCTGGCCAGGGATGAATGTTCTCTTTTCAAAAATCCATTGACCATCAAATTGCCCTTTTCAAATGGAATAGCTCATTGTACTTCTCATATCCCTTCTTGAAGAATAAACTCAGCTATAAGCATTAGTCAACACTTGATTTCTTCACTAAAGCCACCACTCATTGTGGTGACGGTGGTGGTGATGATGAGAATAATCACTGCTGCTATGGTCCACTGTTGGGGGAGAAACTGAAGCTCAGAGAGACTAAGTAACTTGCTCAGGGTTGAACAGCGAGTAAGCTGTGGAGCAGTCGCTGATCCTCAGAAATACTTGTTAAATACATGAGACCACAGTTCCAACTCATCGCTCTCAAACCTCAGAGCCATTATGTCACTTTTCCATGTTTCTGTGAAAAATACTATTAGACTACAGCCAAATGAAGCAAAGTTGGCATTGATAACAATGTTCCCGGCACAAATGCAGAATCACATTTAAGTTTTATCATTCACAGAGCAGAAATCATATCTTGTGAAATGCATGCCAAATAAACCACTCCGATTGACTCCCACACCCCCTCCTTGAGGCTGGCCTTGTTGCGATGTGACAGTGACCTTGTCCCACAGTGACACTCCCGTGAGCTTGCTTGCGAAGCTGTCATAGCAGCGCCCCGAGTGCTTTGACTACAACTTGATGCATTGATAATACTGCATTCCTCAGCCAGCTATCAGCCCGCCTGGAATTCCCCAGAACATCTCTCCACAGCTGCTGCTATGTTCCACGTTCAGAATGGTGCAACGGGAAATGATGCGACTATTAAAACAAGCAAACAAACAAACCCCCAGGGCACAGAAATCCACACTGGAATGAGGAATGTGAGCCCTAAAATCGGATCTCGACCATGGCGTTCTAGCACAGAAATCACCAACTGGATTAATACACCCTCAGAAAGATGGTGCATCCCCTCGGATCCTATTCTCCACAAGCTTTCTCTTTATTTCGGGAAGCCCAGAGGGTGCTCTCTACCCATGACGACATAGGAAAGCAAAAAGATTTTGGACACGTCCTGAAAATTAACAAATTGAAAATAAAAACAAAAGCGGAAGTCTCATCTTACCTGCTCTGTAGTGTCCGGTGGGGAGCAGAAATTTTGTACAACCAGTCCAAGAAAGAAAAGTATTAAATTTTGTAGCATGGCGAGAAAATATTTGCTCCTTCACCTGTCAGGACTGTTTACCTATTTTAACTTCGTCTGATGAACTCTCAGTGAATTCTTTCTCATTTCAGTGTCTGTTTTTAAATCCTTCAAACTTCTTTCCCTGGTTTGAACCAGATGATATGTGAGACCTGCCTCTAGACAGGAAAAATGGCAAATCCAGGGGTTGCGGTGACACTGGCCACTCTCAACTGTATATATGCCCTGGCTGAATGACAGGATATCCTGAAGGGGCTGGGGCAGAGCCACGGTCCAGCATTTCTGTGCTTTGTGAAACCCCAAGAGCAGGCTCCTGCCTCCCGCTTGCTCTGCTCATGCTGCCTCGGGTCCTGTCTACCCCTGGACCCAGAGGCCCGCCAACAGCTCCACAACGACACCATGGGACACTGCAGGCCTTTCTGCCTGAACCAAGGCTGCGGTCTGGCAGTGTTTGTGGGAGTGCCCAGAAATGGGTACAATCCCCTGGGGGAAAAGCTGCAGGAGCCTGGGTCCTTGATTTTGAAGACACGTGCTGGCCTCACCTGGTGTGGTTGGCAAACTACTGCAAAGAAATGTCTCTTTGCAGAGGCCGAAGTGGGTTTTGACGCATCCTTTCTCACCTTTCATGTCACTTCAGTAGCAAATTACTGAGCCTATCGGTCTCGTCTTAGCCTGCAAGGCCACCTCTTCAAGAATCTAATGCCACCTCTTCCTGTCCTGCCTCTCCAATAGCATCTTGGAAACCCTCCTAGCAGTATGCATGTAGTGGTATAAAAACCTGGTCACACCTATCACAGTTCATCTTTCCGTGTGTCTGCCTCCCATACTCACTTGTGAATTCCTTGAGGACAGGGGCACAGCCTTCATTACCTCTGTGCCCCAGACAGCCTAGAGCAGAGACAATAATAAAAACAAGTAACAATGGTCAACATTTTAGGAGCTAACCCAGAGGTCTGAGTGGGAAGATGCCAGATGAGAAAACCCTAACGTTCCTTTGGTTCACTGAGTTTCAACCACAACTTGGAATCCTGGAGAAGTTTAGAAAAAGGTCCCTGATGCCCACACTACTCTAGAACCATCAGATCAGAACTTCTGGGCATGGAGAACAGAAGGAATTTTTTCAAGTTTCCTAGATAATTCCACTTGCATGGGACTATTGCTTGAGAAAAAGTTAACTATTATTCTGAGAAGCCAATGAGGATTTGATGTTTGTTGGCTACACAGCTACTTCACTTGAACTGATCCACCAGGGAAAGTAGTTGGAAGCTTATTTCTGAATCTTTTCTCTTTGAAGGACCTGGATACATATCTGGGGCTTAGACTGTTCTAGATCCCTGGGGAAATAATCAAAAGAACCCATACTTGCATTTCTTAAGTTATTCTGGGAGATGCTGCAGGAGTTGCTAGGGAAGGAAGAATTCTCTTATCAGATAAATTGGAAAAGCCTACCTCTGATTTCCTTTCTTACTGACTGACCATGCTCATTCGCCTATTTAAGGTTCTGAGAAGTCCTGCAGTAAAACATAATGTAACAAAACCAAAGAAAAACAGTTCCACTTTGCTTAAAGAAGCATTTTCCAGTTTTTTTTTAAAGACCAAGAGATGCTTATTCCCTTTGCAAACTAGCCTAGCAATCTCCAGATTTAATGCTCCGTTGATTGCTCTTAGGGAAATGCTGTCCTAGACTTTAGCAGGTTGACTATTCTGTCTTTACGTTGCTAGGAAAGAGCAGTTGGCCTGCCAATGGCCATGGGGACTCCACAGGACGTGTTCATACACTTTATCAATTAGTTGCATTAAAAAATACATATAACCCGCCCTGGCTGGTTTGGCTCAGCATTTAGAGCATCAGCCCGCGGACTGGAGAGTCCTGGGTTCGGTTCCCACTAAGGGCATGCACCTCATTTGTAGTTTGTCCCTGGCCCCGGTAGGGGTTGTGTGGGTGGCAACCATGTGATGTGTCTCTCTCACATCGATGTTTCTCTCTCTCTCTTCCTTCCTCTCTCCCTCTTGCTCTATCTGAAGGTAAATGCAAAAATGTCCTCGGGTGAAGATAAAAAAACAGCAACATGTAACTCACATGGCTTTGTTTAGAAATTGTCTGAATAGTTTTGTTAATGGTATTTCTATAAGGCTCATTTGAACAAAGATTCTTTAAATTTTTTCAAATCCTTTCCACTGTTTCCCCCAAATGTACCTGCAATCAACAAGTAAGGTGCTTAGAGTGGTGCAGTCACTCTTAACCATTATTACTGTATGATTACGATATGCCAGTGTCATGCACCAGGGCCACACACATCTCTACCCTAGTCCGGTGTAGCTGTGAGCTGGGTCTGGGTTTCCTCTGTCCTGGGTGCTCCAGTTCTGCTGGTCTGTGTGTCCCTTATAGGGTGGGTGTCACTTTCTTTACTGCGATTCATCTTCCTTTTTGCAGATTGTTTAATCGCTGTCTCTAACCATTCAAAGATGTTTCGAGACAACAGTTTGCAGTCAACAGTACTTCACAGCAGCCTGCTTTCTCCACAGTCCCTGACCGTGTTGCTGTCAGTTACTTAAAACCTGGGGCGGGCTTTCCTCTGCCCAGGTCCCCTTCCGCTTCTCTCTGCCGCCTCCTATGTCCTCCCGCACTGGCACGCACCTCCTTTGCCCGTCCTCTGTCCGCGGTGGTGGCAATGTGAGAGCTGGTAGTTTGCCCTTGGGTAGAGGATCCATTTCACGACTGGAATCTGCAGAGACTTTTCCCATATCGGAAAAAGACAAAGAAGGGCCCCGATACTTCCTGGGCAACAGTGTTGAGTGTCACCTGTGGCTACAGGGTTCTGAGTTGTTAGTGTTAACTGTTCCTTTCTCTACATCAGGCCAGTTACCAGGATTTTAGTCACTTCGAATAATAAAGCATTTCATGTGGGCTGTGAGCAGCATTCCCAAAGGGAGGCATCATCATGTTCACCAACACCATCAGAACTACTTCCTCCTCCTCCTCCTCCTCCTCCTTCTCTTCCTCCTCCACCTTTTCCTCCTCCTCCTCCTCCATCCTCCACCTCCTCTTCCTTCTCTTCTTCCTCCTCCTCCTCCTCCCCCCCTCCTCCTCCTCCTGCTCCTCCTCCTCCTCTTCTTCCTCCTCCTCCTCTTCTTCTTTCTCCTCCTGTTCCTTCTCCTCCTCCACCACCTCCTCTTCCTTCTCCTCCACCTCCTCTTCCTTCTCCTCCTCCACCTCCTCTTCCTTCTTCTTCTTCTCCTCCTCCTCCTCCTTCTTCACAAACTCAGGACACTTTAAATGGTTAACTAATTTAATTAATCTTACACACGCCAGATACTTTTAATCGTTAACTAATTTTACTTTATTGCAACTTTGTGAAGTAGACTGGGCAAAGGAATGCATATTGACTTGGTGGATGTGAAAACTGAGGCATAAAGGAACTGAGTGATTCATACGAGGTCGGTAAGTTAGCATGAACTGCAACGGATGAGCTAGTAACCTCACTCTAATCCTATGCTCTGCCTGTTATGGTAGATCACCATTCCGATGGCTGATGCCTGAGCTACTAAGTGGATTATCTATGGTTCATCTAATTCTGTCATTAAAATGTTGAGCTTCTTTGGGTGCTATTTGTTTTCCCACTGAGACAAGGCCATGGACACAGTGGCCCTAAAACGTGGATATAAAGAACGTGGTTGAGATTTGAATAACTTCAGGCATAGTTGGGCCAGAACTAAAAAGTGTTGGGTCACTGATTTCCAATGGTCCACCGTATGGTCCACTAGTCTTGTCCACAACGTAGTATAATGTGGGCAAATCGGTTGGACTGAGGCTTCCTAGTCTATGTAAAAGGAAGAAACGGGTACCACCCAACGCTTCAGAGCACACGGTGGAGCAGGCACCTGCCAGGCACTCCTCTCCCTGGTGACTTGTTTAGGCCTGAAACAATCTTCCCCAAAGAGGCACGTGACTAACTCCTTTCCTTCCAGTCCTTGTTCAAACCCAGCCTCTGCACGAGACGTATGCAGACCACTCTGCTGACAAGGGGCATGCGTCCCTCCCACAGCCCTGCTTCCTCTTGTCCCCGTCTGCTCGTCCCCTCTCCTTGGCTCGTGTCACCTTCTAAGTCACCATACAACTTGTTCGCTTACTCTATTTATCGCTTGTGGTCTGTTCCCCCAATTAGAATATATGCTCATTAAGGACAGGGTTTTTGTTGTTGTTGGTTTGTTTTAGTTAAACTGATATCTTAAATATCAGAAAGAGTGCTTGCTACAGAGTAAGCGCTCAATACAAATAATTGATAGAATAACTCACCGACTTGAAAATTTTTCAGCTATATAGATGAGCAGGTAAGATAATCCAAGTAAAATACCACCATTTTATAAAAAACATTTAGTACAGATACACAATGGAATACTATGCAGCTATAAGAAAGAAAGATCTCTTATCCTTTGAGATGACATAGAGGGACCTGGAGAGTATTATGCTAAGTGAAATAAGACAGTCAGAGAAAGACAAATACCACATGATCTCACTTATTTGTGAAATATAATGAACAAAATAAGCTGATGAACAAAATAGACCCAGGCATATAGAAAGGAGTATGGTTCAGACTGACAAACCTTAGAGAAGGGAGCAGGGGATGGGGTGGGGGTGGGGGAATGGATGAGATAAACCAAAGAACTTATATGCATATATGTATAACCAATGGACATAGACAACAATGCTGGGCAAGGGGGCGGGATGGGGAGGAGGGTGCCCAGGGAGGGAAAAAGAAGAAACATCTGTAACAAAAATAAATTAATAAAAATTGCAAAGAAATTACCATTTATTGAAACCTACTCTTCTTCTTTTTGTAAATTCCCCGAGCCTCTTACAAAGTCAGTTCGTTCTGCATGTGGCACTCAGCTCTGCCAGAACACCCTCCTCCGCAGGGGTCCTTCTCAAACATCCTTGCTTCGGGGCGAGTTTGCCCACGTCTTAGTCTGTTCGATTATTATTTTGGTAATCTGGGAAA